TTCACATGGTCGTAAGGTGAAAAATGTATCCACTGTTTATCTTTTCTGTTATACGAATACAATAGTTCTTGCAGTAACTAAACGGTCAAGCCCAATATTTTGACTTAGTTGTCGAGTTTGATAACATTAAGAAATACCCATTGCATTTTGATGATCATCAGTGAGAAAGTGAAAAAACCAGGGTTTCTTAGATATCAATAAAATCTAAAGTATTATTAAATCTTTTTAATCTAATGATACCCTGACTGCAATGTTTTGGATTTTTTATTAGTTCCTTTCTTTAAACTTTTCATTCGTTATCATGAATCGTTTTTACATCCATTAGAAAGAAAAATTATCGATATTTTTAAAGTTGTGTAGTTAGCGAGGAACCCTTTATATAATATTTTTGACAATTTCACCATGTACGTGTCATCTATAACTCTAAAGATAATTTTTACTAGAAAACGTTCCACCCGGTCCAGGTTTCAGTCAGGATTCGAACCTGGACCTTCCACAATACTTGAACTATCGGCTGAATAGAAAATAACGTCGGTAGATATGTCTTTCCACGTGGAACCAGTACGTTAACTACGTACGTTACCAGTACCTTAACTGGAACCCATGAACCAACTTCATAATTTAAAAAAACAAGCTTTAATCAAGTAGTTTTCTTACTCCAAAGACTTTATACTATAAACCACTGAGATATCACAGTGCCAAACAAACTAACAAGTTCTTTATAGAGAAAATAAAAACATATAAGTACCTACTGCACACAAGCAGTTAGTTAGCTCTGTACGTGGTTAATTAGTAAACAACAGTTTAAATCCCCACCATTTTAAGGGAGTGACTTGGCATGGCACCGCTTGCTGGCGGCCGCCCAAGAGCGCGACACATCGGTCGCACTCCCACCGTTTACTACATTTGGCAATCTTTCATTGCATAGCAATGCAGGTTCAATTCGTGTCATGCTATTGTTCTTTTGAACTAGAGGTTGTTAGGTCGTCTGATATAAAGCTTCGAGTAAAACACATTTCGTGATTGAAAATGGAACACATTTTTTCCACCAAGCAAGATTTAGAGCGTGCGCAGTGTTAATTTCATAGACCCGCCTCACCCTCACACGGCGCGGGCAGCGTAGCCCGCTCGATGGGCTGTCTTCTGTGCTCTCGTCTGCGTTCTCTTTTAACTAGGTAGTATTATCAACAAAAATAACCCATTATCGACTGTTCACCCGCGCAATTGAAATTCTACTGGCAGCGCTGCGAGAGGCAACAGCCTCTCACGGGTCCCGCAACGGGTTGAACGGGTCCCGCTACGGGTTGAACGGGTCCCGCTCCGTGCCATGCTTAACGGCGGAAAGGTATTTTTACAGAAAAATCTTTCAAATAGTAGTCTTACCAATAAAGGACGGTGGGGCATTTAACAAGAGTTAAAGAAGAAAATATCATACAAAATTTGCTTAAACATGGTTTAAGGCCCACTTGTAACAAATTTGCTAAATTTCGGTTCAACAAAACTAATTCTGTCATTCTGTGAAAACGATTGTCAATTTGACATTATTATTTGGGCTGGATCTAGTTTTAGTTAATTGAGATTTAACAACAAAATTGCTGCAAGTGGACGTATAAGTCTAACTTTTTTGTGGTACAATCCTAGGTTTCGACATGGTTTCGGAGCGCCAATACGGGTTGGTCGCTTATAATTAATTCTGCAATGTGCTTACCCTTCGAGAAGTCACTGTACAAAACCTAGGTTTTATATACATAAAGATTTAGCAGGACCTTTAGAAAAAGGTAGCCAGAAGGATAGTAGCTGTTGAAAGTCGAACGCTAACTCACTGAATGTGGGCTCTCAAGTGAAACGCTTCAATTACAATATTACTGTAACTAAACAATTTAAATAATTTTGATTAATGGTAATATTTAAAAGGTAATATGTAGGACTACGTGCAAAAATTTGAGCTCTGCTAAGTGACTTAAAATAAAATCCAATTAGTTAGTAGGCCCTCAGTTCTTACGTGCTCAAAATATACTCTACTGTTACAAATTTGTAGTTATAGCTAAGTTTCTTAGGCAAGCTTTAAAATAAAGCAAAAGTAGTCAAAATGCTACCCTACAAGTACGGGTTAATATATTCTACCAATACAAAATAATAAGCTCTAGTAGCGACGCGAGCGCAAAGTTGCTGCTGCGTCGACAGAGTAGCATAGTTTTGTATGTTACCTGCGCTGCCCTCCTTATTGCAAACGCAGTACTTGCAGAATAGCAGTTTGGAGATAAACGCGATAAATATATTTCTTAATATCTAACCAAGAAATCGATGTTATATAACTATTTTAAGAGTAACCTAAAAATAGTTAAAGAATCGATTCGATTCGAGCATTCTATTGATATATTATTCTTTACGTTATTGCCTTAATTAGATAAAATGCTCAGTACCCTCAGCATGAACCATTATCGAATTCGTATCGTTTGCTGCTGTTCAAGTTTCCGTACAAAATTTGACATTGTCATTTTAGACTCGCAAACTATTCGAATTCGATATTAGTTCGTGCTATGGACAGGAACTTATAGTGCTAGGGGGTACAGTACCCCTACCACGAACCATTATCGAATGTGTACTAATTTTAAGTTCTCTTTACGTTCTTTGTGGCACTGCTGTTCAAGTTTCCATACAAAATTTGACATTTCGCACTCGAAAACTATTCGAATTCGATATTGGTTCGTGCTAAGGGTACTGTACTGCATTTTCATCAACATTATGGTCTGTGTATCACTAAGACAAAATGCAGTACTTGGTTTATTACTGCAAAATCACTTAGCACGTCCTCAATACTGCGTTTAATCATTTTACACGTAAATACAGTAATAGTGAATACTGCATTTAGTATCAGCGTCGCTCGCGAAAGTAGCTCTTTGTTATTATTGCTTCATTTATATGCAGTAATGGTGAATACTGCGTTTAGTTTTAGCATCGCAAGAGTTGCTTCATTGTTGTTCTCGCTACATTCAAATGCAGTAATGGTGAGTACTTTGGTGAGTACTGCGTTTCATGTTTAATAAAAAACATGGTTTTTTTTAATAAAAAACTTGTAAATATATTCAAAAGAGATTGCTCAAATTGGCCCAAATGTACAAAAAATATTGACATATGGGTGATTCTAAGTTAAGAGGTATGTTCGACGGCTAAGCCAAAAAAATCATTATATTTGGAAATTATGGTCTAAAATCTTAATAATTTCAATTAACTAAATGTGTTCTCAATTGTCACTGAAAATTATATTCTAAATGTGCATAATTTACTAACAATAACAGCACAAAGAGGAAAAACATCTCTCCCCTGGGTTGTCCCCTAACCGTTTTTTTTTGTAAATCAGTAATTTTGAGTCCATTGAAATTTAATTTTTACTTTTCTATCGGTAATAACATGAACCCTGATAACTTAGTTACAGTATGTAACCATTAAACTCATTTATATTTGCACTTTTTATAAAAAATATTAATCGCAAACTGTGTCCTCCGAGTTTCGTGTCTCGCCCCTGGCCTTAGGTTTAGTTTGAAAATCGTATTTGTTTACCATAGTCTATGCTAGTTTTGACCTTGAAGACACCGAGTGTCACGTGAAGTTTTTTGCCCATTTGCGCAACGGTGCACTATGAGTGCAGCCGTGTTGAGTGATCGAAGTATTTACCCTGGTAATTTTTTCGTATGTATGTGTTTAAATACTACAATACCTATATACATTTATTTTAAATAGTGCTGCAAACCTTTTATTTATTTGTAATCTTTGTAAAATTAGTAGTTTTACGGCAATTTTAGATTTTTAACGAAAATGTCTCTCCCCTGCCATATTTCCCCTGGCTGTTAGCCAGGCTACTAACAAAACTATAAAAACGAAGCAATAGCTCAATAACAGTAATGATAATTTATTAGAGAATGTACAATTGCATATAATTTTAGATAATTGTTTAGCTTTATATCGTTATTCCACTAAAATCTGATTCCACGGATAAGTACTTTACATCCTAATATGCGCTCTAAACGCATTGCAATAAAGTTCATCTTGTCTCTACCCTGTACTCAGTATCTCCCCTGGTGTCTCGTAAAACGAGAATAAATTAATAAAATGACTGATCATCTTAAAATCATATTAAAATCATCGGTCTTGATAAAAGTAGTGGTATAATTATATAAATATCGACACTTTTTGCTGTGCCGCTGCTTCCATACAACCGATTACCTCTTAACTGAGAATCACCCATATACGGTAATTCTTGGCGTAATTTATACTTTATTTAACAGTCATTAGATTTTAACTTTAGCTTTCTTTGGTTAACGAAACTTTAAAAAATCTCTCTATTCTGTGGCTCATTTAGAATCATCACACAGTTTCTGTCGCAGAGTACCTTATTATAACCGGAAATGATAGACACCTGATTTTAAAAGTTACTCTTTTGCATTAACTTCAAAAACAAGCAAATATCTTATAATCTACATGCTCTATATACCTGAATCTAATACATAATGTCGGTACTTGGCTTGATTTCCCTAGTTTACTATAGACTTATTTGTTTTTTATTATTTTAATACCTATTTGCAAACATTACCTCAAAATCATTCAGTGTATATGGTTTATAGAAGTTCTCAGGGGTGTCCGTCAATAATATTCGTTTCTACAGTAATGTATATATAATTTCGAATCTAGGAAAAAAAAATCATGATTATTGGTCTTTAGGCCAAACATGTATGGAAGCTGAGCAATCTCCTTTGTTACATATAGATTATTTCCTTGGGATGTCATTTTTGCAAAAAAATTAAAATCCCAAAAATTACTATTAGCAGGGCAGTGCGATACTAAGTGTATAATGACGAATAGGCGTCTATGAAGCTACATCTCCGTAGACAGTAAGTCTTAGTATACCTAATAATGAAAATGTTAACTACCCTTTATCCATAGCATTTAGCGCGCAATCTCTTTCAACGTCTTGTCCACAATAATAATGAAATAAAAAGCAGTTTAATTTGAATTATTTTTTATTAAACTAACCAAATAAATACTTACCAACTTATATTACAATAAATAATGAAATTCCCTAATATGAACATTTGGAATGTTATAAATATATGCTTTAATTTGCTATATCAGTAATACAAGAAGCTATTACTAACTGATATGTATGAGTCAAACCAAAATTGGTCTGAAAATAATGAGTACATATTAAGTAGGTAGGGCACGCGACTAGATAGTATTATACGCATATACAGGGTGCTACATTAATTCTCAACGTAGGGTTTATATTGTGTCAAAACAATTGGTAAGGAGACATTGAAGATCAGCCCTACTGGTAATTTACTTTTCGAAATCATAATATGTACCTACATAGTTTTATATATAGACTACTCAAAAAATATTTTAATTTACAGCATTAGTTCATATATAAAGCCAAAGAGGCTTATCGAAATTAGCCAATAAGGTTTATATAAAAATAATAAACAGTTTACTGATACATAAGGCCCTTGTAGAAGTAAAGTCATCTACAGATAAATTGTTTTTTTTTTCGTAATAATTGATTTAATGTATGCCTTTATCGAATACATTTTCACACCCTTTATACTTCAATATATAATTATTTTTATATGTTGAAAAACACATCTACCTACTACGCGGTACATGATCGCGTGCTTTTTTTAACTACTACAGTTATTGCTTGTTACTAATTATAATAATAATGATTTATAATGTTAACACATAATTCGCTTTTACCATAGCATATACCATAAACATGGATTTTACAACTCCAGCGGTAAAAAAGAAAATCATTCGTAATCACACAAAAATATACAAAATATGATTAATTTTAATTTTAGAGTTATTATGTATGAAATAAATAATTTTATTACAAAAAAAGAAATATATTATTTAATTTTTGTAAAGTCAAAAAACGAGACTTTGGACATAATACTGATAAATCCAAAATGAGAATAATTTAAAAACCAAAAACATGCTACTATTAGTAAATTTGAATAATTATTATCCATTGTTATTACTTTTCGTTGTTCAAGTAAAGCTGTAATAGATTTCTTAAGTATAGTCAAAGCCACTTTAGCTGATACGATTTCACATTAAAATAGCCTTAACGCGTAACATTAAGACCTACTTTTGTAGTCCAATGCTGTAAGTAACAGCCAGCAGTGTTTAAAAAAAGTTTTCTATTACGGCGCGACGTAAAAATGGTGCTTAAATCAAAGATTTGCATCGTTAGATATGCCCGGACACCGAAAAACTGTGGCCATAATTTGCAATGACGATATGATGATGATGGCCGTTTCGTTAGGTCAATTTCAAATAATAATATACCTTAAGACTTCTTAGGAAATCAGGAATGGTTTCATATTTTTAAATATGTCATGTTGAAACCAAAACTATGATATTGTTACTTACAATATTGAAGTTATACCCATCGTTTCCTTGCCAAAATATCAGCAGGCATTGCAAGACACGTTGCATGATCAGAGTATTCTCTTTAAATTACAAAAACACTCTGGATTTATTTTCCCATATTTGTTGCTTTTGATTTCTATTGTAGTTACTGATTTGCAAAACAAATATGCTAAACACATGCGTGACGTGAAATGTCAATTGTAGAAGAAAGCAGAATAATTTAAAAACAAATTTCTGCATAAATTTTTGCTGTAATTTTTCCGAAATTTAAATAAGTAGTTATTCTACTATTCGGACCATCAGAAATCAATATATCTTTATTCAAATTGGATGTATACTACAACTCTTTTGAATCGTCCAACCAGAGACTTATACCAAAACAGAGCTCATTAAAATCGGTCCAGCCGTTCTTGAGTTATGTGTTCATCAAACATGACTCTTTTATATATAATAATAAATTAATTTGTGTGATATACCAATAACAGCTCCTAATGAATTTTTAAATTATTATAAAATACAATTAATTAATTTAAATTACTTAATTTTTAGAGATTCTGTTGAATAGCGTTGTTTTTATGCTTAAAATGATATGGTAATTGTCTTAAAAGTGAAAAAATGTCCGGTACCATAGCCTATAGTAAGTCCTAAATATAATATAGTTTTGTAATATTTAAATTCTATGCCCTAAAATTACCGAATTGATAAATTTTATGACTAAGTGCTCAAATATGTCACTAAAATGACTTTGAAGAACAGTAATTAGTACTTTCAAATTTAGGAGTATTTTTTAAGAAACTAAGTAAGTAAAAGTGTACAAACATCATAACGTAAAGCGCGGGACCTAGAGGACAGTGTTGTCTATTTTTGTCTTGCAGTAATTTCCAACACGACTTTCTCTGTCATGGGCTGTCCGATGAAATTTCAATACTTATGACAACGAAAGAAAATAAATATAATTAAAAAAAAAACCTTTATGTTAGTGCATTATCGGAAGGCACACGACGGCATTTTGAGACACTTTTCTCGAAAAAGAGCACTGCAGTATTTTAATTACCAACATCTAACAGTCACTGTGTTCAGATGAACACTGATCAAAGATGTGTGAGCTCACTCAGCGAGTATAGAGATATTTCGGTGCAGTCAAGCTATGGTAAGAGCGTATCTAACGATTTAAATCTTTGGTTTTAATTATATAAAGTCTAAGGCACGTTTATCAGGAGGTTTTACTACGAGAATAAAAAGAATGAAATAACTACATTATTACTGTCATGGTAGGCAGCGCTGCGAGTGTTGAAAAATGCCGCGCGCGAGCAAATCCTGAAATTCCCGCTTGCGCTCCCTACTAAAAACTACCAAAGAAGCAGCTACTGACCCATTTAATTATAAATTACTAATATACTAACAAAGATTTAAGTGTGTAGTTACTTACATCAAAGATTATTAATAATAATTAATATCAGTAATAAATGTTCAATAATAATAATATTACAGCTGCCTTATTTAATAACATTTTGTACAAGACTTTCATTTGGCTGTAATGTCATCAGTTTGATCGTCGATCCGCCGTAATACAAATCTGTACCCCTATCGAATTCGTTTCGTTTGCGAGTACGAAATGTACTGCTTTTTAGTTCTCGTTACGTACTTTGTGCCGCTGCTGTTCAAGTTTCCATACAAAATTTGACATTGACATTTCGGTTTGCAAACTATTCGAATTCGATAATGGTTCGTGCTAGGGGTACTGTTCTATTTTCCACCGTAAGCCGTTATGTGATACTTTATAATTTACAATCTGACTAACCCACAATCGTGGCCACAACTATACTACTTTTAAATATATAAATGTACAATCTTTACTATGTTCATATAATATATAATACTATACAATCATTTTAAGGTTAATTTAAACAATCGTTATACATATTGGTAGGCACAAAAAGGTACTTAGATTTCCATCAATTTAGCAATAAATTTAAATCTGTACTTGCAATAAATACTTTTGACTGTATAATTATAACTTCATGAGGGCATGTTTCACGACCTACTAATAGACACATCTTCTAGATGGGTTCCTGATCAATTCTTAATTCATATTAATTTATGTAACTAGCATTTAACAAGTATGAAGTTACAAAATATCTGTGAAACCCGACGTTCATCTGCCATCTCATTAATTACGTACACCTGGTATACTAAACAAAAAAAATGCTCTTTTTAAACTCAAAATCATATCTAGTAATTAACAAAAACAAAGCATTACTTTTTATTAGAAACTCTAATTTTGCAGTCAATACAAAAACGATATCATATTTGTGGGAGCAATTGAAAATAAAAATATAAAAAAAACATTAGATAATATTTTATCATTAATGAATAAACAAAAACAGAAATTACTGAAAGCTATGTATGGCTCTACCAAAAACACAATAGATAATCGAAATTCGGAATTTTCTTCCTATATAACGAGACACAATATCATATCATCGTAAATAGTTTGACAAATATGTCAATAGATGGCACTATAGCGAATACCGCTAGTCTTATTAAGAATATAAAAGTTACTTTAATGGCAATAAACTATTTAATTTCTTTAAACAAATTTAAGTAATCAATCACTTTTCGTACGTTCCATAAAGAGAATAAAATAAATTCACGTATATATATATGTCAATTATAGGTTATGTACAGTCGCCACTTAATACATTGTAGTAGAAATGTTCAAATAATACTTAGTGACAGTAAAAATATACATTGGATAAACGTTTGAATAATATTTAAATTACTCCAAAACATTAAAGAAACCATTATGGCTATACTATAATTTTGGTATTTTTGCGTTATAAACGCATATTAACTAGCCATTTTTATACACTTCAATTATATGTCACTTGCGCGTTAGCTGCTTGCTCATAATAATATTGTAAAATACAGCAAAACCCGTTTAAGACAATTTCAAAGGGACTCAACCAAAAACGCGTCTTAAGCAGGAAAGCGTTTTATGCAGGATAGGGAAATATGTAATGTAGGTATTAAATGTACAATATTTAAGAATTATATATGTAATAAAAAATGTCGTGTATTATTATTTATTATTAGGTTATTTAAATTAATCATTTATATAACTTTGTCAAAAAGATTTTGTGGCATTAGCAGTTACAAGGTTTTCAATATAATTTAACTTTTACAGTGCGTCTTCGCTTCGATTCAAAGAAGTTACATAGCGTCTTAAATAATTAACTGCTGATATTGCATGGGCGTGTGACAAAATCGGAGTTGACTCATCTTCTTCTTTATCATTATCACTTAGGGCCTCTTCTTGTGTGTTATTCACATTCTCGTTGAATTTTATACGGTGCCACATTGTCATCAATGGAAGGATATTCGGGAAAACCCTGGTGGCCGCGTAGCGTGTGTCGCTCGACAGTCGTCACGTCAATCGTGTTGGCGATTTAGGCGTATTGAACGGGATGACGAATCGTATTAAGCGTTGAGAAATGTATGAAAACATGTCTCATGTTGTAGGGACTGACGCCAAATGGTGTATTATGCGAGGAATCGTATTAAGCGTGGTCGTATTAAACGGGTTTTACTACTGTATATATATAGATACATTTTTCCAATTATTTGTGTGTATATGATTTATTGAAAATCAAGTAATCATTTCTTGAAATTAAAATATCTCTAATTTAAGATATGAGAAGTCAACTGAACGCTAATTGAGTATACAATATACAAAAGCTTTCTTTCCAATATTATATACAATAACCATTAAATTTTAAAATTGTAAATTTAGCTATTTGGTGTACGTATTATATATTAGGTATAAAAAATATGTACATATACGCAAGTGTAAAGTAATTTATTCAATGTTAGGTACACAAAATATCACGTTCGCAAGCCAATCAAAATTGGAGTTACAATAGTCTTATTGGCACAAAATTTAATGACGAATCAACGCTACGACAAATAAGTATAATTTAAATATAGTACTATATATAATTACATTTTCAATATTTTTAAAAATAATGTTAGCCTTGAAATTTTATGTTCCTAAGGTACAAATAAAGTACGGTTTTGTGAACACCATACGTAAGTGCCCTTAAATGTAGCTACCAAAGAAATTGCTTTTCAATGACAGTCAAGAGTCTAATGTATTTTAATTATAGTTAAATATAAAGTAAATGAAATTGGATAATTTTACTCTATTTCATAATACACTAATAAAACAACCTGTTGTCTTAAAAATACTTAAAGAGTAATACAAACGGCACTGGTCTCGATCATGATGCACAACTATTAATTAAATTTTAAATTATATATTTTTAGTCCCAATGTGGAGGAAAATAGCTTCGAAATTAAGTTAAATTCTGAACGTTATATATAGTATACGTAGGTATAGGTTTTTGGAAACATCTGCGAGAAATTTTAGTAATTGTTAAATTACCGCCGATAGTCAATCTACCAATAATTCTTATCGTGCCTTACAGTCACGTACTCAGAAAAGTAAATTTAACTTTAAAGTTTTATAGTTAATGCTTTCACTTTCTTTGCTATACTTTATCAACACGTGACTTTTATGACATTATATTTATTTGAACAATACAGTAGGTAATTTTATACTTCAATACAAACTACGGTAAAAGGTAAAAAGTGAAAAGGTGAAATGCAATCATTGTTCTGCGTTCAAAATCGAGACCTTGACATAACTACATAACGCTTAAATTGGTTCATAAACTCAAACGGAGTAAGCCTTCATATATTAACCGATTTCTTAGCTACGGGCACTCGCGGTGAATTTGAATACAATCTTCTGAACAGATCTTGAACGTTGTTATCCGGGAACAAATCGGACATTATCACTGCAACAGTAAACGAAGATACAAAATGAAAATATAATAGGTAGCACTTTACATGGCTATTCGTATCTGTTACTTTTATAGTCCAGTCAAATAAGATTCACCTCGAGATTTGAGGTAAAAGGTTAAAAATTTGCAGACCTCCCTTTTGACAAAATAAGTAACGTGTAGTCACAACGGGTGGGATGTAAAGCGGCTGGAATATTTCCTATCGCTCCCCTCCCCTCTCCTCTGCAAATTTTCAGCTTCTTACCTCGCATTCCAAGGATGTTTTTTTTGGTGTGTGTATGCTGTTGGTCACAGATGACCTTTACAGCGTCACCGGGTTTGGTGACGGCGAGATCCTAAGGGGACCTCAAGCCGAGAAGTGGCGAGTGCCTCTAGAGGTATTCCAGGCAGATGGCATCTCCCTATGGGGGGAGTCTCCTCTCCGTCTGGAGCCTCTAGACCACTCGAACCTGAGAGGGTCAGTTCAACTAGAGGGCGTCTCTGAGACTCAGACCTCGGCTCTAGTTAGCCGTTGACGTGGGGGACGGGTCCAAGGATGAGATGATGATCCCTTTTTAAGTTTATTTGACTGGACTAATAAATCTGTACATAATATGACAGTAGTATTTGCTCTTTATGGAAAGAGAAAGTGAGACTGCAATCAAATTTACAAATGTCAAATACGAATAACCTTGTGAAGCAGTGGCATAGTTCTCGCACATTATTCCCGACAAAGTGTTTGAAAGAGACAGAATGTCTAACATTGCCATTTTCGAATTGTTCTATAAAGGCGCGATTTAATGCTTCTTGCGCAATCAAAACCAACTGAGGTTTGGCATTCAAAATTTTGTCCATGGGAAATGTGTCGGCGAATACTAAAATATTTTACACTATACCTGCTCGGAGTGTTTTTTTAATCTTTGTGTAAAAATGAAGCAGAAAGGACCTCATTACAGTTGTGTTGTTGTTACCAAGCGCGATGGAAAAGTTTATGGAAATCCATTGTGAACGTGTTCTTTTTTTTTTTGTTCCGTCAAAGCTAGCGTTTAGTATCATATTGCAAAGGACATGTTTCATATTTGTATGGGACTTAAGCTAGGTCTTGTACATAATGTACAAATAAAAGAAAAGAACATAGTCTACTCCGACTGTGTAAATTTCCATATTATACTTTATTTGGCAGTACAGAATTTTTTAAAATGAATTACGACATTAAAATCTACAATAGCGAACGTAGTTGTTAACGTCAGTTTGGCGTAAATCAAGTCTAGAAAACTTAACGTCACTGTCAGTCATGTGCCAACTAGTGTCAAGTGTCAACAGTTCAGAAATACAATAACAACACAATACTCAACAAAATCTTTCTAAGCGAGTACTTAGTTTTTAGTAATAAATAAATAAAAAATATTACCCCACAATATTTTTTGAGTTACTATAGTTTGTTCAGACTTTTTGAGAATGCTTTAGTTTTCAAATGCTTTTTTTTACACATTACATTTTTAACTTACTATGTTTCCATTACTAATATTACCACAGACTAAGTAAAGACATCGGCAATATCGCCGCATTATTCTTCATTGTACCAATAAATTAGGTAAAGATTATTATTACTTTTCTGGAAATGCTTATTGTTTATCCTAGTTTTTAGGAATGTGTACATAGACCTGGCCCAAAATGAAACATCTCCTTTGCTTTTTAATATTGTGCTATTTGCTTTCAAAACATTAATTTTGAAAAAAAAATAAAAGTATAAAGCGCGCCGATTATTCTATTTTAACTGAGTTTTGAATTTGTTGTCCTCTCTACTTATGGCGGTGTATATTACTGATAATGGAGATTTATTGATACCGCCTGAATAGGGTATTAGTAGACGGTATCGATCCGAGCATTTTGGCGGTAAATTCAAAACCATTAAAAATAAATTCAACTTTAATTGGTCTAATGGAGTAAAAAAAGACATTAATTTATTTATTTGTATTTTTCTGTAAAATCCTTTGTCCCAATCTTTAAATATAAGCAGTTTTCAAAAATTTGGAAAATACCCTATTATAAGAAACTACTTAACTGCAGTTATTGAGAATCTATAACTCGTGAAATAAGAAACCAATGTAAAGCTCTGAGGGAAAAGTCTAGTATTTGTAACAACTTTCATATAAATTACAATAAAAAAATGTGTTTACATTTCCTCGTAGGTATTATGTCAGATCTACTGGTAATAAAACACTCTGTATCCCTTGAAAGAAAGTGCTTTCCCCAACTCGGGTGTATTAAGGCCTTTAGCTGCGCCTCGGACCTCAAACTACACCCTCGTTGGTAATCGGTCACTTTCTCCTCTCGGTGTACAATGAACTATTGTTTTTTTTTTATATATTAAATAGGTGACTAACAAGCCTGATGGTAAGCGGACACCATAGCCTATAGACGATTGCGATACCAAAAATATCTCACTCACCGACAGAAATGAAACATTACCAAAAGGTAGTGTTATTTTAGTGTCGTCTTCTGTAAGGTGGAGGCTACTTCCTAGACGGGCGCTCCAATTCGAGCGGAAAAACCGCTATGCCTTACTTCTCTTAGTGTTCAAAAAAAAACAAAACTTTGCTTAAATTGAATTCCCTTATTTTAATTTATATTTATAAACTAGCGGCCGCCCGCGACTTCCTACGCGTGGAGTTAGTTAGAAATAAAGGTTCACTGCTCGTTCCCTGTAGGTGATAGCGTGATAACATGAAGCCTATATGTTGACCCGACTTCTTAATAATAATCGTGCCAAATTTGAAGTAAATCCATGCAGTACTTTTTGAGTTTATCCCGGACATACATACAGACAAACAGACAAAAATTCTAAAAAGCATATTTTTGGCTTCGGTATCGATTGTAGATCACACCCCAAGTATTCTTTTAAAAAAATATTCAATGTACAGTTTTGACTTTCCTACCATTTTATTATATATATAGATTTACCTTCTAACAGCACGAATATGAGCCGCCTGTTGATCTCCTGCGTTTGGCACAGATCGAACACTGTGAGGAGGCCGCGCCGCGCCGCGTCTGACCCCACTATGTGACGTAATTCGTCTGCGAATCAAATAATAAATCAATCAATAAATATTGAACAACCCACTCGTTAAAATTAATTTATGGTCAGTTTCAATAATCAAACTCCAGTAAGGGATTTATTTATTAAGGACTGCCAACAAGACAAATAGCAATACAAACTGTGAAAGAAAACAATTCTTAGTGCTAACTTAGTTAAAGGCTGCCACTGCATGCGTAAAAAAATACTTAAGAAGTAGACTTACGATAAACAAAATAAGGGTACAAACACTTTAAAACCACAAAAACTTAATATTAGGTACATATTCGTATCTATTCTGACATCATTCACCAGACCCAAAAACAGATCCAACATCAGTCCCTCACTTTCACTCTGTATAGAGAATGACAAGGATACACTGCCGTCAAATCCAAGTCTAGGCCTAAAGAACCTTGCCAGAATCGACAAGGGATAGCCGTAAAAGACTTAGCCCACTTACACGACTCCGCTCCCACCCGGCAAAAATAATATCATTCAAATAAGGACTTTTAGTATTGCTTTTTGTGTTTGATATTTCACTATCATACACTTTTGGGATATTTAACGTGGGTCGTGTCTGTCTGTATTCCGAGGAGTTGTCCGCATTTTTTTTTTGTTTTTTTTCTCTTTTGATCCAAGCCTGGAAACTAGGTCATGTATTAATTTGTAGTTACTAAATCCGAATTTGGGTCAGATTTGGGATTGCTAAATCCGAATGTGGGGCCAGATTTGGGATTGCGGTCCAGCCAGGGGACCCACGGGAGGGGTCGTCAGTGTTAACTAAATTTTTTTTTCCTGTAACAGAATTTGATCGCAGATCCAATTTTTGAAAATAAAGACGTCCAGCGTTTTTGAGGAGGGGGACAATTTTTTTTTGTTACACGTTAAGATATCATAAACTATCAAACTACCCGCATTTGCACGACAGTCGCTAGCTAATTCATGGTTTTAGATAAACTTTAAATTCGCAACATAATTTAGCCGAGAGCCCCCACAACAGCGATAAAAAATATAAGCGAAATTTGCCGGGTCACCAACCAGTAGGGGGAGAGGGGAGCAAATCGTAATTGTGGTCGTCGATGCCCTGGGACAACAGATTGATCCTTCGTTGCCCCACCCTTCTAAAGCCGGCAATGATTATTAAAACTGGCCGTTAATCAGATGATTAAATAGCGACCAAAAGTAAATCCGGAGAAAAAAACATTTATTTTTATTTATTTAGAATAACAAATAATTGTGCAATATTGTATGTAATGTAGTAACACTTTTAAATATATTGATGTCATTACACAACCAACACCGTTATCCACTAAACATGTATCACAACACAGAGATTATATTATTATAAAACATGATAAGTTTGTAATATCGACTACTTGCAAATTGATGGTATAATTAAAAGGTTACAAAACACAATTTTTAAATGTTTGGTAAACAATCGGTAATGGCGTTTTTATATTGAATAAAAGACATTGTAAACAAGTCCAAATCAAAGTCTGATAAGTTGTCAAAACATAGTTGAACACAGGTGATAATTACCTGAACACGCCGAAAGAAGCGCAACTTTAGCGGCTACTCTCGTTCGAGCCTTTGTTACCGCATCCCTATTGCTGTAGTTAGTATTCTGTCTATTTGTAAGCCATTGCCTAGACAAAAATCGTAAAATAAATTTAAGCTTATTAAAAACTTTAAAAAATATACATAAGAAATTAGAAAATAAGTAAGGAGTTGAATGGCGTAGTGGTTACCATGTAAGGTATAATTTATCGTAGAAGTTAAGCAAGTTTCCTTTAACTCATAGGATAGGTGACCAAAAATTTATAATTTTAAGCTCCTCTGTGCTTAAAGAAGCACACTAAGCCATTGGTCCCGGATAAAACAAAAAAATAGCTAAGGGTTTCCTTTGTCCCTGTAATAAATTTCGATGACTTCATAATTATAGTGACATTAAAATACGTTACTTAATCTTCTTCGCATACTCACTTAAATGATTTCAAATACTGCACTACGTTTTTTCGTGAAGTTAACGAAGACACGAGCTCAACGACTTTTCTGTGAAAAAATATAACCAAATAAAGGTAAAGAGCAATTCTGACAAATCAACTTATGAACAATATTTGAGGTGTCATATCTATGAGATCAAAGTCATAGTCATATCTCATTAAAGTCGTAATTTTCTGCTCCACATTTATAATCTAGTTTAAAAGACTGTGTATATGCATATATATCAAGCCGGCCGGATATAACAGGGTAATCATGGTATGGGTGACCAAAAATCTCTAGTCACATTGCCTTTGCCTGCCACCTGCCAAATCAACATACAAATCGTGTTAGTTCCTTATAGCAACAGAATTAGAGTTTATTTTCGGACCTCATTTTACTAGATAGAAAGTGTACTTTATTCTGTCGCCGTAAGGAACTGACACGAGCTGTCAGGATAGCATTCTTTCGTTGGCCGCGGTATGGTATCTATATCTATGAGTGTATAAAATAAAGTCGCTCTTTGCGTTTTTAAGTGCCGGTATATCCACTTAAGCCTCATAATCACGCAACGGATATCGATGAGATTTTACCACAAGTTCGATAATAATAGCAATACGAGTACCTATAGTTCAAACTTATTGGTGACTGTGAAGTTAGTGCCAGTGGCGGCACATTAAACAAAATATATCAGAAACCTGATACCAGTTGATTGATGCACGCCCTGCTAACTTCACAGCCGCCATAAAGTTAAATCGCACTATAAGATGAATACGGCAGCATTAAGGAAATAATGGACAGCAGCGTGCAGAGTAAAAACAAAGGGCTAAAGATAAATCAACTTTTATAAAAAATCCCAAAGAAGGCTAAAAAACAGTATATTTACTTGTTCACTCGATCAGCTATGAGGGTTCTTAGTGGCGCAAGCAATCTTCGACGAAGCCAGAGTCCTCTTATACCGAGCACTTCTTCAAGTAACCGCAATGCCACACTTTCATCGCTATCCTTTAGACAAAACAATGAATTACTCGCTAGTGATTAATTATGTGAGGCACAAAATAATTACAAATAAACGTAAATCATATAAATATCACAAGAGGGGGAGGAGTAGTGAGATATCAAGTGTTCTGTTTCCTTAAACGCGCGATTTCCAAACTCTTGCAAATTAGATTCTGAAGCTTTATGGCATAGATAAATAGGTTCAAACTTCCACCTTTACATTTAGTTTATATTAATGTACCTAGTTGAGTGGTAAAAATCTCGTTAGTTACGATAATTTCAAGTAAAAACTCACATCTTGACCGTCCGACGAATTGCTACTCTTCATACCATCATACGAAGTTTCATTAGTCTTCCCTTGAAACACTTTGGAAATACCTGAAAATCAAAGTTAAATAATGTTCTAATCCGTAATTAAACTTCATGTTTTTTCCCATAGTGGAATGGAATTGAAAAAAAACGATAGATCAACCTGCTAATAATCGGAAGTCTATCATGTATCAGGAGAGAATATAGCTACAGTTATTGATTATAGGACTACGAATATAGCTCTTATGGCTACGTGATAAAGGCGTAGTCAACGTCAAATAATATCTAATGTGGATTAAACTGTGAGATTTTATAAAGTTGTTTTACCATCCATAACGCCATCCACGGTGTTAACGAATTGATCCGGCATATTCTTCAATGTCCTCATGCCTGCTTTCAACGGATTCACAAACAGCGCATCGAGCTAAAAAATAATTGATAATAAGTAATAAGACATACGTAACATGTCATAAAGTTATTTTTTCAAATACAGTAAAAACTAAAAGGTAACATCATACACATTTTTTGAACATGAAATAAAATAATGCCAATTTGTAGGGTAGGAAGGGCAACAAATAGCAAACAATTTACAGGTATTACGACATTGAGTTCTGGTACCTTGTATCTTAATCTATTCGTTAACTTAATACTATCGTAACGGTTGTGACATATGCATGTCATACAATATTGTTGCAAAAAAATCAATTCAATTTATTTGATATTCCGTCCAATTTCGAGAAAATTAAATTTTTATCGATATAAAAAAATGATTACGCCATACTAACTTTTTTTGGGGAATTTTGTAATGAGACACTGACATCACTTTGAAAATGTCAAGATGGATTAGTAAATTTTTTCAATCATATAATGCGTCCTTAATAATTTCGGCAAAATTTTAACGCGCAGCTCGGTATTTCAAAGCAATAATTTCAACACGAAACTCTGTGATTGTCGTGCTTATCGTTTAACGTTACATTGAACACTAAGTGATGGGAAACTACTTAGAATCAAGCAGTTGGCTCTTAATTTTTTCAACGTCATCTACGCTCCCATGCTCTATCTAGGAGTAAATAATCAAAGGATAGTAGTAGTATATACTTAGATAAATATGTGTTATATGATTATTCTATGGGAACAAAATTAAATTCGGTTTTAAAATAAAGTAGCATTAAGTATTTTAATAACTACGATAAGTAGTGAGGGCGTGATGGGAGCAGCTTGCAATCTCCTTCTCACTTGTGGCGCTTATGGCCAATACTTCAAGCCTAAGCAGTGCCTTATCTTTTTAAAAATATAAAATTGTTGAAACTTCAAAAGTGACAATCTTGGTTGTACCGTATACATATACACAACTGACCAAATCCGTAGGCAGGATTAATTATAACATGTTTTTTTTAAAGAATGCCTAATAAATTGCTCTCTACCCCAACTGATGTTTGTGATATCCATTTGCAATGAAGAATGTAATAAATAACTCTAATTATAACAAAATGAAATTACTCACAGCATTGATATGCTTCTCCGTCTGTATTTCAGGACTCAAAAAGCCTCCCAAGTAGTCTGGAGATAGCAGAGTCATATATTGAGTTTGGCGAGCGAGATTAGCCAACCTCTGGAGGTAGCTATTCAGCATCCTCTTACGACTCTCCAGCACTGACCGGGATGTGTTCTGGAAGGTTTTCTTCGCCGGAAACGGAAGATTGGCCAGCTCGGGCCACTGAGTTAGAAGAAAATATCAATTTACAACTCATCCAATAACAAAATTTTAAAAAATCTAACATTACTGGACAAATTTAACTGCATTAAAACATGGCGGTTTTATTCGTGTCTTATACCTTAAGAAGGTAGAAGCTTTTCTTGTGAACAATTATCTCCACATCTGTACTAATATTAAAAAAAGGAAAGATTTGTACACTTGTAAGAACTAAAACTAGACAAATTTCTAAATTTCTTCCATCGTTAGAATACTACATTATCTCTAGAGTAATAAAAGGCTATATTTTATCGCGTTAAAATAAAGTTCACCCGTGCTAAGCAAGGGTGCATCGCTAGTACACAAATAAAGTTATAGTATCAATTTTATTATTACCTTTTCTTTGATGGAAGTGTGCAAGTCATAAAAGTCGCTATATCTCCTGTATATGTGCCATATTTCGTTATCAGACTGTCGGGTGACAGCTATTGCATATATGCCGAAACTTTTTCCTTTGTCTTGCACAAGAGCTAAAAATGAATATCAGTATTCAAACAGGAAATTTTATACTATTCAATCCTACACTCATTCTATGGTCACAAGTTTAATAATAGTAGTGGAACCCAAGCGGCGGTTTTGGAATTGCAGAAATGCGGCAGAATAACATAACCTTACAATTTGTGAAGTACTTCCACCATTCCTGAGCCCTTTCTTCCTTCCTATTCACGCCTAAATCATCATCAGCCTATTAATGTCCCCACTGCTGGGGCACAGGCTTCCCTATGGATGGAATAGGGAGATTGGGCCATGACCCACCACGCGGGCCCAGTGCGGGTTGGTGGGTGCTAACGACTGCAGATGCAGCCGGGACCAACGGCTTAACGTGCCTTCCGAAACACGGAGGAGCTCGAGATAGTAAATTATGGTCACCCATCCAATGACCGACCACTGCGAAAGTTGCTTAAATTCAACGATCGCTGCGGAACGCGCTAACCACTTGCGCCATCGAGCTCCTCGCCGCCACGCCTAAATAGAGCAATCCAAATAAATTACGCAAAGAAAACGACTTACATCAACGTGCAATGTGTGCGTGAATCTATATCAGATTGTTTTTAGCAGTTATGTGTACGTGTGCAGCGACGAGCGCATCTACCATATGTAATAGATATTTTTTGGGCCGCTTCCGAACCGCGTGACGGTATTTAGGCGTGTATATAATTAAAGCCTGATTCTTTTATATAGGGCTTGTTCGCTCGGTAAATAGAATGCTCAAAACAATGTTGCGTTGTTTCAATTGATGACTGAGCAAGAGAGCATTCGTTTCCTGAGTAAAGTCTGAGAACCACTGCCGGATTTAGGGGAGGGCAACCGGGGCGAAAGCCCGGGGGCCTCCACAAAAGGGGGCCCTCAGAATAGACTTCGGAAAAAAAAATCTTTCAAATTCCAACTAGTAAACACTAGTAAACATCTTTTCCTTTGATATATTTTTTTGCTCTTTTACCTTTACCCAGGGCCGAATTTAAGGCAGGGCAGGTGTGGCTGTGGCCCAGGGGCCTCCACAACAGCTTAAGAAATAACAACATTTCGATGGGTCAATAAGCATACAAATCCTGAGAGGCCCGGGGCCTCCACAATCCTAAATCCGGCCCTGCTGAGAACTCGTACGCTCGCTCTGAAGTTTCCATTTAACGAGCGGACAAATGTTTGCTTGTTCAGAACTGTTCTAAGCCTAAGTGGAAACGCAGCATACGGTCCCATTTTTGCCCCTCCCCCACGTAGTGCTACCAAATTGTTTCACCAGTGCCAGTGTAGTATGAAGTAATGTTCACTATTCTGTTGGCTTTCAATATAACGACTATTAAACGACGAAGAGGAAGGATACAATGGAAACAGACAATGTTAAAGTATATCGCTAACAATTAAAAAAATACTTACCAGTTTCGATTATGGATGCAGACAAGGGCGACATCATGTTTTTCGTACTCCGACTAATTTCAGAATGCGAAAGTGATAAATTACTCGTATTAGCCGAGGTTAAATTCGAAGGACCTAGAAATGGAATTACACTTTCTATTAAATCTATTAAATATATATTTGTATCCAACATACAAAAGATAAATAATGGTTTTCAATATAATAGTTTAATTGATGACATACATGTTGAATGTATGTTTACTTGAAACATTTACTTGGAAACCTGAGATTAATAAACTATGGAAATATTTAAATAAAAAATCAAGATTATATTATATTACCATAAAGTATGGGAAAGTATTAATCTAACCTGCACTTTCGTTGATCAACCTTTGTGCTATATTTCCTACTATGTCTGATCGCGACCTGTTGTGTCTCATCCCTGGTACTGTCATAAACTCCCCTACAAAACCACATTAATATTATATTTTTTTAAACATTTAGCACAGAATCAACACTATTCTTTAAAAAAACAATAAATTTGATACAATATCATTAATATTCTAAGCCTAATATAAGGCTTAGAAATCAGATTTCAAATAATACCAGAATTAAGACTGAATTTCAAATGTTGCATTTGCTCAACAAAGTTGCAAGAAAGTGAGCGAATTGCATGTTTTATTATTATTATCATAAAATCGTTTTATATAGCCACAAATCAAATACACCAATGCGTAATTGTGATGCATTAACTACAATTACGTGTTTAAATTCGGTCACACTTTTAGATCATACATTTTAATGTTGTAGACTTTTAGCAAATTCTTTAATCAGTGAGTAGTTCACACAGCGTGTAACAAGAAAAACCGACTATCAAGTGTATATTCAAAATGTGCACTGAGCTGAAATAATACCCGTGCACTATACATAAACTATAGCATTGTGATAATAATGTAGTGTTCCTAATCATTGAACTGATTTAAATTAACCACAACAGCTCTTCAGACTACACAAATGTCAAAATCCTCCAATCGATTTTTAAATTTAATGCTTGTCTGGCTTAAAGTTAATAAAAGATTGTGCAGTGGTAGCATGATAATGTATGTTGAGATCTATAACCAGCTAAGAACCAAACGATTGGGTCACCATCGGATATTCGGTCTGCCTGCTATCTCTGCTAAGATTTGGGGTAATTATTATTTGGAATTGTGAAAAAAATAATAGGACAACCGGGTGCATTGAGCCAAGTAACGTAATAATAAATTACAAAATAATGAAAATACTCTTATAATTGACCACAGACATAAACAGTATGGAAAACAAAACTAAACAGATGGTAAAATACATAAAACGTTAATGCTATTAAACGCTGGTTCAGTTCCGGCCCTAGACCCGAACCGACTTGAATTTATTATAGAAAAAAGTTTTTAGATATATAATATTAATATGTATAAACTTCGAGTAGAGATACATTTATTCGATTTAGTCAGTCTAAGGTACGTCGTACGTAGTCACGAGTAAGTGTCGTGATTCATGAAAGAGACTGTCAATATAAAATTTAGTTTAATTGAAATATTTTCTATAAGTATACTGTTTATATCCGTCTGACATAATGACTAAAATGTACTGAAGATGAGATGTACCAACTACATAGTATTATAAAATATCTGATGGTTTGCCAATTTATTGCCATAGTGACTTATGTAAGAACATAAATGCAAATTAGGCGAAATTATTACTTAAAACAATAAATAGCTTCGATTTTTTACCACTCTCTCAAAATCAACTTACGTAGTCTATGGATATAACATTTTATTAAAAATGTACAACCCATTGCTGTACTTATTCATATTACGATAAGATTCTTTATTAGACTTTTCCAAACGAATGCGTAAGTAATATTTTTCACTATAATGTTCTTCCGACTATCTTTCTTATTTATTTATATATATATATATAGAAACTAAGTTTGAGTGTAGTTTGGTTCTTCCATATTTTACTAACTACAATTAGTCGGCACATCTCTAAAATACCACATAATTTAAAAAAATACTACCAAAATTACTGCATTTAGGTAGTGTGTGGTTCTTGTTACTTGGTATTCTTCGGGTGAAGGACCGAGGGAATGTGAAGGACTTGTTTGGGAGGTCGTACTTGAATTTCGATTTGAAGAGCAACTTTGGCAATTGGTGTAGGCAATTCTTCACGATTCTCTTGCACTTCTCTGGAGATAATAATATAAAGCTTCTTTGGAAAAGCAGGTATAAGTGACGTGAGATTAAGATTTTTAAAATTTGCACGGTTTTTTTTATAAAAATAATCTCTTCGTGCTGTTCAAAGTGTTGCCAGTTAAAAAAATTTTTGTTCTTATGCAGTGCTATTCTGCTAATTGGTTTCATCTGCACTTTATTTCATGTAACTATATATTGATGGGAAAGACTTACCACTATATTTCTTATCACTCTTCTCCTCTTTCTTGTATTCTCTATAACATGAAAAATAACTTTTAACACACGAACACCTTTCAGTGATTATTTGTCATTTTTAAAACTCAGAAATTATCATTACTGTAGTACTATGTTGTGGTCCTTTATAAATAAATTAATTAATATTTTTCTGAATACTTCTGATAATCTATTTTTTCTTTACAAAACCGTACTGTTATTTGCTTCTTTTGTAACTGTTCAATATATTTACTCACATATTGTTTTTTTCTGCAGCCTCTTCGGCATCCATCATAAAATCTGCTTGCCATGACGGATCATCCTATCATAAAAAAAGAGAGAAAATAATGGAAAATCAGTCATGGATGTTAAATATGTATTTCAATATACTTATACTATATATATATACAGGGCGTCCCACGGCTACCTCACACGGAGGGAAAGTATATTAAATATTGAAGATAGGATATTTAACTGAAAGAAGACATCATTTTATTTTTAAAAATAAATAGAAATGCATTCACAGATTTTTTTAAAATCGCCTGCTACAAATGGGAATCAAACACGTGAAATTTCGAAAAAAAAAACGACATATTTTATGATAACCATCGAAAGGGTTAATTATAATGATTATTTTTTGCTAAATAACATAGCATTTTTAATGAAAGAAAAGTCATTAAATTTAACATTTTATTGAAAATTATTTAAAACAAACTAATATAAAAACGAAACGGTGCATGAAAAAAAATGAAATTTATCAAATGTTCAAAATGTAATCCATTTTGTTTTATGCAAATTCTTACATCTTTTAGTAATAAAATGAAATGAAATCCAGTCCGTGGGTTCTGGCAATCCGAGTCCAGTGGGGTTTGATCTAGGGATCTCGCTGGTCATCTAATTTGTCCATAAGTACCGATCCAGGAAGGGAAATGCTCATTAAGAAACTCGGCAGTTCTCCTACTGTTATGAACCGGAGCCCCATCTTGCTGGAAAATGCGATTTCGTCGATTTGCATCAAGAAGATTATTTATCTCACCTCTTAAAATATTAAGTATTTCTAGATATATTTCAGTGTTCAGATTCCCTTCGTAAAAATGTATTAAGAGAACCCGGCTTTTAACAATCCCACACCAACATAAAACAAAACGCACTTGTTCATTAGTCTCGCGGATTCGTAAGGGATTCTGTCTGGACCAAATACGATTATTCCTCCGGTTGTACATACCATTGTTACTGAAGTTTGACTAGTCTAGAAACTCACAAAAAACTAAAGAACAGACGCTTGAAAATTTATGTGTTTCATTTTCGAATTATTATTTTTACAAATTTCACCCAACCGCATTCTAACTATGAGTTAAAAAAGAAATGCATACGTACTACAGTTTGTATATCACTTTATTATTTTTATCACGTAATAAGACATTCCTTTCATTTAAAATGCTATGTTATTTAGATATAACAATCCTTATGATTAACCCTTTCGATGATTATCATGAAATATGTCGTGTTTTTTTTTTCGAAATTCCACGAGTTTGATTCCCAATTGTAGCAGGCGATTTAAAAAAATTGTGAGTTCTAGTTAATATTAAAAATAAAATAATGTCTTCTTTCAGAAAAATATCTATCTTCAATATTTAATATACTTTCCCTCCGTGTGAGGTAGCCGTGGGACGACCTGTATATATATATCGGTATATGTATTCTATCCGTTACCCTAGTATCCCATAACAAGCCTACAGTGCTTACTTTGTGGCTAGGCTAATTGGTGTGAGTGTTGGAAACATTTATTATTTTTAATAAATAATGAATATGAATCAAAATGCTCTTTTTGAGAAAAAACTATTATGTTCCAACACAATTTAACCGATATAGCAGAGGTTCTCAAACTTTTTCTATCTACCGCCCTCTTTGAGAATTCATCATTCTCTGTCATCCACAAAAAATATTGGTTTCACAGTTTTTAAACTCATAGCATGTTAAAAGCGCCTTTGCAAATTATTGTTACAATTAAATAATTCAGCAAAAAAAAACATCGATGTAGTACAAAATAGAAATAGAACCTCTATTAGTCGCGCAAGTTGGCACGCTCGTCGCCTCTGATGTTTCTAGTTTCTATATTCACAACATGTGTTTTAGTTTCATACAAGTGCGAATCATATTGCTAATAAATTATATTCAGTGGTGATTTAAACTGAATATTTTGATTATTTATTTAATTTTTCAAATTAAACCTGAACTTTATTGACTGTGTTGACTATCCTTTTCCAATCCCTTCATTATTTTATTATAATTAATTATTTGCATGCAATTAAAAACTATTTTTTAATGATGCCTAAGAAGTATAACTTCTCACGCGCGTACATAAGTACACGCACCCATTTTTTTTTGGTCACGTTTGTGGTTTACTGATATGAAATGGTTTTTCTTTTAAGTTTATTGAATGAACTTTCAAATGACTCCAATATTGGTGGGGGTACATGCGCGTGTTAAGGGTTATTAACGCTTGAAAGTTATTTTCGCGCGGGTGCGATCTTTTTGACGTCGAGTGTATTGACTTTTAACTAATAAAGGAGTTGTCCCAAGAATGCCCCAGAGTCGTTTCATGTTTGATTACAAAAAAACACTACGAAACCCCCTATCATATCGGAAAAAGCATAGAGATAATTTACATTTCTAACGCTAAAACAGAAATCCCATATCTAGCAGGGTTTAAAAATATGAAAAAATAAATTACTAAAATTACAATGCCTACGAACAATGCCACAGATTAAATAGATTATTGCGCTATTTTTGTTGTATTAAACTTCCCTGATTACTAGAAAGGCAAAAGAATAGAGAGTTCAGACATCCAATTCTTGTGTTTATTTCTGTTGTTGTGTAATGCCGGGACTGAACTTGGGTTTTCGTGTTTGCTATTTGTAAACTTGACATCAGTTTGTCCTTTTCACTCCTTATAAAGCGGGATTTAAAAATATAAAAAAAATACTAAAATTGCAATTCCTACGAAAACAATGCCACAGATTAATTAAATAGATTATTGCGCTATTTTTGTTGTTTTAAACTTCTTTGATTACTAGTAAGGCAAAAAAATAGAGAGTTCAGAAATCCAATTATTCCGTTTATATCCGTTATTGTGTAATGCTAAGACTTAATTTGCCTTTTCGTGTTTGCTATTTGTAAACTTGACATCAGCTTGTCCTTTTCACTTCTTATAAAACGTCATATGGACAGACTTTTATCAAGTTTGTAGATAACAATTACGATTAGCCAAGTGAAGTGCCGGCATAATATTACCTTGATTGAAGAAATTTAATGATTTATACAGTGTTTTTATTTTATAGAATATTATTCAAATCGAAAATACAGGGTGTTACAAAAATGCAAATAAAGCTTGAAGGGCGTTGAAGAACATCATATAAGGAGTCTTCTCTAATTTTTTTAAAATAATTTGCATGAAGTTTTAACTTTTTATAAAAATAGTTATTTTTAATGATTAATAAAAATATCATTTTAAGACACGTCACTAGTTCGAGGATCATTAAAAATAACTATTTTTATAAAAAGTTTAAACTTCATGCAAATATTTTAAGAAAATTAGAGAAGACTCCTTATATGATGTACTTCAACGTCCTTCAAGCTTTATTTTTATTTTTTTAACAGCCTGTATAAATACTGTTTATAAAAAGTCCTAACATTTGTTTTCCTACCACCACCACTAATTCAGTAGATTTTAAGCAGTGGAGAAGAAACGGTCTGCGTTATATTTTATTCTATCGGATAATATTGTCACATAAAAATAGTAAATAGTGGAATCCTTAAAATAAACGCTATTTTCGATCATGAAGAAGTGAGAACTTAATCGCGGTATAATCGAGGAAGCAAATTCGACACACTTCGTATCAAATACTCCATCAAACATTAGAATGCGTTACACCCATGTTACACGTTCACTGTAATGATTTTCACTGCGTGGGCGTTTAGCACACAGTTTGAGAAATACTGGACTATAGTAATAAACACACAAGTTCTCACTAATATTCTAACATACCTCTAAAGCGTCGCACACGCATTTCTGGACATCTTCGAAGCAAATCACTGGATTGTTCGTAAAGTCCTCTCCTTCGGTGTTAATCTTTCTCACTAGTTCTGAATAACAGTTCTCCGGTATACCCATTACTGGGGGACGGTTCGGTGCTAGGAATAGATCGCACAATTCCAATGCTGACGAACGGAGGTTATCTAGCACCGCTTTGGACGTATGCGTTGCATCTGAAAAGCGTTAACCTCTCTAATCAAGGTTACTTTCAGAAATCATCATCAGCCTATTAATGTCCCCACTGCTGGAGCACAGGCCTTCCCTATGAATGGAATAGGGAGATTGGGTCATGACCCACCACGCAGGCCCAGGGCGGCTTGGTGAGTGCTGACGACTGCAGATGCAGCCGGGACCAACGGCTTAACGTGCCTTCCGAAGCACGGAGGAGCTCGAGATAGTAAATTTTTGGTTACCCATCCAATGACCAACCACTGCGAAAGCTGCTTAACTTTAACGATCGCAGCCGAACGCGCTAACCGCTTGCGCCATCGTGCTCCTCAGACTTAGTACTTCAAGTACTTAGACAACTTGCAGAAATAGTACTGGTTATTCAAGCAGGGACATCTTAAGTAAAGCGCCAAGCTTGAAACATCAAAATTCAACTGTCTTTCTGTAAATGTCTTTAACAAAATAACAATATTATGTAACTTCGGGTCTTACTGTAGAGAACTATGGACACAAGAAATTAGGCAACTGTTAAAAAATTGCAAAACTCAATTCAAAGACATCACATGATAATTAGACAGGCTTCAGTTAGGTGATAATAACAAAGCCTAAGATTTAAATTTAATTCATATCGCAGCTAAACATAATTGGTGAGAATTATAGCCTATTGATATAAGGCATAAGATTCATTTTAGCTTATAGGATTAACCTATACGGAATTTTCGGATACAATTTTAATCGTTGCGTTTAGCACTAATTTGAAGTTGAGGTAAATACAATATTATTATGTTGTTCATACCTGCTTCATTTAGCTCTATATCAAGTAAATATTGGGCGCTAGATCTCCAGGTAGTGGTGGCTCTTAAAAATTTCAACGATCTTGCTACTTCTTCTGTTACTTTTTCCGTATTGCTATTATTTGTGGCACCTGCAAATAACGCTTCATCACTTTCAGCCTACTAATAAATGCCCTGCCATAACTTTTAACTTAGCGATGCGATGAATTTATACGACTACAAAATTCGGAAACAATTGCTTTTGGGCCTTCCAAATCAAAGTGGTGCTCAAAACAGTTGGCGGCATGTGATGAACACAAATAAAGATTCCCGAATCCAATCATAATATAGTAAGCATGAATATCTCCAAATTCGGAAATAAATGATTGATGAGCTGGCAAAAATAGTTATTTTTTTTAATTATTGATCAAACGCGACTAAACACACTTAGCTATCGAGTTCTTTGAACAAATAATATACGACAATATAACATACAATATAAAAGTTAGCAATAATTCATTGCACACCTTCCTGTGGTCCCAATGTTGCTCTTCTGGCTTGAATTATCCTACTTAAATATTGCAACGACGACAGCTTTTGACGATCATGCAACTCCCATTCACCAGCACTGTCTTTAGAATGCTGAAAGAGACATAGATTCATTTCTTTGAATTTACATGATCACTAAAATGAAGTAATAGGGAATTTGACGGTATTAAAAATGAAGTACCAATAGGAGCCAGTATTTAATATAAATCTTGAAATTTTTACAGAAAACATATTGATGATTTTACTCAAAAATCAGGAAATAGAAAATGTTTTATTTATATATTGTCACGTAATCGAAAACGCGTAGAATTGGCGGAACCTAAAATGACGTCACACATATGCATATTTTATGAAATAATTTATAATATCGTTTTTTAATGAAATACTCGAGAAATAAAACTTAAAAAAGAAAAATAACCACTTTTTATGGAGTCCATAATACACTAGTAAATAACATAAACTCATTTTCAAAATAGGTACCCTATTAGCTTAATTAGCGAGATTGCTACCATGTACCTTGATATTTGAGAGTCCCCGATATTTTGGCACTATTGCAAGTGCCTTGATCACGGAGTAACTGTACTCTGAGTTAGTTCATGATCATGCTAACATAACACAATAGGGGCAATACTGCCGTGTAACTTAAATGTACATGGTTAAAGTAGTGGGAAAAGTGCCCTCAGATAGTGACTAATTAAATATATGTGTTAGTGGAGAAGCCAATGTTTCAATAAAGCTTTAGATACTGTTTCGACAGGGATATTCAGTAGGCTTCCTTTTACATCTGTATGAAATTCTTTATCGAACTGTAATGTCATAGCTGAGTCGAACATTTATAGACTAAGACTGCAACTCAAAGGACACTATTTCGTATTTCTCCTATAATTAAAAATATATAAAAAATCTTACAAGTTTTTGTATGTCCTTCTGAACCAGTTCTAAAGTTGCGTCTAATTCTTCCGCATCGCCACAGCATCTTATAACTAATAGGAACAACTCTGAAGGCAGTGTGGAATCCCGACAACACTGTAAAATGAATTATTTTTCAGAACATTAATACTGATTAACGTTTTAAGTGTGAAGGGAATTGTTACTGTGAAGCTGTGTGATATTTTATGAGACAATTTTTTTATCAAAATATTGGTTCAATTAAATTCTAGACATTTTATTTTTAAGCTTGATATTTCTAAATATCTATAGAACTTAAGCAATTCTGTGCAAAAGCCAGTAACATTATAGGGCGATACATTGTCACATTCAATCATTCAAACAAAACATAATATAAGATAGGGTCTCTTTTTATCTTTGACCCAAGCATTGTTTTGAAATAAAATGCTACTTACAGTTCTGATAATAGTTCTATTTATGTTGTCTGGGTCACTCAATAGATTGATCAATGGCCTCATTACAACTGATGATAACAGGTCTCTTAGAATCAACTTTAGTGCGTGGCACTTCCATACCTCTTCCGGTGTCACCAAATATAAAACTGCTTCAGATATTTCACATATTAACGCTGAAATATAAATAAATATACCACATACATCCCGGGTATTTTGCTTATATAAAATGATAAAAAGAGAACAGAAATCTGGAATGAGGGATGTATGACCCTAGCTTTGGCATGAATCCCTTAAAACATGTTTCAATCATCTTATGATTTAATCATGTGATGATGCTTCAAAAATAGGCTGTCTGTAAAGTCGGTTTACGGACGATGATTTTACGTGTTAACGTGTCCTTCGCTGTTTTCCTCGGAACAGTTTTGTGCTCTCCGTATCAGAAGGCCAATTTAATTAAATGACTTTGTATGATATTCGACTTCAAAGTAAAACGACCTACTAGTAAAACCTCTGAAATTTTAAATCGTAATACAAGTAGAACGTCTGTAATGTATAAACGGCATGTTGAGCAAAAATATTGGTACACTGACGTAGAATTAAATAAACCAAAGATAAAAAAAAATAGCGAGCCTTACAGTAGTCGCGTATGATGTGTAACATTTGAAACCTCACCTTATATTAGTAAAAAAAGAAATAACCCTACTACAAAAGGAATAAGCCATTTGAACATTATGTTCTAAAATCAAATCTAATAGCGCGCGCTTTCGCGACTTCCTGTTGCACACTTCCGTCCCATTTCACGAAATCACTCCCACAAATTGCAGGAAAGCGAGAGGAAAGATGTTACACATCAAAAATAAAACATTATTATAATAATTAATACACACATCAAAAGTGTCTAGGGATCAAGCATTTTTATGCGGATTTCTTGAGATTAAGATGTGGCTTTGTAATAAATTTATGATTTTATAAATTTATATGGATCCTTTTTGGTGCATTTCATAATTTGAATCAGGAACTGTGAATCAAATTCGAGTAAAAGATGAAAATCAGCTGTCAATATTTTCCCTATAAAAACATACAACGCATTGAAGACATTATTAGTGCTACTGTTTCCCTACTACTGATTAAAACCAACGTTATTATGGAGCGGCGACGTCATTTAAGCAGGGAAGAAATGCTCAGAGCCGTGGGAATGATAGAAGCTGGTTCCCGGCAACGTACTGTGGCTTTAGCTCTGAATACAAGTCAGAGTGTTATCAGTCGACTTTGGACACGATACCGAAGCACTGGTACCGTGTCTGAGCGCCATGGAGGACGGTATCGCTGCACCACACGGAGACAAGACCGATACATTCAAATCTTAACTCGAAGAGCTCCAACAATAACCGCCATGATGTTAGCCGTGAGGCTTCATCACTCTTCAGGGAACTTAATTAGGGACCAAACAGTCAGAAACCGCTTGCATGAAGTGAACCTTCATTCCCGAAGACCGCTACGGGTACCACCTATAGCAATGCACAATCGTAGGATTCGATATCAATGGGCTCTTGAACACAGAAATTGGGCAGAAGAACAATGGCGTTTCGTGTGCTTTTCTGATGAGTCTCGTTTTGGTATGAGACCGGATACAAGACGTATACGACACTGGAGAACCCCTGGACGCCAACAGCGATTAAAATCCTGCCAGGAAGTCCATCCTTATAGTGGTGGAACCATCATGGTATGGGCGGGTATTTGGATCGGCGGAAGAACTGAGTTGATTTGGATCAGAGGCAACCTCAACGCTCAAATTTATGCTGAGACGATTGTATCAGACGTCATCGTTCCTCTACAAGTGCAAATCGGTCCCTTATTTCAGTTAATGCATGATAATGCACGACCGCACACAGCAAGAGTTGTAAGACAGACTCTCGCCGCAGCTAACATTAATGTCCTGCCCTGGCCTGCTCAGTCGCCAGACTTGAACCCGATTGAGCATGCATGGGATATGCTACAGAGAAGAGCTCTGCCGAATATGGAGGGTATCCAGTCGCAAGAAGACTTGTTGCAACGAACATGGGCGGCCATTCCACAGCGTGATTTGGATGAACTCATTTTGAGTATGCCAAACCGATGTTCTTGTGTTGTTAGTGTTCGCGGTAGAAATACGGATTATTAATTGTTTAAGTTACCCAATAAAATTTTAGAGAAAACTGTTATTTCAGTCTTTTTTTCGAACTTTTGTGTTAGTGGTTCAAATGTCAAAAATCCCTTTATTAGGAAAATGGCAAATTTCTTTATTAATGCAAAGGTGACTTGGTTTATCGTTACTGTGACAAACGAAAACACTTTATTTGATGAATCCTTAAAGAAAATTTTAATTAATATCAATCAGGAGAAAAGTTATTGCAAAAATATATGTTGATCCCTAGACACTTTTGATGTGTGTATAAGTTATTTACGGGATTGTTACCATGTACCTTGTTTTTAGCGTGTTTCCTATATTTCGGCACTGTTGCAAGCGCCATGATCGGAGGCAGTTGAACAGTGGTAAATAAACGCAATAAAAGACTTCGTCGGAGGGTAGACCGATAATGCCTGCCAATAACAGCCTACCCGCAATTGCGGTTTTGTACCCGCAACTGAAGTAATTACTTCAGTTACTCCGCGATCATGTCGCTTGCAACAGTGCCGTAATATCAGTACTCGCTAAAAACAAGGTACATGATAACAATACCGTAAATAACTTAATATTACTATAATATTAGTGACCTTGAAATTTTAATACAATATAAAAATCATTACGGTTTTTTTTCTTTACATATTATGAAAAAAAAAAACAATAAAGCCTTTTTTCATAGGTATGTGACACTAAAAAGCGTTATATTATCATATATACTTTTTCAGAGGGTTTAGCAATTGTCCTATAAAATAATGCGTTTCAAGTGCGAAACACATTTTAATAAAAAGGGGGATATTATTATTTCATTTACTTCTAATTTTTTAACTTCCCTTTTGCTTTAATTTTCAAGCTCGATACAATATAACTTTTTTGGATTTACAACTTCGCATTATGTCGAGATTGGATTTTAGAAAAATGCTCAATCGAAAATATTAGTGCATGGAGAAACCAATGCTTTTAATATTTTCGAAGAAAAAACAGTTTTCATCTGAAGTACTATTAGTGGTACGAGGAGTACTTACACAATACACCCATAAAATAATGAATTTTCATTTTGTGCCCTTGAATGTACATTAAAGCACAGGTAAGTCATTTTGCCAAACATGCCGTTTATATGTTTCAGACGTTTTCTAGTAGGTAGATTGTTTTACTTTAACGTCATTTATCCCACTAGGACATTTTAATTGAAGTCCTTCTGATACGGAGGGATTTCGTTGGGCTCTTTGTTCCGGTTTATTTGAACCCAAGCAGACCTCTGTAGCGCTATGGGGGCCCGAGTTAGGCTCCGCGGGGATAAGGTACTCTTCAAGAGGGAGAGGAGGGGCGAGTGAGGGGGTTCGGAGGGAGGGGTAGGGGTTTCGGAGGGCAGTGGGAGTCAGGGGGAGTCGATGGAACCCCTCGATCTCGCACGGAACGTTATTGACATGGCGTCACATAACGTGACTCGTGACATGACGTCACACTTTTTCGTGCCTGCAGCCGGTATAATACCGGACTTATAAGATATTATCTTGTGGACTTATAAAAAATCTTCTACTCTGTATTTATTGTTATCTCATAATTAATAAATAAATAATTGTCTGGCATCTTTTGTGCTACATCAAGTTATTTGACCTTACTTGATGTTATTGAACTTATTGATTGACTTCAAAGAACTATTTCTGCTTCTTTGTATGATTGATTACAATTAGTCTAAGTCAAAATATAGTTAAAAATTATACTCACCATACTCTTTTTCAGTATCAGTACAAAATATATCTCTACATATTTGTCTATTTTCTATTGAAAATTCTAAGTCAAAAAACAAATCTATTAAGCTTTTCTGACTTATATTTTCTGTGCTGTCATAAAATTTGGATTTTCCAAATGTCTGAGAATCTAAAATAAAGGTAGCTATTATATATTATATATTACTTCTTAAATTATAAAAAACATATGGACAAAAGGTTATTTTACAAGTTTTAGAAAATTTCTCACATTAGTGGTCTATTTCATGAAAAACTTTGACGACCTCCGTGGCCGAGTGGTTTGTACGCCGGGTTTCATGGCGTCGCCGACTCGAGAGGTCCCGGGTTCGAATCCCGGTGGGGGCAGATGTTTGTGTGATGAATACGAGCATTTGTACTCCAGTCATGGATGTTTAATATGTATTTCTATATAAATATACTTATATATGTAAATTATATGTATTCTATCCGTTACCCTAGTATCCCATAACACAAGCCTTACAGTGCTTACTTTGGGGCTAGGCTAATTGGTGTGAGTGTTGGAAATATTTATTTATATTTATTATTTACACTTAACAGAATGATGGATATCCATCATTCTGGAGAGTATCTCATAAAAAAACCTAAATAAAAAATTAAATTTTCAAGTTGCCACAAAAAAAATTCTCAGGGCATTTCGGTGTCTCAGTAGCATATGATGTCACACAACTGTCATTCAAACGTCAATGGATACAATGTAATGTCACTTTGACTGGAAGTTTCTAGCGTGTGACGTCATTTTATTATTCGCCAATCCCAGGCATTTTCGGTCACCTGACCATAAAACAAAAAAATCATTTTTGTTTCATAATTTTTCAGAAAAGTTATTAATCGTTCCAAATGTTCAAAATCGTATAATCACTGCTAATTTTCATATAAACAATAGGCATTTTATTTATCATATTATCAAATCGGGTTATTGGAAATTATTTAAATTTACTTTTCATGTGTTCCAGGCAAACAGAGAAAAGGAAATGGAAAAGTGCATTTTTGAGAATATTCAGAATCTAGTATCAGAAAAGGGCTGATATGCCATTATGGTTCCCAGTTTTCCACGCAACATTCTATGCCGGCACTTCACTTGGCTATTTGTGTTTGCTATTTGTAAACTTGACATCTGTCTGTCCTTTGCATTCCTTATAAAGCATGATAAGGACAGACTTTGTCAAGATTACAATTAATAGCAAATATAATTAGCCAAGTGAACTGCCAATATTCAACTCAAACAATGCCATGTGCCTGTAATAGGTTGTGGTTTGTATTTATATTTTTTTTTTCTCAAATACATTTTTGTTAACGTGATGGTGAAACATACCAGGTGGCCAGGATAAATCTGTGTCACTTTTATTTCTTCTGTGTGTTTTTTTCTCATCTTGCTTCTTTGGACTTGACTTAGAATTTCCATTTGCAACTTCTTTTGCATTCATTAACTGTATGTGCTTTAATCTCACTCGTGACTGCTTGAATAGCTTCAAATGTGTGGTTAATTCTTCAGGGAATTTAGTTGCTAGAATGTGGATCCAATCCACGTTTTTTACTCTGAAATTATATTGACACATTATCATACAAAATATTGCTAAACATCAAACTTTCATATCATTTAACCATTTATTTTAAAAACTTTTGAGTACCATAATAAAGCAAAATTAAAAAAGTTTATTAAAAAACTAAATTACCTATTTGCTACATTAACACCTGTGGCCAGCACCAAACGTTTTATGGCATGTGTTGTAAATTCTTCATCATTTGTCAAAACCTCATACCATGGGGTCACATAGTCATTTATAATGATCATGATAATTTCATTAATAAATGTGTCTACTGAGTCACTGCCAGTAATTCTGTTATCAAATTTTGGCAATACAATGTCCTTTTTAAATAACTCTATAACCTGAAAAATATTTTATTTTTATTTTTTGAACCTTATGGTATATGAATAACTTGAATATTTTTTTAATGTTGGTTATTTTATTTACCTTAGACAATTGGATGGAAAAGTTTATTTCTCGCAAAGGATCATCAATAGTATCCAAATCTACAGAAAATATTTTTTTCTCATCATAAGTTAAATATAAAACGGTCAATATTCTGTAAAAAACAATGCATTTTTAAACATCTAAAACAATATTATTTAATGCACATAGCATGAACTATTTATATAAGCCTTATTACATGGCAGTATAAAAAATTGTTTTTTCCACTGCATAACTCACACAATAAACTCTGTAGTGGAGAGTTATGTACACTGTTTTTTTTTAGGTTTTGCCAACTCAGAGAAACTGGGTTCGAATTTCAGTGGGCCAAGTGTTTGTTGGACGAGCATCTTTACCTATATAATAGACTATTTATCTATGTTATTATATCATTATAATATTGTGTATATCTATCATTTCAAGTAATTTCTGTGTGTATACTTTATTGTACTACTCTCACCATTCAAGCATGAAATTCTAGCTCGTTATTCACAGTTTCTGCTAGAACTGAAGACGCTCAAGGCAAATTTAAACAGTATTTATTCATCAGCGGGTTACCTACATAATTCAGTCAAGACCAATGACCATAAAAGGTACAGAACATTTATGAATGCTTCGACTTACATGATAAATGAAATGTTGATGCATTGTAGTCATAGAAATTACTTACCCAATAATAAAAGTCAACAAAAATGTAAGAAAACACAAATACCATCCGACACCGAACAGACCCGTTACAATAATCGAAATAAGGCCAAACCAGCCCACTATTCTCCGAGTCATTGTAAAGTATTTTTATGCAATGCGAATTTAACGCATTATATTTTAACAATACATAATAAATCAGTAATTTCGGCCTAATAAACAACAAAAATAAAGTAAAAGAGAATGAAGGAGAAAACAAACTTGACAATCTTGAGTGACAAATGTGACAAGTTGACAACGACAACATAACGTACATGACGTTAGTTTTTAGAGTTGCCAGGTAAACATTCTCCCACTACAGATAATTTTCCCCATATGTTCAACTTTACATTGAACGCAACGAACACTAAAAACCGTAAAAGAGTTTTGTAGTCGTACAGATCCTTATCTAAAGCGCTGGCTCCTAAGGGTTGAATCAAGATATGCATTTCTATGAATATAACAATTACGTGAATTGTCCTATCATGCTGCATCAATCAACACAACGAAACCACCTACTTAACAATGCAATCACGCAGTAACATTAATACACAACATACACCACCCACCCCTTATCATGGTGGGGCTTACTTTCAATCGTAGACACCCTCACCCTCTAATTATACCTATTCAACCGTTCAAACTTTTTGGTCTTCAATGAAATATTCATTATAATACTAATGTTTTTTTGTTTAAAAAAATGCGTGACAAAAATGTTTCATAGTCCATTCACCAGACATTTTAAAACCACAAGTTTTTTGTACAAATCTTATAAATAAAATAAAAGTGAATCCAATCATGGAAATTTATGATGACTATTAAATAAATAGCCGCTTTCTGCTAATTTCTATATCTGATAATATAACTCCTGCTAAGCAACACAACAGATTTTAATTGGTTTTCAACATGTATCGGTTAGATATTTTTGCACGGGATCTATTATGTAGTCTGCGCCGAACGTGAGCGAGAGTGAGTGATAGCAAATACTATTGAAACTCTACCGAGCTCTCTCCAGTTCTTTAGTATTTGGTGACAGCTATGCATATTGTTTATTGCATTAATACAAATATAAAAACTATTTCTTTTTGCAATATTTTATTAACATATTTTATTTAAATAGTCATATACAAGCTCAAATAATTGGAGTGATCATAAAATAATTGCGTGTCCAATATTTTTTGATAATCTACCTGATAGACAGAGAACATAGTAGAAGTGTAACTTTATCAGCCTTTCTCTTCCTCCGCCGCTGCCACCTGTCACCCCGCGATATATCATCTACACCCTCCACGCAGCCGTTAGGCTTTTTCATGACAAGAAAATCCTAATACCCCGTCTATATAGAAGTTTCACTTCAAAAACAAACTGTTTATTGCTGACTACCGGTCACATACCAAAAGCCGTAACATCTTTCCTCTCGCTTTCCTGCAATTTGTGGGAGTGATTTCGTGAAATGGGACGGAAGTGTGTAACAAGAAGTCGCGAAAGCGCGCGCTATTTGATTTGTTTTTAGAACATAATCTTCAAATGGCTTATTCTTTTTGTAGTAGGTTTTATTTCTTTTTTTACTAATATAAGGTGAGGTTTCAAATGTTACACATCATACGCGACTTCTGTAAGGCTCGCTCCTTTTTTTTACAGATAGGTCCGAGCAATGACTCCGCCCTATCTGATCTATTACATATCTACGTTGTAGGTATTATTAATTTCCTGTATGACTGACAAAAAATGTGACTCATTTTATTTCCATCTTGTTGTTCTTCCGAAATACTGTGCAAAATTTAATGAGCCTGGCAACGTTTTTGTTTGTAATAATCCCCCATTATTAACTGCAAAGGGTACTGACTGAGTCCATATAACCCCGTCATATCTATGTTTACTTTTTCTTTTTTTTATCGGAATATCGTATTTCAATGTTTCTTAATTAGCACGAAATGTATTGAGTCCATAGATTTAGGTGTAGTCGAGTCTGGTTTCTCGTTATGCTTCTGTGAGGTAGTCAGCATTACAATAAAGTTCTCTTAACCCATTCTCATCCACTTAACCGTAATTTTTTGCGCAGACAAACATATAACCAGTTAAATAACATATAATCAGAACACTTTTACATCACAATCACAATAGCCTTATCTCACATTACAGAACAAAAGATAATCAGAGATCATCAGAATCTGAAAAAAAATATGACTGGATAAAAAATATATATTAAGCTTTGATTAAAACAAAAAGGGAAGATAGGGCACTCGCGGTCAAACGTGTACCGCTTAAATTATGGTGCATGACCACATTCGCTTTAGTCACAATTGGACATTCAAACACGCTCAATATAACAATGTTGCTTATATTCTGTGTTAGAAATATAAAACAATGCCTTCGATGCTTTTATGAAGAACACAAATAGTTCAAGATCAAATAACAAATGTCACGGCAACACTTTTCATCCGTAAAACTATAAAATCATTTTTGAAGTTATACTTCTTTAGGCGCGTTAGTCGCTTTAGCGACCAACTTCATGCGTTACTTTTGTGTTTACCGCACATTAAGAAAATCTACCAACAAAATAGAAATAGAATCTCTATTTAGTGGGTGCTAACGACTGCATTGTGAAGGCCTATCAAAAGTATTTATTAATCTGGAACAACGGAACCAAAGCGCGATTCAGGAGACTACAGTGCCATCTCTTGACCATTGGTGTAGTAGAACCAAAAACCACATCTTTATTTTTTGTAATAAAGTAACAGTTATAGGTATTCATATTTAATATATTTATCCACATGTTTCTAGTTTGTATATTCGGAATACATGTTTGAGTTTCATACAAGTGCAAATCACATATGTTCTAATAAATTATATTCAGTAGCGATTTTAATTGAATATTTTGATTATTTATTTATTTTTTCAAATTAAAACTGAACTTTATTGACTGTGTCCTTTTCCAGACTTTTTATTAATTTATTGTAATTAATTATTTGCATGCAATTAAAAACTAATTTTAAACGATGCCAAAGAAGGATAACTTCTCACGCGCCTACATAAGTACACGCACCCATTTTTTTCTCAAAAATCACGGTTTATCGTGAATGTTATTTACGTAATCGCCATTTGTTATCAAGACCTTTTCTTGCAACAACAACAATACAGCTCAGCCGTGCGGACTCGGAAGCGGACTCGCCGTTTCGCTCAGGCTGCGTTGAAGCGTAATGAGGGCTATCGCGTATGAATCCGCCGCTAGAGGCGCTAGTGTAGCGTGAGGTCTCCGAATTCCGAAATGTCAAATGTTATTGCTCGTTGGTTGACTACGCTAGTTTATTTCTAATTAAAATAATGTTGTGAATAATTGGTAACAATTCGGCTTAATTATGGCAAATATGAGTTATGTGGCAATGAATGTCAGTTATTAAAAATTTGAGCTTAGAAAAATGATTATATTCCCATTTTTTCCGAATAAAACGGAACTGCGCGTCACTGTGCATGGCCTATTATGTTTAGGATATGGTTCTTTTGTGTTAAAATACGATCTAAATGTAACCTTTGATTTCATGTGCGTATTAATAAACTTTAAAAGTTACAATTTAGGACCTCACTCAACAGTGGCGCCATCTGGTGAGGCAGAAAACGGTAGCCCTCATTTTGTCCCGCTCGCTCGATTGAATGTTTTTACAGACGTGTGCAAATGCGAGATTTGCATGTAGTTAAATCAGAGTATATTTTATTTGATGCATTAGCATCAAGCTTCCCTTTATTTTAATCTAAGATATTAAACAAAGAATGACAAAATACAAGGTTCGAAACACATTCAAACTTCTCTGTAACTAACTCGATCTCGACGGCCTTCCTGGTGGTATAATGCGATTCAACTAAGAATAGGACCGACTGGGTGCCATATTGTGATGTCATAGCTGTCAATTCAAACCAAATAGGTAGAGTGAGCAAAAACAAGTTTTTATTTAATAAAACTTATTTACTAAGATTAAGTGAGAAAAATCATCAGATTTTTTTAATAACATTTATTTACTAAGATTGAGAAAAAAAATACCGATTTTTAATAATATTTATTTATTAAGACTTTGAGAAAATGTTTGTATAAAGAAGAATAAGAATTTAAGTATCTACCTACGTACCTACATTCCAAATATAGGTATAAAGCTTTAATAGTGTTCAATAAGAACCATTTTGACCATTATGTTCAAGTCCTAGTTTAAGTAGGCCCATGGTTAGTGAAACGAACGAGAGGCGAGACTAATTAGTCTTTATGTTGGCGTGTTACAAAAAATTCTAACTAATTATGATGTCAGAGGAGACAATTATCGCGCACATCTCCCGTGTGTCCCGAAAACTTACACCACTTGGATTTTTTCAGATTAGATGGGGTTCAGGACAGCAAGGTGAAGATAAGCCGGAGAGGCAGATATTTCTGCCACTTCAGCAATACGCGCGACTGGACTGCACACACTACACACCAAGTGTAAAATCTTACGATTTAGCCTAGCAAACGAAAAATTGTTATAAGGAAAATTTAAAAACAAAATTAACAGCATTTTGGTTTATTGAAATACAAGATACAACACAATCACGAACTTTTTATACAGTGTTACATACAATCAAAATAGTCTTGAGACTATCTAATAATACTAATTCATTAGTTTTATTGTCAAACATGTCAAAATTATTATTTGATCATGATTTCTGTGAAACAACGCACTTCGATTACACTTCCTTTTTCATGGCATTCAAATACATAATAATGAAATCATTATTAATAAAAATATATTCAAATTAAATGCATTCTTCACGTAATACTTTTGAAATTTTAAAAGTATTTTTTATATTTTACAAATAACAATTATTTGCTATGTAACATTAAAAGTGCACAAAAATACATTATTAAATAGTCCAATTCCGTTGTTTAATTCATTATTATATATGTTACTAGGTATAACAACCCACATAATTGTGATAAGAAGATATGCCGTTTTTTTCTAAATTATAATCAACTTTTATTCTTGCATATATTGTATAAAATGCAAGATGAAAAACACAATTTAAAAAAAAGAACTTCTGTATTCTCTTGAGAGACAGAAGTTTAGAATTCAGAACAGTTTACGTAGAAATATACATCATTATCACATTAAATTTCATTTAGAATCTAGACTTTTAGGCAAAAAAATAGGACAAAATGTATAGTATTTTAATTGACTAATATATGAAAATGCACAGGAGATGAAATCTTATATAATTTAAAATTGTGGTGACACCACTATACAGTAGTTAAATGTATTTTAATTTAATTTAATTGTTTATTAACAATATAACAATTTATTTCCTTTTAAAATTTGAATGATAATGATTTTTGTTTGCTTAAATATATGAATTTATATTGAAAAAAAAAATGAAACGGAGCAAAATCACAAAAAGCGCCTTTTTTTTGAGAAATCACGTGTAGGCATAATTAATTTTTAGGCACTCAATTCGGAACTTAATTTAATTAAAGAGAAAAATCTTGCCGAATTTATATTCTCTATACAAATCACGATCTTTTATTATTAGCTGATGAATAGTCTTTACCAGTAACATTGTTACGCAATTGTATATTTTATCACAAATCTTATTAGAGATTTCAAGGAATCTGGATTATAATTAATAAATCATAATAAATTTTAACAATCAGAATTTCTAATACATTTACAATTACATACGTAAGACATTGCTTAAAATCGATTGTGCACTTTTTTTTATTATCTACATTAACAGTAGGTATATATCAATAGAAATAATTATGATTTGAAAATTACAAGAGTTCAAGCGTGAACCTCTTTTTCAATATAATTATAAAAAATAAGCATAACCTGATCATTTAATTCCAATCATTTTTAATAACACTTTCATAGCAGCTGTACAGGAAGCGGCAAACTTCATGAGCAAAACCAAACACAAATAACTTAAACAGCCGTCGTTTTTGTATGTAAAATTGCTACTGCACAGGCTTTCCTTTTCTGTGGCACTGAGAAACTAATATATTTATTCAAGAAGTTTGCCGGGATGTTTATCAGGGTAAGCTCACAAACAACCACAATCCTGCCTGTTGTTTGCAAAACATACCAATTTTAATGAAGTGGTATTACAACTTTGCAAATATTATTATTGATCGAATGATATAATTTAATTTAAAGAAAAAGAGGGTTGAACGGAAAAAATGCGAGCTTTAAAAAAAACACACGGCAGTCTAAACGACTAGATCGTAATAAATAATCACACTCCATCATAAAATACAGACAGATCGCGGTGCCTTTGCGGTGCGCATAAAATACAGTTCCTACATAATACAACACGATCGATTTTGTATTAGTAAACAAATTTAATTAATAAAACAAAGCAATTTTTATCGCTCAGATCAATATAATTCGTTGTGCATTATCTACATAAAAATGGTACACAAAGCATAATGCTACTAAAATTATGATTTGCAACCAAAATTAAAATAAGCCTCCACATACAGGAATTACTTTCTCATCATAATGATTTATACATTTCCTTTCATACGTAACAATCAAAGATTACCCATCGATTCCTGGATAATGTACCCGTTTATTTGAAGCGTTAATAATAAATAAATAAACATGGGACATCACAAATATTGTTATGATCTCGAACTAAGTAGATAAGTTAAACATACACTTGATACAGAATCGATACAGCCACACTTCTTTAACCCCTGGTCTGGGTAGCCCTCCATTTTGTTTTTCACGACTGGAAAATCAAAAGAGTTTTCCGGCCGATTTTCCTCTTATTATTCGAGTACATCCAGGCTTCATTTATGTCTTAAATCAATCCTGAATAGTTTTTTTACAAACTTATCTATTATTAGATGTGTAAATTAAAAACTATTCCTAAATATGATTAAACGCAAAATATAAGAAAATTGAAATAATTTTTCCCAACTCGTGGCAGAAATCATCCACTTACACAGACGAGGGGTTAAGCCGCAAACTTGCAATGGAATCGTTTAATTTCAACTGTTATGTTCGAATCATTAACTTTAGACAACAATTAAAATAGCAACAAAATAACAATACTGTTTAATATACAGATAGGTATGAAATGAATGATTAAAAAAAGGTATAAAATCAATAATTTTCTATAATTTGTCTGCAAATAAACATTCAGTTACCATTTTCGCTTTCTAAAAAATCAAAAAGAAACCAATGGAAATCCGACATCATACAACATCATTACACCCCTTAACATCACTGCTAAAAGGTTTCATCTCCGCTTATTATTATAATAAATTAAATATAATAATTAGTAGATTATCTAAACATTAAGCGCCATCTCCACGGGCGAGATAATCGCATCGATAATATCGCAGTGCCACCAAATTCATTAGAAACTTTACAGACTCATATCTACAGAAATATATTATCGCAGGCTGAAAATAATCGGTATACTGTGGCTGTAGATTGACCCATTGGAAATTTGGACGTACACTTCGCGATAATCACATACATGAAGATGACGCCTTATTTTATTACAACATACTCAACAAGAATATCAACAATGGACTTGATAATTATTACTAAATAAATACATGTACAATTAACTAGTACATAAGCTTAGTTACATACATATGAGAATCGGGTGGCATGGTATGGTTACCGGACCTCAGTTCAACACCATTGATGCAGATCTTGAACCAACCGTGAAGTCTTTGTACTGCGAAAACACGCAAAGCTGAAACATCAATATCAAATATAAGAAAACTAAAAGATTTTTTTTTCTTTCAGAATAATACATTTAATTACAAAACTTAATTTAACGGAGCAAATTATTGACTTGGAGTGTCCCTTAATAAAGTATTTTCACTTTCCAGCAAACTGCCTGCTACAATGGTGTCGATTCTGGCATGATTCTCTAAACCTAATAACATAAAACCATAACTAACATAATTTGACAACAGTGTATCCTTGTTATTCTCTATACAAAGCGAAAAGGATATACTGATGTTAAATTTGGTATTCAGTTTAGAGAAACTGCCCGAAATGACACCAATAATGCACAAAGATTCCACCTTTCCGGATTTACGGTCAGTGAAGAAGAAGGGTTGGGTTACTCCCGGATATCGCAAGCGTCTATAATAATAGGTAAATAAATATACTATAGGTATATAGGTATAGGTAAATGTAGGTACTAGGGGTTATGAAACGTTGCTAGCATAAACTATAAACTTATTAACTATTAAAGTGAAAAAAACACACAATTTATAGGACACCAAAGACTCGACCTCCCATCATCATCAGCCTATTAATGTCACCACTGCTGGGTCACATGCCTACCCTATGGATGGAACCTGGAGAATGGCTCACGATTCATGACCCACCACGCGGGCCAATTACGTATTGTGTTGTTGCAGACTTGCGGAGTCGTATTTAAATTTACTTTATCCATCAATTGCCATTTTTAATTTCTTATTGCATTCAAGTTTTCTACACTCGAGAGCAATGAATCCGGGTGACATAAAGAATACTAAAAATCCCGCAAACTAAGAATGGTTAGCTTTTAATGAAATAAATTGTGTTTAATAGACAATTTAATACTCCTTAAATGAAATATAAAATTTATGGGTCTCGACATTTCATTTACAATAAAATACATAAAGAAAGAACTAGCTGATCTCGCATTAAAGTAAAAAAACGTGTGGCACTCGGGGACTGCCGCGGTAAAGCTATTGCATAGCATTTTTTAGCAACATGGAATTATAATTATTTATTTATTTTATTAATGCAGTATTTTTTTTCTTGATACTAATTCAAGTTACACTTTTTGAGCGTGGTGACCGATAAGAAAACATTTTTTTTCTTTTATTGAATAAATGCGAATTTAATATTGTTTAAAATGTTTTTATAATCTTACATGCGAGCTTTGTACAGTCATGCCATATACATGCACGTTAAGGTTCAACTAGTCGCGGGCTCGAACTCACTCGTGAACGCGGCCAAAAAGCACGCTGTCTCACGTAGCATTATGTCTAAAAGAGATAGAAACAGTTAACAGTTCTATAGCAGCTAGTCTACACGCATATCTAGTAGCACGCACGCAAACAATGTGCCGAAGCCTGCCGAACTGAAACGACGTTTGACGACGCACGGTTTTCAAAGCGCGCACCGCTGTGCCGATCGGAGTGGGGGGTGTTAAAAGAAAGAAAGAAAGAAAATATTTTTTATAAACCCTTAAAAAATACAACATGTTAAAAGGAACTCATATAGTAAGGACTAACCAGGACCCTGCCTCAGCGTTAGCTGATACGACATTATGTCGCGCCAGCTCTGATATTCTGGCAGGGCCTGCTTGGAGTTATATAAGCTGGCGGTAGGCGCGCGTGAGGCGCTCGTTGATGTAGTTCCGACCACCGCCTCCCACGGCGGTGACGAGCGGGCCACCATCGACAGCGATGTCCGGGGTGCCGTCCTCCGAATCCTCCGCAACAGCGATCCTGCGGCGCATACGCGCGACCGTCAAGAGGTCGTCACGCAGCTGGCGGCGCGCCAGGCGCACCATCACACGGTGCGGCCAGCCCCGCGCCTCGGCGGGCGGCGCGCCCACACGCTCCACGAATACCACGTCCCGCCTTGTCGAGAGTCACTCCTAGCCGCATGGTGACGCTCTGCTCCACGCTGACGCCCCTCTCTTCGGGCAACCCGCCGATCTCCAGGTCGGACATCAATGCCTCCTGATCGTGGCGCACAGCTCGGATATGGTGCGCTCCAAGTCCATCCTACCAGTTGCATCAGGATCCACTTGACGTTGCTCCAACACCGCAATTCTCCGCTCGAAGGAGTCAAGTCGAGCGGTAAAAGAACTGCGGAAGGCCGCCGTCTCCGAGCGGAATTCCCTCATCTCCTTCATGCAGTCGGCCAGCATACTTTTTTATATCACTGGTGTGATTATTTCCGGTGGCGTTCTCCTTCGCCTTACCCTGGACCTCATCTTCCTTTGGAGAGCCCCTGGCCAGGTCGACAGGTGCAGCAACCGGTTTTTCGGGCTCGGAAGATTCGCTGATACCCTTTACAGGCGTATGCGTGTTGTCACCCCGGCGTGTGCTCTTCCTGCAGTTCGGGCATATTATAATATTTTATTCGGCATGCTCAGCAAACAACAGCATTGCCCGGTTCTAAAAAACTTCCACAAGCTCCACAGTTTACCAACTTTAGTCCAAAAATTATAATTATAAAGTCTAAATAAAAGGGAGACAAATAAAAATAAGAACAGGTGAGTGCGGGATTTGAACCGACGACCACGGTGATGCGTCGAACGTTGGTCCCGTGGCAAAAACTTAACACACTGCGCCGTTTTGATCTATTTCGATCGAGCAAAAATTGGTATCATACTTGTCAGCATATTTTCGTTACGGAATTTTTGATTCGGTCGCCGCGCTCAAAGCCTGCGATAAAAGCTATACAATAGCTTAAAATAGGAAACATGACCATTTTGAACAACATTACAATTTTCTTGAAGTTTAATACTTCATATTGCCTCCTCGTGCTTCCATTACTGCGTTTATCCGATTTGGCATGCTGTACACCAGGGTTCTTATACGATTTTGGGAAAGGGTTGTCTATTAATTGGCATTTATTTAATTAGGCTAGCATTCTTAGTTTGCGAGATTTTTGGATTCTTTAAGTGACCTGGATTCATTGCTCTCCAGTGTATTAGTAAGTATAGCTTAATCCTCTTATCTGATGATGATAAATGCCGCATCAATTAAAAGTTAACAAATGTGATAAAATCTATCAATTAACATTATTGTAAGATCGATAAAATAACAGCTTAAGCAATAACGAAATCTTATCATGTGCATGACTTATCTCACGTGAAGTGCTTTGTTCGTAAACAAACAACATGAAAAATCTAAAAATTATTGTTTTGTGGTTTATATAAATGCAATATTATTGGTTTATATAATATAAATAAATAAAAAAATAAAATAAATAAATATTTATTTGAAAATGTAGATATAATAACCGTTTTGAAGATAAAGCTTTGGATCAACATCAGCAATAGTAAGCAAGACACGAGTAGACACAAGTCAAAGACACTGTCAAGACAAAAGTCTGTAGCTCAAACTGTTTAACTATAAAACTTGTAAGCCAAACAATTTGTAGACGGACATGCGAATGAAGGCAGTAGGGCTCTTTTTGGACCCCTTGAGTGTGGAACCCTACAAAGCAATTACATAATGACATTTTTGAAAAAAAGCCAGCTTGACAGCTGGGCAGAGTATTCAGAAATTAGTTTAAACATTTTTATTATTAGTTATTCATTAATCAATTATAATTGTATACATTAAAAAGTTTGATATTTGAAGTACCTATATAATAACTTATTTTGAAATTGTTTTTCCACCTTGAAGGACTTTAATAGGAATTCTTTATTTTATTATATAGATTGTTAATATGAATAGTTTAAATAAAGCAATTTTTTTATTGGGAAAACAGTGCCTAAATATTCATTTTCATTAGACATTTATAAAGTGTTTTATTTAATGTTTGAATTGTGTGAAAACAAATAAGAAATAAATTATGTAGTGTAAATCTGTAATTGCCTTAAAATCTGCTTATTTAAGACCTGTTCATTATGCCATGTTATATACTGGTGTTGATTCTGGCATGATTCTCTAAATCTAAACTTAAATTTGACAACTGCGTATCCATGTCATACTCTATAAAGAATGAAAAGGAGAGACAATATTAAATTTAGTTTTAAGTTTAGAGAATCATGCCAGAATCACCTCCACTGTGATTTATTGTTAATCCAATAAATATTTGTATAAACCCATGTCTCGACATTTGTAAAAACCCATATTTGTATTACAAACAAATTAATATGAAATGATTATGAGAGAAACTTAAAATTTTGTGTTATCACAATATTTATATTCAACCAGGAAAAGAAGACAAGGTCATATAATGGACTACTTTCTTACCTTATCTTTAAGTTGTTGACACATATGAAGAGCAGCTGTGAGCATGAATAGCACATCACTCAACCATGGCACAGCACAATCCGCTTGGCAAGAATCAATCCTCATAGTGCCATGAACAGAACTTAGTTGGTATGCCACAAATATCAGCTTATGTGACTGTATGTAAAATGAAATTGCCAAGTCTTCAGGTAAATTAGGGGATAAGGCTTTCTAAAAATTAAAATATAAATACAATGAAGATTTCGACTTTTATGTAAGTTTAGCAAATAAAAAGGTATTATACTTTTAAAATATCTTTTCCAGGTTTACACAGTTTTATGTTTAAACTGTTACACTTACCATATTTCTACTTTTCATTAACTCATCAATTGCTTTTTTCTTAGGCAATACTAATGCAGTACGGGCTCTTTGAAGAGAACCAAGTAGACATTGAATGATGTGCAAGACTTCTTCTGATGATCTAAAGCAAACATTGAAAATTATACAAACAAAGCTATTCATATCACTACATAGTATAAAGCATAGTTGCTTCCCGCTGTCTGCTTCTATGTCCCTATGTATGCTTAGATCTTTAAAACTACGCAGGGGATTTTGATGGGGGTTTTTTTTAATAGATAGAGTGATTCAAGAGGAAGGTTTCTATGTATAATACATGCATAATATAGTAGAGAAACACTGATAATTTTAGAGGTTTTTAATGTAAGGTTGAAAATGAAACACATTTTTTGTGCTTACATTGCAAACACTAGCTGAACCATATGAGATAGATCAAAATAATGTACTACAGTATTGTACACCTTAAAAAGGTCTACAAATAGTCTGCGATGGTATATGTCTATCTCTTAGGGATAAACCACAATAACTATTTTTATTCTAACCTTTTTATGAGGAATAATAGCTTTTTTACGAAGCGATTTTAGGCCCTTTAAAGCATGTATTTTAAATGAATATTTTCGAAGATATTACAGATTTTAAAATGCAGGGATATAGCGGTTCCGACGCTACCGGGAGGGGGGCCTGGCGACGCGTTTCTATTGAAATTAGGTATAAGAAGAATGTCATTGTGTATAATACAAGCCTGAGAACAAAAACTATAGTCTACACTTCAGCTCTACACAGAAGCGAAGCAAGGGCGGGCCAGTCATTAATATTCTATATTTGATGCTTGTAACTTACCTAAGTTACATAAGATAAAATTGATAATTCAAGTTAAAAAATAATGAGTAGAAGCTCATAATTCTTATAACTAAATAATACATGATATTTACCTGAACACATAGTGCTTATCGACATTATCAATATAACCTATGGCCTGCTGTAGATGATTAGCAGCATCCTGTATCTGCTGCAATTTCCATGGCCCATCCTGGTTAATTGAAGTACGACATATAGTATGCAATTGCCGCAAAACCTTGAAGCTTATATCCTAAAATTAAAATTTAAAAATCAGTGAATTAATTGTAGATAAAACATTTGTGGAAAATTGTTAAAAACTTAGATGAATAAGTACATAAAAATACTTTTACTTATATTTAACATAAGTACCTTAGCTTTAAAAGTATTGAAAAAAAACTGTAATATGTTTGTTGGTGATAGATATTTATGGTAAACATATTACAAGGTAGGTACTAAGAAACCCAATTTCTTAGAAGCTTTTGTATGAATAGCATTGTATTTTTTATTTTATTTATTACAATTTCTCCTGCTATTTCCCAATTTATTTACAAACTTTTGATATAATGTAAACAGTATCTACTCACAGCATTAGTGATACTATCACCAGTCAGAGTTACTATACATTTAAGCTGTTCTGGTTGTGATGTCAAAATGAATTTGTCCTGTTTTTGCCCTTCATTTCCATACAGTGGCACAGGAAATCTGTGAGCACACTCCTGGAAAGTAAAACCAAGTTGAATAACTGTCATATAGCCAAACTAAGATGTTAAACAAAGTTGTATTCTTCAAAATAGTAGTATTTCATCTATGACACTCACGACTAAAACCGAATGAAGCTGATGTAATATAGCGTGAACCTCTTCACGGAGAACCCATTCAAACTCTTCTTTCTGAAAACAATTGGTCATTATGCAAGGAAATAATACTTAAAAATCATAAGTTTATTAAGGTATGATAACTTTAGCTCGATATTTACCCTATATAGTTTTACATACCAAGTTCGCAGCCTCTTCTTTTTCGTTGTCACTCATTGCAACCAAATTTATGCGGAATTCAATGGATATATCAATTTTATTAATTTATTAGCGTCGTCGCCCGTTCAACAGTTGCACTCATATCACAAAATCACAAGTGATTTGAGTTGAGATTTCTTTCACATGAACAACGAGTGAGATAAATATACGTATTTTTATTAGAAAAAATGAGATAGCCGAGTTGTCAAATCGATGACTTTGACATTGACAATCACATTTTTAATTTTTTTAAGATTCTCCCTTTTTAAAAAAAGGCAAAGGAAACAATGCCCATACAGCTCAGTCTTAAATTATTTGAATCTTGTTTTTCTTACATTAGAATGTTGGTATGACTCATTCCAATGTTACTTAGAGTGTTTGGCACGAAATGTATCTAGTTGGCTGTTCCGATTAGATTCTGTGAGGTAGTCAACACTACAATAAAGTTCTTACGTCCACTTGAGCGTATATTTTAAAGATTCCACTAATTCTTCAGTTGCGCAGACGGTTGTAATACAAAATCACACCCAATTTATTTCACAATATCCTCTATGAACGAATTTAAGAATAATTAAACTATGACGCCAACCGCACTCGATGAAATCCCGCCAAAAACTCTTGACAATCACAACTACAATATTTAATTTTATTCTCGTATAATTTAATCAAAGGACATAGATTCCATACTGTTTTTTTTACTTTATTGTTCTATCGGCTGCCTTTGCATGTATGTTAATAAGAAACACTATGCCTTCGGTTATCATTCTTAGTGTTTATCTGTTTATGTTCTACTTATTTTCTGGCACTATTCCCCAGCAAATCCAAATCCGTTGAGCTTTCATTGCCAGTTGCAGCGAGATAGTAAAAATTAATTTTCATTCTAACTCTTTATTTGACTGAGTCATCTTTGGTAGTTTTCCAATAACAGAGCATAATGCGACTCAGTGGCGCACAATGCCCAATTATGCTGATGCTTAATTGGAACGTGAATTAGTTTTCAAATGCACCAGCAGAGTGCGCTAAGTTCAGTGTTAAAAAAAATTGTGTGTGTCAGCTCCGCCGACGCACGACTGGAGTTTACTCCTTAAGTTCGATAGTCTAACCAGACGCAAAAAGAGTTTATTAAAGATAAAAAAGTTTGATACTGTATGAAAGGGTAAATTAACAAATTAATGAAAATAATATACATATATACGATATATATATTCGACGACCTCCGTGGTCGAGTGGTTTGTACGCCAGGTTTCATGGTGTCGCCGACTCGAGAGGTCCCGGGTTCGAATCCCGGTGGGGGCAGATGTTTGTGTGATGAATACTAGCATTTGTACTCCAGTCATGGATGTTCAATATGTATTTCTATATAAATATACTTATATATGTACAGTATATGTATTCTATCCGTTACCCTAGTATCCCATAACACAAGCCTTACAGTGCTTACTTTGGGGCTAGGCTAATTGGTGTGAGTGTCGGAAATAATATATAAATATGTATTTATTCACTTCATATACATTTATTATAACTAATCGACGAAATATTTTACATTAAACTTTTTACAATAGTCAATTTCAGATGTGCATAAATATATCATTAGGAATGTTAATAAATTATGTAATTATTTATTATCACACTATTATCATTTTTTTTAAATATTAATTAAATCAACTTCTGGCGTGATTCTCTAAACTTAAAACTAAATTTAACATCAATCTCTCCTTTTCATTACGTATAGAGAATGACAAGGATACACTGTTGTCAAATTTAAGTTTAGGTTTAGGTAATCGTGTCAGAATTGACACCATTGTCTGCATTATTAATTACAGTGACAAGTGGTTTATGGTAACTAAAATAGGACACATGGATGTTCGTAGATACGTGGTTCACGAATCTTGAAAATACCGCATCAATGGTTGTAACATACCTCGTTGTCCCCATTGCTCTATCAGAAACAATATCTAAATTCAGTTCAAATTTTAAAAAAATTATTAATGTCAATCCGTCATCTTTGTTTGTCAAAGTTGCGCGACATAGGATGCGCACCAAAAACGTAACGAGGTCATTCATCGATAGATTTTACTCCTCACATTTTTCTCATGCCGGGCCCCTTATATATGCAAATCGATTCTTAAGGAGTAAACTCCAAAAAAGTCAATGTTTGTACCTTCATCCATACTTATATTTATTTTTTAACACAGTTTGAATTAACTTTGATTATTTAAAAAAAAAAGCTACAAAAAAACGAAAGCTTTAAAAAAAATTCATCAATAAATAATATTACTAACGATAACATATAAATAAAACATTTCGATCAACGCCAACTTAAAGAAAAAACACTTGTTAATTTTCTGTCACTGAGTTGCTACGACTGCACGCATCACACGAAAGCATTACTTTTGACAGTGCTCGCTTGTGCGAAGCGTTGCTGTAGTTGAAACATTCAACGTTAAGCATTATGCCGCATAATGCGCTCTAGTGCTGTAATTGGAAAACTACCAGTAACTCAATTTGCAATATCCAAAAACTTAAATTCTTGAAAAATACATAACGGTGGTTTTCCAATTACAGCACTAGTTGAATGTTTCAACTACAGCAACGCTTCGCACAAGCGAGCACTGTCAAAAGTAATGCTTTCGTGTGATGCGTGCAGTCGTAGCAACTCAGTGACAGAAAATTAACAAGTGTTTTTTCTTTAAGTTGGCGTTGATCGAAATGTTTTATTTATATGTTATCGTTAGTTACATTATATATTGTTGAAAAATTATTAAAGCTTTCGTTTCACTATAGTTTTTTTTTAAATACCTAATCAAAGTTAATTCAAACTGTGTTAAAAAAATAAATATAAGTATGGATGAAGGTACAAACATTGACTTTTTTTTCAACACTGAACTTAGCGCACTCTGCTCGTGCATTTGAAAACTAATTCACGTTCCAATTTAGCATCAGCATAATTCGACATTGTGCACCACTGAGTCGCATTATGCTCTGTAATTGGAAAACAATCACTATGAACCATATAAATTTCTACCATGGACATACGATTTCATTAGGAACGACGAGTTACCGAAAGAAAGTGACCAAGGAACTTATATTGGGAGCGACCGAGTGACACAGTGTGACGTATCGTCGTGATATTCTCTTTTTCTGTGTATCATCTTAAACAAAAATAAACGGAGAGGTTATTTATTCAAGGGCAAATACAAATAAAAATTCATTTCGCATCGTAAAGCATTGTTTCGTATCAAAAGAGTATTTTAAAAAGTTTCAAAATGTTTCCGAAGGTACTCATTGCATTTTATACCCAAATAGATAAGGCTTTAAAAGAAAGTGGTGCTCTTGCTGGGTTAGTATCCTTCCTTTGGGCGTTTTTGTGAATAATGCTACTACGGTCTGATGATTTTAAATGATTGTGGTAAGAGGGTTTCGCTATCATCCTTTCGATACGGTACGGTGCGGTCGTGGGTACGGTACCCATTATTTATAAGGTTCCGATAATATGTTATGGAATTAAATGCAGTATGATTTTTCATAATTTTAAATAATTGTACAAATAATACTGGACAGTTCGAATTCACTCGATGTCGAAGTTGCTATTTCATAGTAAGTTTACCAATAAAATAGTCCCTGCCAATTCCTGTCGATTCACGCTCTTTATTAATGATATGCAACCGTTTGATTTGAAAAACAATTATTGATCCTACCTATTTTAAAATTACGCACTTCCAAGTATCGAAATTTATTAATGTGTAAATTATTATTTTTCTATTTCAGGAAATCCGGTCGTCATATGAAATTTCCGTACACTTTATCAGCTAAAATAGCGCAGTTTCCTTTTCTCCATTACACGAAGCATAATTTTATATGGATGTATTATCCTGTGGGGATCATAGTCTCTTCTTATTTTTTCTTTAAAATACATTTACTGTCTAACTCTGAATCTAATAAAAGGAGTTGGGCTGAAATACAAAGAAAGGCTGCTGAAAAAGAGCATCATTAACAGTTAATGTAAAATACATGTTGACTCGTGAATAAAATTCACTTGTCGATTATTGTGGATTGAATAATAAAATAATGCTGAAGTGATTTGGGATATTTTAATTTCAGAAGTGTCGATTCTGGCATGATTTTAAAAACCTAAACTTATATTTGTAAATAGCGTATCCTTGTCATTATCTAAACATAGTGAAAAGGAGAGACTAATGTTAAATTTAGCTTTAAGTTATGTTATTTATTCCAGAATTTATACTAGATTTACATGGATTAAAATCAGGGATGTATTATCACAGACTATTAGATGCTTACGCATCGTAGAAAAATCTTCTATTATAAAATTTGGCGCCCTGGGTAGAGGAACCATGACGGATCGCGACGCGACCGTGTCTAAAAAAAACTTTCGGCTGATCAACTGTCACTTTTTACTTACATAATTGACGTATCCGTGCAATTTATGTGAAAATAAATAAAAACGCTTTATGAAACCTGCTGCGTATCTAATTAACAACAAGAACATTGTTCGCAAATTCTAAAAAATTCCGCATGTAAGTTGGAAACGAGAATAATAATGAAATTGATAATCGCTATCAAGAGGAAAAAGTAAACTAAGAAGTAAACCTTAAAAAAACTTTTTAATATTATTTTTTGCATTTTGTATAAAGAACGTTACAATGCTTGTATATCTTTAACATGTTGAGCCAAAAGTAACTTTTTTCCTTTTATTGTCGTTTTTGGTTGGAAAGCGATGTCGTGTGCGATTGCGCCGGAATCCAGATTTTATAATTAATTTGGCCATGTTTACCAACAATCATAAATAATCATCTGCAATATATAGTAAATGTGTTATTTTAGTTTTATTAATTTTAGCACTTCGACCATGATTTTTGATTTCGGTAGACACGTCCAGAGGGATCTGCCGAACAACACCGACTAAGGGTGCGGCCAGAGTGCACTCAGATTCAGATTCAGATTCAGATTTCGAAAACAAGCGCCAGAAATAAACAGTGTAGTCGAAGGGTACGGCCAGAGTGCACTCCTGATTCAGATTCAGACTCAGAAAACAAAGCGCGAGAAAAAGCAGGCAACCTGCTTAGACTACACTGTCTTTTGTCGACAAACTTTGAGACACGGCCGCGCGCGGCTCACGACAGTCGTCGGCCACGCTTCTGTCGCCGTCCTTGTAAGCGGTGCCATACATTTTCACTATGACTATTGTCGCGTAAAAAAATAAGACGATGGCTGCATGACTTTGCCTTTGCCTTTCTCAATAAGGAAAAATGGAACTAAATAATCTAAGTAGTGATGTCCATGTGTCGACATCATAGTTTAGCTTTAAAAGGAGCCGGTTCAAATTTGTTTGGAGGGTGGTAGTGAGTCTCCGGAATGCTCCAAATTTTTATGACATGTAGTGCACTTAATTGAATTGTAAATCGTTTGACGAAAAAGTAGAATTTATTTTGTCTCTTTTAAAAATTAATTATAATTCAAAATTACATAGTTATTGATTGGCGATTGGCAAGTTCATTTATGTAATGTTAGTTGCCGAAGCATCAAATATATTCTATTCAATAGGTTAGTAAACCAGTGATAATGATTCCGTTCTTCTCTCATTAAGATATAAGGTATTTTGTGTGTAAAGAATTTCAGGAAAAACCATTTTTTCTATATAATAATTTTCTGTGATTTCTGAATATCGGGCATGTTTGACATTTAACAGTGATTCTGTGGACATTTAGAAACTGCTACAGACTAAAATATGATGTTACTTATGACAGGGTGGTATTCATGCTATATTTACACTGGAATACGGGCTGGAATGGGCTCCGTTCATTTACACTTAGCCGTTTACCTGAATTCCATTGGCACTCTTATTTGGGCGCCCAAGTGTAATCGCGCCATTAGAAGCATTATCAGGAGACAAAGGAGGCGAAGAAAAAGGAAGTGTTTATACTTAGAATTGAGGTCTATTGCATTCTAACTTGTATTTATTGGCTTACCTACAACGCCACAGTCACGATCTGTTTGCGCGATCTGCTTGGTTAACACTGGCACGGTCGCGATCCAGTAACAACGAACATCATGTTGGATGGCATCGAGCAATGATTCTGGCATGATTGTCTTAACTTTTGACAGCAGTCTACCTTAGTGCGGTGGTTATGTATATTGAATAAGAGCGTTTGTTGAATACAGTATTTAGCCGCGAAATTGCTACTTGAGAGAAGGTTAGGGCACAGTTATGATACCAAACTGTATTTAAATTCATGCAAACTGTGAAAACAGTGGTCATACGTGCAAGGTCTTCGCGTCTTCGAGTTAGTATACAATTTAGTACACAGCAGTCGCGAGTAAGTGGCAGTGACGAATAAACAGTTTGATGGTTAGAATACAAGTGCTTAATTCATATGGTAAATTATAGACTACACTGTGCTGTTTTATTAGTTTTGGTTAAGTCGTAGTCGACTTGCAATATTTTCTAGTTTACAATCATTACGGCATTTTTTTATTAAATCTTCAAATAAGAAATCTCCGAATTTTTCACATTTTTCATTCGCAACGAATTTTCATGAGTTAATTAAGCATACGTATATCAAGCAACCTCCGGCAAGAATAGGGATAAAAAATAAAAGTGACGCGAAAAATTAAAGATGCTAAAGGCGGTGCCTTTGGGCCAGACATAAAAGGCCGGCGTTTCTTCTTCTAGAGTTTAGTAATGAACACGAACAACAATAAAAAAAAGGGGCGTAACCTTAGGGTGAAAAGATCCATGGCTTGGGGCTGTAGGCTACGAGGGGCGGAAAAGCTGTACAAGGCGTTTTATAATTTTTCATAAATACATCTGAAATTATTATTTAAATATTTATGACAAAAACTCGCGTTCTTATTATTGACTGACTTATAAATTAAAACACTAACCCAGTTCCTGGTGATGAGTGATGTATGAAACAGCTAGAAAGCTCAGTTTCAAATATATAATTTTAAATTATTATCGATAGAATTAGGGCTAGACTAGATATTAATACATCACTAATGTCAAGCGAGTTGTCAAAAATCTTATTTTGCTTTCGTCGAATCGAATTTTTAGATCTTGCAAAATATCTTAAATTGGATAAAAAACTAAAAGTACTTAGTGACTTAATAATAAATGTTTCGTGACAGTTACGACGTTAAAAGATATAAAACTTACTAACATAATGTGGGTTAAACCGCAAGAAGTTTTTCTGAAGACAGCACTTTGGTATAATAAAATTCAGTCCATATCTCTAGTTGTTTGTTTGTCTATTTGTTTAATAAAACGTTTTCTACAGGGATTGTGATGAGACAAGCTTGTATTTTGTCTTACAACGACGCAAAGGACATGGAAAATCTAGAGGATTATCTTCATTATTAGTGGGTACTCTAGACAGTGTTATGGACACAAAACCGGCACCATTCAGAATATTACACCAAACTCCGAACTCGGAGGTTTATTATGGTAAAAAAAATAACAAGTTTACTTTTGCAATCAATTTATAGATTATTAAAACACCATCTTCTATCAGTGACACTCAGACTTTGGTTTCATGTTTCTTTTTTTAGGGTTTAGTAAAATAAGGATCGACGAAACCTTATTTCTGAGCCTCTTCTGTCTGTCTGTTCATCTTTCAGCAGGCTCTATGTAGTATAAGAGAAGGCTTAAGATTTCCCTAAACCTTGGAACTTGCAAGTATTTTAGATCCAGACTCAAAATAAAGAAGCATGAAAGGTTTCTTAGAAGTAAAATGGGTCAGGTCAAGCCTTTTGTCAGTTATTTTAATTGCTCAAGTATCTTCGAAGACTATTGTTAATGAAAATTATGCTCAAACTTCATGAATACTTTAGAATAATTTGAATTGAGTTTTTTCTTAACACTAGCTATATCTTATTAACCATATTAGGTAGACACGATAAATAACTATTTTTTCTTTGTTGCTACAAATATCAACAATAAGAAAAGATTAAAGAGTGATTTAATTGATCGTTAATGTTTGCCTTAGGTCCACTTGCATTAAAATTTTTGAACAAATTAGGTATCCATCATTTCATAAAATTATCATTTTTTTTAAGTCAAATAGAGATAGGATGAGAGTTAAGCATGCTTAGGCTTTTAATTTGTTTTCCGAACTTGAGTGGTGTGTGGCCTTAGTGTCAAATCTTGTAAAATTATAAGGAAAACCCTTGGGTCAGATTGTGACTTGTACTTGGCTGTTTTCGTTTCACTTGTTATTGTAATGTGCAATGAGGTAGTCTTATAACAATAATTCCCTCATAACATCCTTGTGTCTTATAATCAGTTCTCATATTTTTTTTTTTTCTAACAGTAATAGCTACAGCTTTGACTGAAGCGGAAATAAGGCAAGATTGGCAATGGCTGTTTGAAAATGTATGTCCGACTCTGCATTCATTTGACAAAGAGGATGAAGTTACAGATTTTGTGTGCTGCAAAATCAATTCAGTTATTGCTACTGAACAAGACAATTTCACAGAAGGTAATATTTTTGGGAATAGTTATATTTTGTCAGTTATTATTTTTATTATTTTTCATAATCACCAATGTAGAAATAAGGTACATATTCATCTATGGCTTGGAATTTGTATTGATATTCTGATTGATTTTTAAAATCATTTTTGTAATAGGTATTTAGTTTGTCTAGTTATTCATTGTTTTTGTCCTGCAAGAAATTGAGGACTATTTATCTATTGGATTGCAAGACTTATACTCTATTTATAAAGAACTTATCTAAAATGCAAGTGTGTGCAAAGACCATTTCAAAAAAGAACAGCTTAGTTAAAAATCCATAAGTTTAGAATCTAAAGTAATTCCTAGGAATTTTGTAAAACTTATGCTATTCAATGGTTCGTTCTTTATTATCAACTGTGTGCAAATCTGCCAAACATTAGGTAAGGTAAATTTAATGCACTTAGTTTTGTTTGCATTTAATAATAAAAAAATTGTGTGTGTCAGCTCCAACGCACGACTGGAGTTTACTCCTTAAGTTTGATAGTCTAACCAGACGCAAAAAAGGTTTATTTAACTTAAAAAAGATTGATACTGTATGAAAGGGTAAATTAACAAATTAATGAAAATAGTATACATATATAAATATATATTTATTCACTTCATATACATTTATTATAATTAATCGACGAACTATTTTACATTGAACTTTTTACAATAGTCAATTTCAGATGTGCATAAATATATCATTAGGAATGTTGATAAATTATGTAATTATTATTATCAGACTATTATCATTTTTTTAAATATTAATTAAATCAACATTGTCTACATTATTAATTACAGTAACAAGTGGTTTATGGTAACTAAAATAAGACACATTGGATGTTCGTAGATACGTGGTTCACGAATCTTGAAAATACCGCATCAATGGTTGTACCATACCTCGTTGTCCCCATTGCTCTATCAGAAACAATATCTAAATTCAGTGCAGATTTTAAAAATTTTATTAATGTCAATCCGTCATCTTTGATGCGCACCAAAAACGTAACGAGGTCATTCATCGATAGATTTTACTCCTCACATTTTTCTCATACCGGGCCCCTTATATATGCAAATCGATTCTTAAGGAGTAAACTCCAATAAGTTGTTATCAATAAGCCAAAGACCCTGTGATAGGGTGTCATTTATGTAGTCAACATTTTCTTTACCTCAATCAACTTTGAAAATTAGAGATGTATCATCAGCAAATAACACAATATCACGTAAATATTTAACAAAGTAAGGAAGGTCATTAATATATATAAGGAATAGCAAAGGTCCCAATATTGATCCCTGTGGAACACCCATACTTAGAGATGCTTAAAAAGACTCAATTCCATTAATACAAACTTTTTGTTTTCTGCCTGTGAGATAAGAGTTTAATAAATTAAGTGAATTAATAGAAACTACATAATGTCGCAATTTTTTTGAGTAAAGTTTGGTGGTCTACCCAATCAAATGCTTTAGAAAGATTGCAAAAATACCAACAGCTTCTTATTTACTCTCCCAAGCATCGAATATTATGAGTGGTTCTCCAGCATGAATAGTATTTCTACCTTTCGTAAAACCAAATTGCTTATTATGTAGTAATTTGTTAAGGACAAAGTGAGATAGCAATTGATTAAATATGATTTTCTTAAATATTTTGCTAAGTACTGGTAAAAAATAAATTGGTCGAAAATTTGACGGGTCACTCTTATCACCAGCCTTGAATATAATAATAATAAAATAATAAATATTTTCAACACTCACACCAATTAGCCTAGCCCCAAAGTAAGCGCTGTAAGGCTTGTGTTATGGGATACTAGGGTAACGGATAGAATACATATACAGTACATATATAAGTATATTTATATAGAAATAAATATTAAACGTCCATGACTGGAGTACAAATGCTTGTATTCATCACACTATCATCTACTCCCACCGGGATTCGAACCCGGGACCTCTCGAGTCGGCGACGACACCATGAAACCCGGCGTACAAACCACTCGGACACGGAGGTCGTCAATGTGGAATAGGAATGATGGTATTATTTACTTAATTTCATTAAACCAGGAAAGCAAACTTGATCAAAGCATGTATAAAAAATGGATGCAAGGTGAGGAGCAATGGAGTCGATAATTGTTCCAATTATATTGACAGAGATTCCCCAAAGGTCCTCGGTTTTTTCAAATTTAATTCTCTAAAAGTTTTAATTAATGTGTTGCAATCTATAAACCTGAACTGGAGTTGATACTGGTACTCAGTGATATTCGCTTTTAAAAGAGACTCAGCAAGAACTGGCGATGAATTCAGCTCTTTAGTTGTTTCAGGCGCAATATTGGAAAAGAATGTCTCAAAAGTACACACATCAAAAGTGTCTAGGGATCAACATATATTTTTGCAATAACTTTTCTCCTGATTGATATTAATTAAAATTTTCTTTAAGGATTCATCAAATAAAGTGTTTTCGTTTGTCACAGTAACGATAAACCAAGTCACCTTTGCATTAATAAAGAAATTTGCCATTTTCCTAATAAAGGGATTTTTGACATTTGAACCACTAACACAAAAGTTCGAAAAAAAGACTGAAATAACAGTTTTCTCTAAAATTTTATTGGGTAACTTAAACAATTAATAATCCGTATTTCTACCGCGAACACTAACAACACAAGAACATCGGTTTGGCATACTCAAAATGAGTTCATCCAAATCACGCTGTGGAATGGCCGCCCATGTTCGTTGCAACAAGTCTTCTTGCGACTGGATACCCTCCATATTCGGCAGAGCTCTTCTCTGTAGCATATCCCATGCATGCTCAATCGGGTTCAAGTCTGGCGACTGAGCAGGCCAGGGCAGGACATTGATGTTAGCTGCGGCGAGAGTCTGTCTTACAACTCTTGCGGTGTGCGGTCGTGCATTATCATGCATTAACTGAAATAAGGGACCGATTTGCACTTGTAGAGGAACGATGACGTCTGATACAATCGTCTCAGCATAAATTTGAGCGTTGAGGTTGCCTCTGATCCAAATCAACTCAGTTCTTCCGCCGATCCAAATACCCGCCCATACCATGATGGTTCCACCACTATAAGGATGGACTTCCTGGCAGGATTTTAATCGCTGTTGGCGTCCAGGGGTTCTCCAGTGTCGTATACGTCTTGTATCCGGTCTCATACCAAAACGAGACTCATCAGAAAAGCACACGAAACGCCATTGTTCTTCTGCCCAATTTCTGTGTTCAAGAGCCCATTGATATCGAATCCTACGATTGTGCATTGCTATAGGTGGTACCCGTAGCGGTCTTCGGGAATGAAGGTTCACTTCATGCAAGCGGTTTCTGACTGTTTGGTCGCTAATTAAGTTCCCTGAAGAGTGATGAAGCCTCACGGCTAACATCATGGCGGTTATTGTTGGAGCTCTTCGAGTTAAGATTTGAATGTATCGGTCTTGTCTCCGTGTGGTGCAGCGATACCGTCCTCCATGGCGCTCAGCCACGGTACCAGTGCTTCGGTATCGTGTCCAAAGTCGACTGATAACACTCTGACTTGTATTCAGAGCTAAAGCCACAGTACGTTGCCGGGAACCAGCTTCTATCATTCCCACGGCTCTGAGCATTTCTTCCCTGCTTAAATGACGTCGCCGCTCCATAATAACGTTGGTTTTAATCAGTAGTAGGGAAACAGTAGCACTAATAATGTCTTCAATGCGTTGTATGTTTTTATAGGGAAAATATTGACAGCTGATTTTCATCTTTTACTCGAATTTGATTCACAGTTCCTGATTCAAATTATGAAATGCACCAAAAAGGATCCATATAAATTTATAAAATCATAAATTTATTACAAAGCCACATCTCAATCTCAAGAAATCCGCATAAAAATGCTTGATCCCTAGACACTTTTGATGTGTGTAGTTGCAACATCTTTATCAGAATTAATAACTTGGTTCCCGACTTTGAATGAGAAAGTGTGTTCTTTTATTTTATTTTTGCACTTTTTTTATTTATTATGTTCTATGTAGCTTTATTATTAGAATCTAAAATTTTATTATGCGCTGAAGTAGATTTGATTTAGCAGCCACGTAAACTTTTTATAATAAAAGCAAGTAATTTCTAACATATTCAATAACATTTGGATCTTGCATAATATCGGCTTTAAGACTATATAAATCATACATTTTATTTCTACTCTTGTGAATGCCGGTTGTAGCCCAGTCATCAAATTTTCACTTCACAGAACTTAATCTAATCTGTCTCTGTGGGAATATGGTTTTAAATTCATTACTTACTACAGTAAATAGTTCCTCATACATTTGAACAAATGACATCCACCGTACTTGGAACATGATGGTGTTCAAATGTGGCCATTTGTCCACTATGATCTGAACCAAGGCAATTAATTATTACTTTTTTTGAATATTACAGTTATAAAAAATATTATTTAAGCAAGTAGCTGATGTTGGGGTGATTCTAGTAGGCTCATTGAAGAGATATAATAAATTGTGTATTATCTAATAAATCTATATTGAAATCACTACATACAATTAACCTTCTTATTTGATTTACATGCCTTTTTTAAGACCTCCTCTATAGTGGCCTCGAAAATTTGGTGATTTGCAGATGGGGGATTGTATACACTTACGAATAAATACTGCTCTAGCTCTGCCGTTAACATGACATGTGTGTGTTTTTGTGTGTTAATTATTATCTACCTTAAATATTCACTATTGCTTTTGCTTGTTTTAGATGAAGATACGATTACATACAAGAATGTTGATTATGAATTCCATCAAAGGTTTGGCATGCCAAAAGATGAAAAGCTGGTTTGTTATTACTCATGCAGGTATGCCTCGTGACTCAATTCTTACAATTACTGTTTTTTTATATATTGAACGTAAGGTACATTAAAGGTATTATATTTTTAATTAGCTACTGGAAAGGAAAAATGCCACGGCAAGGATGGATGTATCTATCAGTACATTACATGTGCTTCTACTCATATATATTTGGACGTAAAACCACTGTGAAGATACGCTGGGCTGATGTTACAGAGTTAGCCAAGACAAACAGTCTGCTCTTCCCAGATTCAATAAAAGTTGTCACCAGAGATGATCAGCACTACTTCACAATGTTTTTGAAGAAAAGCGAAACTTTTGCTTTGATGCAGCAGTTAGCTAATATTGCTATGAAACAGTAAGTGAATAAAAATATATTGCTGATTTATAAGAGGAAGGGCGAAGCGGATTTCCCGTTTGGATATTAGCGCCGACCTGGGGAAGTTCTCTCCATCTTACTGAAAACCAAAGTAAAATAACATTAACTGTTGGTGGTGCTATATTTCTTTAGTTGAGTAAGCTTCCTGTTTACACGGGGTAGGGGATCGGGTTCAGGCCGGCATGCATGTTGCATCAACTACGATGGCCTCACTTGCCTTTATTTACTCTCGAATTCCTGTGCTTCAAATGGCACGTTCCTCCAGTTGCGTAGTTGTTACAACCCAACAATCCGTACGGGGCGGGACCCCGTGATGGGTCATACAATATACAAGTAAAGGATTTTTACTGTATTCGGCCAGCAAACGCTTTTTTCGCTGATCACCCATAAACAGCGGTTGCTTACGGTTGAAAACATTTCATTAGGTATGTATTATAATATCCGGTTGATGTTCTGTTTTTTTTTGTTTATCTACATACTGGTATCGAATCTGGCGTGATTCTCTAAACTTAAAACTAAATTTAACATCAGTCTCTCCTTGTCAATCTGCATAGAGAATGACAAGGATGCACTGTTGTTAAATTTAAGTTTAGCTTTAGAGAATCATGCCAGAATCGACATCACTACCTATCTACTTACTGCATACGTGCGTTGTGGCACTAAGGCCCGTATTACAGAAATATTCTCAGTGATTGATCTAGTCTTGAGCATAGTTAGAAAGGGATGTCGCTATATATAGCACATAGTGACATCCCTTTCTAACTGTACTCAAGTAAAGATCAACACTTAGTTGTCATTCTGTAAAACGGACCTAAGTGTCTCACAGACAAACGTGGCTTACTGCCACGGCTGGGGTTAATGCTGGTTGTATTCGCTTGCAATGTAAGCGAGTGGTGAAATACGAGCGACCAATAAAATAAGTGTCTGCGAGGCACTCAAAAACAGCTTGCTTTTGAGACTCAAGTCATAGCCGTATCTTCCTTTAGTCGTGTCGATGCTATTTTGAAATACATAACTTTTGAAATGTTTCCTCTTACTCGGGCACATAATAGGTACCAACGCACATTTTTTTGATTAGCCAACTATTTATTTATCCTCAATGTTTTTATTTTTATCTGAACTCTGTCAATAATAATTTGTAATATAAATATTGTACACGACGAAATGGTTTTTACTGATTTGATATTATTTCATTTGACATATTTCTATTAATTTGTGTATAAATAATATAATTATTCAATTGCTTATTATGCAAACATAATACGTAAGTTCTACTTAAAATATTAAATTTTTGTTTTGTTTTGTTACCATTGGAATTAATTTTTTGTTTTCATTATTATGCACAATTGCACACGTAATCCGCATTTTTCTCTTATAGTCTAGCAAAAATTTATTTAAAAAAATAACAGGGTAGGTATTATAATAAATATGTGATCATAAAGAATACAAAGATATATAAATAAATAATAAGTACACATACATTTTATTAACTTTTCTAGGTTGATAGACGACAAGTCTGGTTCCTTCAATATTGACAAAGACTTACTTACTAAACTTAGTAAGAATGTACCAAAGAAACCGTCATTTCTAAAAAGAGATCTCGACGCGAAAAAGCAGTCTAATCGCTACACGCTAAGGTTTAGATTGCCGCAAAACGAGAAACTTGATGGCACAGAAGAGTGTACTCTGTGGACCCCATATAATAAAAGTCACAATTGGGGCAGACTGTACTTGTCACAGAACTTCATTTGTTTCGACAGTCGGGTAAGTTATTGTTTTTATTAGAAACTTGTTTATTTTTGCTATGGTATATAGCTGGGTGGAATGGATTAAAATATTTTTTATAGCACAGTGTGACCTTAACCCGCACTTTACGCACGCTTTTCCGTGACCTAAGTTGCCTATTTCTGCACGGTGTGTCAATGAATTGACCAACTTCACTCATGTAGAAAAAATAAAAGGAAACACATTTAAATGTCATTTGGAGCTTAAAAACTCACAGCAAAAAAAACTATTATATTATAAACTCACTATTTTGTTGTAATGATATTTGATTTTTTCCTTTTGAAATATACTTTCAATATGGTAATCTGAACCGGAATTCTTTCTTTTCAGAGTTTGACTTGCAGTCTGTATTGCAATTCTTTGTGATTGCAATACATGAATTTTACTTTCAAAACACTAATCGCATCCCAACCCCTCCTCTTGCCCGCGTCCGGGGCGGGTTTATGTCACACTTGCTATAAAATAGAATACGATACTTGTGGCGAGGGTGCTAACTTCACGCCGTGCAGTAATAGGCAACTTAGGTCACGCGTATCGTAATGTACTATTACTTTTCACTAAGAAAATTCCGCTCAGCAAACTGTTGTTTGAGTGGAATCATATGTATTAACTCAATTATTGCGAGTTACCAAGAAGTTCGTAATTTCCTCTTTTGATTCTTGATTTAAAATTCCGCTCACATCACAGTGGAATGCAGGTCAAGCCAGAGAATATTTTATGAAAGATTGTGGAAGGATTTATCCTCCATGCAATTATATTAAACTATAAAAAAAAACAATGTGAGTTGTAATAATCTTCTATTTGCCGCGTACACGGGTAGCTTGAAGCAGTCAGGATGTTCTGCTTCAAACTGCGACTGCATAGTGAACCACAGTTTGCTACGTACTCATTAAATGGACCGTTCGGGTGGTTGGCACCGTAGTGAAATGGCAGCTTCAAGCTTTTGACCCTTTCTATTCGAGCAGTCCGTATATGGCCGCTCTAATAGTTGTCGATTTATCATGAAAATATAAATGCGTTTTTGCGCAAAGAAGTTAATGGTCAGGCTACGGCTGTTTGGCGTATTAATTGTTTTATCGAGTTTCATTTCAATGTTATCAAATAGCTCCGGCAATTACATCCCAGTAGTGTAGGTCAAACTCGTATTTGTGTCCGCACATTACATTAAAAGTGATTAGGGTTATTTACAAAATTAACAGGAATGTGTAAATGAATACCAGGTTATCATAATGAATGGCAGATCTGAGTCACGACCATACAGCCATTGTTTATATAAGTACTGATATAATATTACATGCACGTTATCGGTTATCGGTAAACGGACTAACCAATTACGCTCACTTATGTACTTAAATATACAATACAACTATGTTAGGATCGGCTATGACCATAATTGACTGCTGTTGACATTTTCAATTGTTACCAGGTCGAGAAATATCAGCACAAACAATGAAGTAACGTTTGTATAAGTTATTACGTCTCAGTTTAGTTTATGTGTTGTTATTGTTGTTATTACTATGACATATCAGCTTATTCAAATATTATTGTGAACTTAAGCATCTAAAAATGATTAACGTTTCACTGAAAAGCTCATATTTAATCAAAGTTGAATTTAAAAATAAAATTATTGTTAATAATAATCAAATATTGTAAGGTGACAGATATTTTACACTTTTACTAAAATATGATTCCACATCAAGGGGGCATAAATAACTGCGAATTCGCATCGCATCTCCGCGAGCTCGCACGATTGCACTGTAACCGATCTGATTCACATCGCGTATTCTTGCGTATTCTTACGTCACACTTGTTGACGCTATTTTAGTTCGCTCTGAGACTTCCCTTTTGCGATCGTTTTTGTAGGCATGGTGATAATAAACTCAAATCAAGATATGCTTATTCTAAAATAACCAAAAAATGTATGTTAGTCTGTTCTCAAATCATAGTATTTTCGTAAATAGTTCCCATCACCCTTCATTACCGTTAGAAATGAATGAACCCAAAATCATCTTTTTCGTCTATATATATTTAACAATAACAGCAGTGCAACAATATTTTTACGATCCATAACCAAAGCGTTGCCGCACGATATTGTATCGCTGCAATTCGCATCGCTGGGTCCTGTAATACGACTCGCATCGCATCGCAGTTTTGTGTGGGAGCCCTTGGACATTATTTGCTTACCACCTTACGATGATGGAATAAGGTTTTATGTATTTGTTTCTTAGGTTTTCACGCACATCACTCATTAAATAAAACTAGTTTAAACGGGATAATGCACGAAACTTTATTTATTTATTGACGTTTCGTAGCCTTTCCAGGCTTCGTCGTCAGAATAAAACTTTTGTTTAATTTGTCGAGCTACCTTCGAAAGACTTTTATTGAGCGTTTGGTTATTTCATCGTTCGATTTTTAAGTTTTATTGTCTATGTATGAATATATACAGGATGCAAGACCATCAGATACTATTAGTTCTTTTTGTTTGCATAATTTAACATAGCCGTGGTATATACCACCAGCTTGGGAACCTATTATACAGGATGCAAGACCATCAGATACTATTAGTTCTTTTTGTTTGCATAATTTAACATAAGAAGGAGATAGAAAGCCTCTCTTGAGTTTGTTTCGCCGGTTCTTCTCAGGAAGGTCTCCCAATTTTGGAACCGGTAGTAGTTTACGGTAGTTAGGGTCAAATAAATAAACGCAAAATTACAAACAAGAATATTAAATAAAATACTTTATTAAGTAAATTAAATAATAAATTCATACATAGACAATAAAACTTAAAAATCGAACGATGAAATAACCAAACGCTCAATAAAAGTCTTTCGAAGGTAGCTCGACAAATTAAACAAAGGTTTTATATTTTAATCTATAATATTACATATTCTAACGTATCATATTATCTTTTTTATCTTTACAAAACAAAACCTGATTTCTTGTAAATATAGATGAAAATGAATAATAATAATGAATTATCTATCGTCTACTAAAATTTAAAGTAGATTTGAAGTAAAGACTAAATAAATATATTCTTAATTTTTAATGGATGTTTATACTCATAGCCGTAATACACTCTAGTATCGAAATCGCAACATTACATTATGACATTAGAACTTCGACATTACATTAAGATATTGTTAGGTGACATTAAACCCCTGTAGCATATCATTTCGCAATCGTTACACTATTTAGGGTAAGGTCCTTTTTCCGCACGCACAAATATTACCATTATTATGGTGAACAGTATTTCCCTATACCTCCATAGTGAAGTCATGTGATTTGGTAGTGGAGAATGAAGCTGATGCAAGCAGACATAGTAGCAGACACATCCATAAGCGGGACCGTCAGAAAACGTATTTCTGGCAACTGTTTTGGTTTTACTGTACCATATTTTTTTTGATTTTTTGTCTGGGAAATACCTTACGCTTCCTTCAACCACTGGGGGAGCGAGAAGAAGGTATGTGGGACTCCTCCCTGTCCACTTCAGCCATCCCTGAGGCGAGCATCCCTGAAGTGTACAGGGCCCTACCTACGCCCTGAACAGGGTCACTAAAAACCAGACAATATCCCTGCACCGTGTCACCCGATCCGCTTTTGCTAGGAACACAGTCCCAGCAATGCGGATCGGAAGTCTGCCCGCACATGGATTTACCGTACCTAGCGCTATTTTCAGATATAAAGCTAAGGTGAAATTTGCTAATAAGAAAAACCTTTACAGTTGTTGTCCCGCTGCTGGATGTGTCTGCTACAATGTTTCCTAGTTTTAGCTTCATCATTGATAGGCTAACAATGATCGTTGATTAGCTTTGTAACGTCTCTACTGCTGGAGCACAGTCCTTCACTATAAAGTCTGCAGTAAATAAAATAAATGCAAAAATTTTATAGGTGAAGAACCTGGTACGTCTGACTATTCCTTTACGCGACGTACATCAAGTGGAACGCGCCGATTCAGGCGGGACCGGCAGCTCTGGTGACTCAGGCAGCATCCTCGTCACCACCTCCTACCACACCAGCTTCCTGTTCGGGAACATTTCCGACAGGGAGTTTCTGGTCCACAAAATATCGGAGCTACTGGCCAAGTTGCCCAAGTAAGTAGGTTCTGTTATCTAACCTCATTCAGCTTTATAATTTCGATATCGACATTCTATTATTATTTATATTTTTCCTTCGAATATGTCCATCCACTTGTAGCTATAGATGTTCAAGTAATTTGATAAAACAGTCTATTTCAAACTGTTTGATCAAATAGCTATTTGTTAATTCATATTTCTTCATGCCAATTGGCAACTCATTTTATTTTCCCACACGTCATATTCATGCCAATTTGATCAAGCCGAACTGGCTTGTTTGATCAAATCACTTGATCGTCTATGGCGGCCATTACAGTATCAACGACCCGGGCATTTAAGCAAACACAAGTTATTTATTAAAACACTTTTAAATAGGTACCTGCTTATTTATGGAGATAATTAGTCTTCATTTTATTTATGACGGCCAACATCTTAGTCCGACACAGAATCTGAAAAGTCGACAATTATTTTGATATTAATAATTCCTATGAAAGTGTTTTATTGAATTTCATAATTTAATTATGTCAGGCGTTGCATCCATTATCATTATATCACAATCTTTCTGGAAACATCGAAGGGTTTCTATTAAATAAGGAATGCTTGTTAATTACCATTAACCTAGCTTCTGCTCACGGCTTTATCAGCATGGGTCGTATTGATGAGTTCAAATATACGAAGTTGCTATACCTCACAATAAGACTTATTCATCGTTTAATACAACCCAATTAAGTTTGCGTTTGGGTACGTCTGCACTAACGATACTAACTTATCTTATTCTGTGTGTATTGAGTCATGAATAATTATGTCATATTGTAAAGCAAACACAAACCAGTGTAACTATCAAAGATAAGAATATGGACCTAGTGGACACAACTGTATTCTTAGGCATTACAGAATATTCGAAGCTTCAGTGGGGCCCACATATTGAGATATTGTCGAAAAGACTTAGCTCTGCAGCCTACGCAGTAATGAAGATACGCCAATTAACTGACGTAGATACCGCTCGATTATTATATTTTTGTTATTTTCATAGTATGATTCAAACTATTTTTGTGCTTAAAGGGCTGTTGTTCAATTTACCATCTTTAAATCAGATCATATCATCATCAGAGATACTTTAAGAGAAAAATTTAAAAAAGTATAATTAAAGTCTGTTGCTTCTCAGTACATTTATGAAAATACAATGTATGTTGAAAAAATATTACATTATTTCCTATAAATAGTGATAAGCACTAACTGAATACCAGAAATAAAAATAAATTAGCTGTACTAATTATAAGGATCCACAAAATCAATAATTCATTTAAAAGCTTCTGCAATAAAGTCCCTAGCAATATACAAAAATTAAGCGTCAATAAATTTAAAGCTACTTGTCTCATTAATAGCCTATTATTTAATGGGCTTAAACTGTTCCAAACGTTCCGGCATGCTTTTTCTATAATTGTGATGAAGATAATATGATTTTGTATTGTTATATTAGTGTAATAATTTAATATTTTGTTAATATTGTTACATATTTATTTAACGCGGTGGAGCTTTTTTCGACAGTTTTTCTCCACAATTAAAAAAATGTCCTTAACTGGTGGGGGAAAAATATGGACGATGCAAAACAGTTGTATTGTGCATCCAATTATGTGCAATTAGAATAAAGGTTTTTTAACTTTAACTTTTGACTTATAATAATTGTAACACCGAAAGTTTTTTCCTATACAAATTTATGCGCAGCCAAATAGCTAACTTTAAAATTTTGTTTTATAAAGCTGAATATTATTATTATAATTGTATTGTATGAAAAGGAAGAGCGAGATACAAACATAAAAATGCTTAAAAGGAGACTTCTATGTCATTATTATATGGAGAGAATATTGTGATAAATATTTTTTTTAACATGCCTAGATAATGTCAGCCGTACAGTAAAAACCTTTCGTTTATATTATTTCTAATGCGAGTGTAAGTTCTGGATAGTTATCAATGGGCACAAGAATAGCAATACAAAGCTTCTAATTTTTGTCACCACCTCATTTGCAATAAATTGGGATCTGAGAATTCATTGATAAAACTAGTCTGCAAAAAAAAATTGAAAGCTGTTTTGGTTTTTTTGCGTAATTCTTATGTTTTTGGGTGTGCTGAATCCGAAAATGACATTCATTTTGTCGTGGAATGTCACGTTTTCTGACAATGTAGGTATCTATTTTATACAAGTTAACATCTTAAAATTAAAGTTAAATTACTAAAAAATGTTTTCAATTATAATTGCGTAACAAAGCTTATTTTTTTATATAAACTACTTCATTAGTAAGCACTAAACACATCTCTTTTTCCCCAGTGAGACTCCTTTTGGTATATATTCGCTTGTAGGAAGTTTCTGGTAGGTCTCTCTGAAGCGTTTAACAGCAATCTGCTATCATTTAGACGCTCCATCATTTTCCACCATTTAGATACCAGGGGGTATCTATTTTCCTTAAAATCTTGGTGAAATCGTTCACCTTACTCATCACTTACATTTCCTACATTTTCTGGAAAGTAGTCGAAGTGGTAATGAAAAGAAAATGTTCTTCAAAACTTGAGTATGCAACATAAAGCTTGATATCCTTTTAATATTTTTTTTTGACCCATTCCTGTTCTTAGCGTTTTTGTTATTGTCTAAAAATTTCTCTATGGCCTCTTTAAAGTCAATCCACTCTTCTCTTTGAGGATCCATCATGGTTTTGATGAATTGTGGATCAGCCATAAGCCATCTAATATCTGGTCCAACAAAAACACCTTTTTCAACTTTGCTCCTGAGAAGTCTGGAAAATTTTATATTAAGTATGTGGGAAGCAGGAATCAAACCGGGAAAATCCTTTATACTGATTTATTGGAAATTATCACTTTTAAGATTTTTTTTTTTGAACCAAAATGGATAAAACCTTGTCGAGTTAACACATAATTCTACTCCGTAACTTTCTACACTATCGGGGAGCGCACTTTCAGGTTATAACATAAAATATATGAGTTATGTTTATTCAGCTCACACAGAGCGTTCTTTATTAAGAAAGTAATGTTGGTTAAGTCCTGTGTACATTTAAAAACAATAGTCAAAATAATTTTTTACCTATTTTTTAAGCCTTCAAGTTAAGCCTAAAATATCATTTTTATAAAAAAAAGCGTGTAGCAATATAACCTGACGTTCTGGAATATTTTAAGTAGTTTTTTAGTTTTCAGAACACCTAAAAACATATAAATCAGTTGAAAATATCCAAACAGCATTTTTGTTTCAGACCTGTGTAATTTATAATAATACTAAAAATAAAATGTTGTTTATTAGAATTTTTTTTTGTTACCTAAGCATGAAGTTGCACGTGGCTAGCTTTTACAGGGATACTTGGCAATCTTCTCAGGACGCTGCTACTAACGACAATGAGCTCTGGGATATGATATATTTAAGGTTAAATTTGAGTGGCACATTCTCAATTACTTGAATCTCCAGTGATACCTACAGGGAGAAGGCGACGTTGGCAGTGGCCAGGAAAGACGATGGCGAGAGGGGATGGACGTCTCAGCCGCCTTTGATGACGCTCTTTAAGACTAACCAGACGTCGCCTATCCGCCAAATACAACAGAAAAAGGTACTTTTTTATTGTTTTAATCAACCTTTTATTACATTTGTATACAAAGAGTCAAGGGAATAACTTCTTTGCTGGGTTACCTTACCGCGAAGCACTCAGTTTCCATATTCCGTGCGACTTCTGGCAATATTTCTCTTCAAAATAGGAGAAGAGGTATTACAGAATAGTGTTATTTGTCTTCTTGATCAGGTTCTCCCCAAGTCGAGCACACGCAATTCGGACGAAAAATCTACTGAGTCTGATCTCTTACACCTATTAATAATTTTATCATCATGATTTATTGATTTTATACTGTCTAGATTTAGTTGAGTTCTATCGAAAATGCTCCGCTTAATTTGGACATTATTTTTGTGAATTAAAAAGAGAAATTGCATTATATTCATTTTAAGCTGATTATAATACTGCTAGATCTGTAAATCAAAAGAAAATTATACTAGAAAAAATTTCAAGCGGTCCAGACAGGACTCGAACTCGCACCCTCCTCTATCCGGGCAGATGCACTACCAATTATGCTAACACTACTTCAATAGCCGTGTCGAAGTTCTTCTAGTATATCTTAGGCTAGAAGGCAGCGACATCCGCGACCTGCTCGGATAGCGGAGGGTGCTGTTCGAGTCAGTCTGCTTCTTTTTTCGGATTCCGTGCCTCAAAAAGAAAAAAACGGAACCCTTATAGGATCCCTTTGTTGTCCGTCCGTCAGTCAAGACCGTTTTTCTCAGGAACGCGTGGCAGTATCAAACTGAAATTCATATCTAATACTTATGTTTAGTGTCCCTTGGGTTGTGAAAACAATCAAAAGATATATGCTTTATGCCGCAAATTTTCGAAACTTGCACGGGAATCAAAACCTACAGGGTACTTCCCGTGAACTTAGAATCTTGAAATTTGGTACGAAGTAACGTCTTAAAATACAGGTAAAGATAAAATTGCGAAAACCGTAAATTTTTAGTTACATCATAAAATAAAAATTATTTTTGAAAATTTTAAAGTTACTACTACCTCTTTTCTCATGAACGTGTAGAGGTATTAAATTGAGTTTGTACGGAACCCTCGGTGCGTCAATCCGACTCGCAATTGGCCGGTTTTTTTTTCTAGTAAAATTTTCTTTAGATTTGTTAAAAAAGTATTAAATAGAAATAAAACAATAAACTTTCCAGGTGAAACGATGGGAAGACCATATGTCTGAAGTGGGTCGCGGTGTAAGCATGTACCAAACCACTGCTGGCAGCGAACTTGTAGTCAACGGCATCCCAGAATCCTTACGCGGAGAATTGTGGAGTGTTTTCTCCGGCTCTATATTACAGAAGGCACAGAATAAGGGGTTGTACGAGAAGCTTGTCAACGAAGCGTTGTCTTCCAAGAACCCAGTTAATGATGAGATCGAAAGGGACCTGCACAGATCGCTCCCGGAACATCCGGCTTTCCAGAATGATGTTGGTGAGCACTTCATTTATTTTTCATTGGACGATCTCCGTGGCCAAGTGGTTTCATGGTGTCGCCGACTCGAGAGGTCCCGGGTTCGAATCTCGGTGGAGGCAGAAGTTTGTGTGGTAAATACAAGCATTTGTACTCCAGTCATGGATGTTTAATATGTATTTCTATATAAATATACTTATTTATGTACAATATATGTATTCTATCCGTTACCCTAGTATTCCATAAGACAAGCCTTACAGTGCTTACTTTGGGGCTAGGCTAGTTGGTGTGAGTGTTGGAATTATTTATTTACTGTAAGTTTTCCTTTTTTTTTGTTTAAATCTTGTGGACGATCAGAGACGTTCGTGTCGAATATTTGAAAAGGCATCATCGTTTGCTCGTTGTTTTATTTTGTCACAAACCCAACCAGTCATTTGTTAATGCGGGTTTTTAAACGTCTATTGAGATACAATAACAATTTTCAGAACTCATTGTGAACAAAACCCCTAACTAAGATGAAACAAACTATTCGTTAATTTTAGGTATATCCGCTTTACGTCGCGTTTTGTGCGCATACGCACTCAAAAATCCAACCATTGGCTACTGCCAAGCGATGAACATAGTCGCTTCGGTACTGCTCATCTACTGTCCAGAGGAGCAGGCGTTCTGGCTTCTGGCAACTATATGCGAGACTTTGTTGCCTGACTATTACAACACGAGGGTAGTTGGTGCTTTGGTGAGTAATTGATTAATCTATATCGAGTTTTGGATCTATTAGGGCCAGATTCAATAATCAACCTCCAGTAAAAGGTAAGGATAATGTGGTTCTGTTTCTTAAAAACAGTTGCTATTCTAATCTCAATAATAAAAATATTTTACAACTAGCTTTTGCCCGCGACTTCGTCCGCGTTATCGTCGTTTTTCGTAAAAAAGTAGCATATGTCCTTCCTCAGGGTTCCGTGGTTTTGATGTGACAGACAGATTAACTTTCGTATTTTAGTAGGGAAATATAACACTTATTAAAAATATCGCAATAAGGAACAGCAGAATATTATTATTATCACTGTGCCCCGAGACCATCAGCTTGTAACTCCTTGTATGTTATTATGTTAATATATTGGTAATATTGTTTAGATCGCTTTCACATGAGTCTTAAGTACATATAGAATGAAACTTCAGCGCAAAGCTTCCGGGTAGACTACGTTGAAATTTGACCCGTCCGGAACGTCAACATAAAAAATTCTAGGACTGCTAACCCGGGAAAGACCGACATAACTGACCATGTGAAAAACAACTGACACCGAGATCTACTCCAACAACACGAAAGGTCTGTCCTTGAGCCTTATTTATTGTCATTGCATAACACACCGATACTGGGAATTGCGTTCTTTTAAATTGGAATGGAAAATTATTTGGTATTATGGGAATTCTGGGAATAAAGATGGTTTCTCCTGCACCGCAACCTATTAAAATTTGAGCCTCGATTACATTTTGTTGTAACTGGGTTACTTTAAGCCGAGTTCCATTGCAAATTTGTGGTGGTCTTAAATTTCGGAGCAGAATAATCGGAATGCCAATTTTTAAACAAATTTCATGAGAAGGAAGTACGGGCGTATTTAAAGAATTTAAAAAGTCTATCGGGTAATTAGTGGCTTCTTGTTCATCGACCATTCTATTTATTGAACTATAAACTTTGCTTTCCCCCTGGATATTCGACAGTATTTTATTATTAATCTCAGATGCCTGGTCATTGCGAGGAGTTAAAATGGACCTATCGCATAGCCAAGAATTGTTCTTATTTAATATATTTGTTACGTCACCGTAAACTGACTATGTAAGATGTTGTTGGGATTGCATTATACAACATAACTCAGGCGTCAGAATAAGTTTTCCTTGGGGTAGCAGTGGATAGGTATCTTTGGTGAAGGTATTTTCTTTAATAATATATCAGAAAATTCACGATCATCCGGGTTATCTACAGTTCTCACTCGCATGTTTATAGTCAAATGCACCGATTGTATATCACGCCACAAATAAGAGCTTTTCAGGCAAGCCCTAACCTCAGCAGCTCGGGTTCCCCGTGGTATTACCGTTAAGGTTTGTCGGAAATCACCACAAAATAAAACTGTGATACCGCCCATGGGTCGATCATTTTGTCTTATATCTCTTAAAGTTCTGTCTACCGCTTCTACTCCTTTTCGATGGGCCATCGTACATTCATCCTATATGATTAAATTACACTTTGAACGAATATTTAAACACTACCAAAACAACTAATACGTGGTCCTAACTTTAGCTACCTTACACATAAAATCTAAGTGACTATTTGAACTAAAATATTCTTATAGAATTATAACCAGAAATATATACAACTCACAACAAAAAAGAAATGAAAATAAAGCTGAAACGCCTGTGCAATACTATCTACCTATACCTCCTTCACTTAAAAATAAATACTTATAACTACTTTAATTAATAAAAGTACCTACGCTTAATAATTTTTAATTTGAACGAATATTTAAACACTACCAAAACAACTAATACCTGTTTTACAAAATAACAACAAACGAAATTCAAATAAACTATTTAAAGACTAAAAGTCGCGCTGATAAGCACGGTTTCGGTCTCCCAGGCGGGGGAGCAGATGAGAAATCCTCATGGATACCCTACAGCCGGCTGCAAGGTTATGTCAGACTCGTACTGACTAAAAAACACCCGTAGGGGCTGCCTCTGGCCGGGAAGGCCTCTAAGGCTTCATCGGAAGCGATCGTCCCCCAGGGGGGGAGCGACGCAGAAAACAGATTTAGACAGCTCGCTCTCGGACCTTTGATACCCTACCGCTGCCGCGACCCGTGTCGAGCGCGGCAACCGTTACACAAAAATAATCCTTATAGCATGATTCAGTATTCACGTGCGACGGTGCGATGGCTTATTTCATGTATAAGTTTGGTGTTTCTATACCGAGTATTATAAACGTAAGAGTAAACAAATATGATCAGAATGCTCCGAACTGCTAAGCTATCGGGAGTTACACGTGTTATTGTGAGTCAACCATAAAAGATAGACATATGCTGTTGCGGGATATTTTTTAGACAATTTTATGTAGAATATTTCCGTCATACATGATTTCTATGTAACTTTAATCATTAAGGCTGCACACGCGACGGAAGCTTAAAAAATGGAGTAACTTCTCCCATTTTCCCAACATTTCCCTTCACTACTCTGCTCCTACTGATTGTAGCGTGATGAAAAGTATACTGCCCAGGAGTATGAAGAATAATTGTACCAAGTTTTGTTAAAATCCGTTGAGTAGTTTTTGTTTCTATAAGGAACATACGCACAGACAGACAGACAGACAAAAAATTTACTGATTGCATTTTTGGCATCAGTATCAATCACTAATCACCCCCTGATAGTTATTTTAAAAATATATTTCATGTACAGAATTGACATCTCTACAGATTTATTATAAGTATAGATATAGACAAACCTTGATCCGGTTGCTAAGAAACGAAACCAGATTATTCTTACTTTTTTATATAGGTCAATTATTGAAACTGGCTGTTAGTTAGTATAAAATAAACCGGGTACAGATTATTTGGAACCGATCATAATATGGATGCAATTGCGTTTTAATTTGATTTATCATTAATTTCCCTGACACTCAATAATTTTCACTCAAAGCTGTTCGCCGAAAAACCAATAATCGGTAATATACTGGTATAGAAAAGATTTGCATTGCATTGCACGTTGCAATACGACATACGTCATGTCGTAATGGTGCCCTTGATCTGTACGCGGTTCAACATCGCAAGTTGCATGTCCTCGCTTCAATATCTCAATAAACTATATATTAGTAGGTTTTATAATGGCCTCAATGGCGCAAGTGGTTAGCGTGTTCGGCTGCGATCGTTGAACTGAAGTAACTTTCGCAGTGGTCGGTCATTGGATGGGTGACCAAAAAAAAATACTATCTCGATGCTTCGGAAGGCACGTTAAGCCGTTGGTCCCTGCTGCATCTGCAGTCGTTAGCACCCACCAATCCGCACTAGGCCCGCGGATCATGGCCCAAACTCCATATTCCATCCATAGGGAAGGCCTGTGCCCCAGCAGTGGGGACATTAATAGGCTGAAGATGAATAATGGCCTCCCTTCATCATGTCTTTAATATATTCTATTAGGTGGACCAAGGCGTATTGGAAGAATTGACTAAAGCCCACTTGCCCGAACTTCACGCTAAGCTTGATGAACTCGGCGTGATGAAGATGATCTCTTTGTCTTGGTTCCTGACGCTGTTCATAAGCGTGATGCCTTACGAATGCGCCGTCAATGTGATGGACTGCTTCTTCTACGATGGAGCCAAAGTTATATTCCAGGTTAGTGGTTTGCAATTGTAAAGATTAATAAGTACACATAGTTACAGTCACATCGGAGTTGTAGGCAGTGGATTAAAGTGCTATAATATACTATAAAAACACCCCTTTTGGTAAATTTAACAATTGGTACTCTCCACATATTTTGATAGCTCTATTGTAAGAAATCTTTTTGGTTCCCGTTTCATACGTCATCGTGTATTTGAAAGAAACTCAACTCAAAGAATGATTCGCCTGCAACTTAAGATAACTACATTGGTCCTTCGAGCTGAATAATAAACAGTACTCTTCGAATATATACTAGTTTTTATATTAGCGGAAATTGTAGCTACTGATAATGACAATTTCAGGTCACTCTCACAATATTAGATATAAATCGCGATAAACTGCTGAAATGCACTGAGGACGGTCAGGCGATGCAAGTCCTTAACGATTATTTGGAAGGTATATACAACGACGAAGCTGTGGCTTTGTCCACAGAACCAAGGACGGCGGAGAAGGTAAACCAAATACTTTTTAATTACCTATATTTTGTCTATAGTTCATTCGCGTTAAGAAAATAGTGACTCATCAGTGCAACTGCAGGGTAAGGGTGTATTCATAATGGAGAAAAAATTAAACATTTTTTTTCAAAACATTAAATAAGTTTAATAGAAAAATAATAAAGTATCAATGATTTTAAACATGTTAAAATATTCCTATTAAGGTAATTTTTAATGTCAACTTAAACGCTATATTAGTAGAGTAACACATATTTGGATTAATCGTAATAAGTACTAAAATAAAAAAATACAAAATTGTCTTAAAACTAAGTACTTAAATCGCTAATCAGTATCGCTAGATTCTCCCGTTACATTTATTACGAATGAATTTTGTTCTGCATGTTCCATGACGTCATCCAAACCCCACATGGTATTTTCTTCGCGTATCACGTGGTCGCAGCATTTCTTCCACCGATTGGCGTCTACTAACGCGATTGCGTCATAAAATTTTTTTTTTACGTCACTCATTTTGAATGTAGTATTATTCGCAGCAATATAATTTTTTATTTGGGCCCACACCATTTCAATCGGATTTAATTTACAATGGTAAGGCGGCAGACGAAGAATTGTAATGCCATTGTTTTTAGCAGTCTCATCTACTAAATATTTATTATATTGTGGGGCGATTTCGGCGACTTTCAATAATAATTCTTTTTTCAAATAACTCATATCCATAGATATGTCTTTGTTTTGCAACCACTCTAGTATTTGCTGCTTATTCCAACTGGCCGTGGGTATTTTTTCAACTTTTACCGAATGGTAGGGAGCGTTATCCATGACAACCACACTTCCTGGTTCAAGCTTCGGTATTATACCATTGAACCAATTAAGGAATCTTTCACCATCCATTTCTTCATGATAATCTTTTGTAGATTTAGATTCAAAGACTAGTAAACCATCTTCCAGGAATCCTTTTTCGCTGCCAATGTGCAATATAATTAACCTTTTCCCTTTCCCTGTCGGAGCTTTTGGGCCGGTTGATAAGCCATCTTGGAAAGCTTGTCTTTTATTCTTGATTGTTGTATCCAACCACACTTTTGTTTTTACGTGTCCGGCGTTTACCCACGTTTCGTCGAGATAGTAAATGGTTTTATTAGCGTTTCTATATTCTTTTATTTGTCTTAAATATTTTCGCCTCCATAAAACAATATCTTCTCTTTCCACTAACAATTTTCTACTATCTTGTTTATTGAAGTCAAAACCAAGCTCGTGCAGTATTTTGTGAAGTGTTGTACGTTTGAAAACAGGAATATCTTCATCAGCTTCGCAAAGTGTTATTATTTTGTCCAATGTTGGATACTCGTTATTTAAATATATAGAGTGTACTTTTCTCCTTATTGCACATTTGTCTAGTTCATCTAATTTATCGACCGTGGATAGTCGAGCTCTTTTTTTCACAGGTGATTTCAATGTATTCGTTTCTTTTTGTTCTTTTATAATTTTATAAACAGTGTTTTCGGACACACCGCATGCACTTGCAGTTTTAATTACTATGCTCTCCACAGTCTCATTTAAATCAATCTGTTTGAAATATTTATAAACATTGTAAATTACGCGTCTCTCTCCGCTATGTATAATTGATCCACTTTTATTTTTTTTAATAGGTGAGATATCCATTTTCCAAATTTAATTTTAAACAAGTAGTACGCAAAATACACAACCGATCAGTTCGAAGGTCTGACTTCAACTGAGCACTGTGAACTCGCCTTACTAATTTCTAGCGTTTTAATTGGCTAGGGGGCGTGGCTTGGCCGGCAGTCGGTGATGAGTCACTATTTTCTTAACGCGAATGAACTATAGATGTCTAAATCTCAAAAATATTTCTAGTAAAAAACTACTACTTTTTTAAATATACATTTAAAATATTTACAATATATATATATATATATATATATGAGTATTGTCATTAATACACTATCTTTTGTTCGTATTGCATTAATAGCAGCGGTACTTAATGTAAAGTTCTCTTATTAAGATAAACGCCAGAGTAGCATTAACGAACAACACCTGATTTTTGTTTCATCAATCGTTATATGCCATAAACATAATTTGTTGCGCTCTCAATTGTAATCATTTGTCCTCGTATATAGGCAACTAAATATTTACGGACCTTAAAAATTATCTTCGATGGTAGTAACATCGAAAAATCAATGTAATGAAAAAGAAACACTCAACTTTCAGACAATAAAGATTCAAGATTTGGTATACCAAGCGTACAGGACATATGGGAGTAGCGTGACCAGCGACGGCATCGAACATTTGGGACTTAAACATCGTCTTAGGGTCGTGAGGCAGCTAGAAGACAGCCTTGAAAGAAATACCCTGAGGGCGTTGCAGCAAGACAAGCTTCTTGAACCTAATGAATTACAGGTATGATTAGTTTGAAATGGAAAACTACAAGTACTGAGTATGATAAAAGAGTACTGGCATTATTCTGTTAAAAAATGAGCCCTTGAGTTTTGATCGCGAAAGATAAAAAAAAATACGTTATACTGTAATTGACAATTTCATGTTTTATCTATTTATATTATGAGTAGTAGTAATACGGTAAAAATTTTACTTGTTTAATCAAATAACTACCGTCAATAATTAATTGTTGTTACAGGAATTACTTAGTGCCATACGCGAAGAGCTTTTATTGGCTAAACGCGTGCCATGTGAACGCTTAGAAGCACCATACGAAGCTTATAGACTGGACTATACGCAGTTCAAAATGCTGTTTTCAGCCTTATCTCCGTGGGCTAAAGGCGATTATGCTGAAGCGATCACCGCTAGGATGTTCAAGGTACATGAGACAAGAGATTTTCCCGAAGTTTATTTGCACCTAGTATTAAATCAAACAAAAAAATAAAGGCAATGGTTGTAATAGGGTATTGGACAAGTTTTTGAAATCATCATACATTATTGTTCTAGTGTTTTGTATTTTAGAATCGGACAATACTAAGCGTTTTCGATCACATGACAATAGATGAAAAATAGTACATTGTTCACCGAGAGGAGAAAGTGACGCATTACCAACGAGGGTGTTGTTAAAAATTAATGCACATTCTGTCGAAGGATATATAGTGCCTCATACTAAACCTGCGAGGAAATACAAGACAAATTCTTTAATTAAAATTTATATTAAAGTTGTTATAGTTAATAAACTGTTAGATGGGAGCTTTATAATGGTTCCAGATTTCACTGGTCTCAAAGACTGATTAGGTAGCTTCTTTTAATTCTGGTTGATTCAATAAATCTACACCGTCTCGAGTAGATGAAAAACAAATTAAAAACTCAGTTGAAATATAATCAGCGCGCTTTAAACTTTTTCTCCTTTATTTAAAATTAATTCAAAAAGCAAACAGAATAATGTAAAAAAACATTGATTGCAAATTCTGCATAATCATATTGAACACTTTTTGAAACATAAAAAAAAACAGCACAGCGCGTTAAAAATGGATATCTTCATACTTTTCCAGCCCGGTTAGTAGTACAACAGTAATGAGGTCCTTACTACTTTGTTTTTAAAGAAAAAAGCAAAAGCAGGTGTAGTATAAAAACCTTTTTCTATTTCATGAATTTTTAGCGATGGATTGACATTATGGTTATTCAAGTAAATTGGTACTTTTTATCTGTACATAAAGTAAAATCAAATTGCCTAAGCGTCCGCCTTGTATTTTTTGAAGTACTATGCCGTTGTTTCCGATCGGCTTTTATCCGCATTGGCCATTTCAATCCACGAGGGCCGTGGCGGGTCATAGTCTGTTCTTCCTATTTCATCTATCGGGGATATTAATAGATTTAAATCTAAAGAAAATATAAGTAGAAAAATTTCAACGCGGACCAGGCAGCAGACGGGACTCGAACCCGCACCCTTCGCTATCCGGGCGAATGCACTGACCGCGGCCCTGATGGCCGTGTCGAAATTCCTCTAGCCATTCTTAAGCTGCAAGACAGCGCCATCTCTTCGCATTGTAGGTAACCGACAATGTCAATTTAATACTTTTACAAGTATTAAACATTTGAAAGAAGAAATAGCTATTATAGTTATAATTTTTTTAAGCATGTATCTGCTTGATGTTTAATTCTAAAGAAAATATAACTTACATTGATAGGTTAAATTTATTAATCATCATCATCAGCCTATTAATGTCCCCACTGCCGGGGAACAGACCTTCCCTATGGATGGAATAGGGAGATTGGGCCATGACCCATCACGCGGGCCCAGTGCGGATTGGCGGGTGCTAAAGACTGCAGATGCAACCGGGGCCAACGTCTTAACGTGCCTTCCGAAGCACGGAGGAACTCTAGAGATGATTTTTGGTCACCCATCCAATGACCGACCATTGCGAAAGTTGCTTAACTTCAACGATCGCAGCCGAACGCGCTAGCCACTTGCGCCATCGAGCTCCTCTTCAAATTTATTAATAGGTTCTTGTTAATGATGATTGTTTTAGTTAATGGACAATGACGACGACGGCTTCGTAAGCGCGCGCGGTTTGAGTCTCGCTTTGGGCTTGAGTTGTCGCGCCGACGCTCAGAGGAGATTGCGTGCCTTGTATTGTGCGCACGCGCCGCCGTTACTATCGCACTTGGAATTGAGGCCTACCCACTTCACTGACACCGGGGAGGAGCTGGCCACTGATGCTATCTCTTTCTTTGACAGGTAATAATAATAAATATTTCCAACTCTCTCACCAATTAGCCTAGTCCCAAAGTAAGCAATGTGATACTAGGATAACGGATGTAATACAATATACTGATACATATATAAGTATATTTATATAGAAATACATATTAAACGTCCATGACTGGAGAACAAATGCTCGTATTCATCACACAAATATCTGCCTCCACCGAGCTCCTCTCGAGTAGGCGACACCGTGAAACCCGTTGTGTTTGTCGCTTTGGGCTGGTCAAACTTGAAGTAAATCGTAGTATTTTCACTATAACTGTAAGGAAGATATTCGACATGGCTCGGACGCGCAAACTAATAGGGTTTTTGCAAAATGTTTGGAAACTGCTTATATTTAAAGATTGGGACAAACGATTTAACAGAAAAATAAATTAATTAATGTCTTTTTTTCTCCATTAAAACCAATTAAAGTTGTATTTTTTTAGTGGTTTTGAATTTACCGCCAAAACGCTCGGTTCGATGATGTCTACTGTGTGACGTCAACTTTGTGTAAAGAATGAGGACGACGATGTGTGATTACGGAATAATTATTTAAGATGTCTTTTCTTTTAAAATATTTTGTGTAAGTATTAATTAAACTATAAATTTATCCCGAACGTAAAAAATGTTAATAATTTGATCTTCAGTTGATTACATAGCATACACAAAGTTGACGTCACACGGTAGACGTCATCGAACCGAGCGTTTTGACGGTAAATTCAAAACCATTAAAAATAAATTGAACTTTAATTGGTTTAATGGAGAAAAAAAAAGACATTAATTAATTTATTTTTATTTTTCTGTTAACCGTTTGTCAAAATCTTTAACTAAAAGCAGTTTTCAAAAATTTGAAAAATATCCTATTATGCTTCCGAGACCTCAATAGTCGCATTAGCATAATTGTTTAACACGTCCGCCTGGAGAGCGGATGATACGGGTTTGAATCCCGCCGATTCCTGAACCGACAGTAATTTTTTCTAGTATAATTTTCATTTGAACAATTAAAGTAGTAACGTAGCAGCAAGTAATGACTTATTTAAAATACGAGTGTGAATGCGGCCGTTCGAACATGTTCGTTTATTACTTAATTATTGTCAGGTCGACATCTGGTACAGACGTTGGGAAGGCTAACATTGAGAAGGACTGCAAAAAAACTGAGTAAGATCTCATTGTTTCTGCTGGTTTTTTTGTAAATATTTCTGTGGCTTTTGGATAATTGGTGAACTCAGGTGAATGGATGATTTTGTGAATGCCTTACGTCATCATTGCTCCTTAATTTTGTTATTTCAATCAAGATATTTTTCAATTTGACATTACAAAGATATTTACGAATAACAACAAAATTTACAGCAAACTTCACTAGTGGTTGAATTTTTTAATATATCTTTCGAATCTCAAATGGAAAGGTGTCACGACAGGAGTTGAAAAAAGATTCTAAGGGGACAGATTCGCGCAAGCACGAATTTAGACGGGTCTGTAAACGTATTGCATCTTCAAAGTTTCTATGAAAACTAAGCGGCGCCGCTACCGGACGCCAATACAGAGCTGTCAAAATTCGTGCATGGGCCTCTGGTCCTTCTTTCAACTAAAGAACTTCGAAATATACGTTCCGAAGCTCACTTAAATATCTGGTTTGCACTTATTAATCGCAAGGTGTTGGGTCATGATTTGTGGCTTCTGTACACTAATTCTTTAATAGGGCTAAAGATGTTCTAGTGTAACAAAGCTGTAAAAACTATTCCTATAATGCTCAATTTAAAAAAATATAAAATTGTGTATAACGCATTTACAGTTACGAATTGCTTTTTCGTATAAGTGTGAAGATGAGGTTTAGATTATTGAATTTGTAAAATTAAAATGTTCATTATAAAAGGCAGCTTTTAAAGGAGTGTGACAAATGTGGTCTATGTTTAACATATTAAACTTGTTTTGTAAATTGAGTACTAAAGTTTTTTTGAAGTGAAACTTCTTTACGCACGCTCGACTTGGGGAGTTAGCTGGAGAATGCGTTACGCGTTACGTAAAGTGTGTTCGGACGAGGCGAACGGGAGTTGAGTGGGGGATATAAGCAAGAGAAAGCAGTGCGCGTGCACATTTTTATTTCTCTTATAGCTAGTAAATGAAATATGTATATGTACATACATGTATATATTGTACACACACACATGTATATATATACATACAGATGGAGCTAAAGAAATTTCACTTCAGTCGTGTGGTCATAAGCACACTCGTTTTTTTTGCTTCTGAGGTATCTTGTTGTATGCGACAAGCCCGAGAACAGACATTGTGCCTACACCGAAGACTGGTGGGTCAGCAGTATATTTTATACACATATTATAAAGATTTCTATTTTTTAGTTATATGTTTGTAACGAATAAACTCAAAAACTATTGGAAATATTTCAAAAATTCTTTCACCATTACAATGTTACACTGTTCCTGATTAACAAATCATATAATTTATCGCGTTAAAATAATTTTCTCCAGTGCAAAGCCGGAGCGGATCGCTAGTTATATAATTAATTCCACGTCAAACTATTTGTTTCAGCATAGAGAATCCGCCTAGTCCTGAACCGGGTAGTTCGTCAATGCAAAGATCAATCAGCGAAGTTTGCAGCTCCGGTTACAACATGGACAAGTCTAGTGACAGCGTTCTTAGCCACTCAGGTAAATCATTCATAGACCAGTGCGACCAAGATCTTAGGGCGCGTGGAAGAAATCGGAACTAATTTTAAGAAGATACCTAGATTTACCTAGTCAGGTCATAAATTCTGTCACATGTTTAATATAAAATAATTGAAACAAGTTTATTCATTAGGTTACCATTTATATACCAAAATGAACTTAACAAAACATTGATTCTTATGACAATAAAATTTATTCAAAATGACCTCCGTGATTTTGAATACAGGCCTTCAATCTGCGCGGCCAGTCGTCTATCGCAGCACAAACGAGATCCATGTCAATATCGGCGGCTGCCTTAATCAAGGATGTCTTGAGTGACTCCAAATTGGGATGAGGCTTTGAGCACGCCTTTTCCTCCAAGTGTTGCCATATCTTGTAATCTAACGGACTCAAATCTGGTCTGGAGGAGGGCCAGACTTCGTGCTGGATGAAGTCGATTTCACGAGCCGCCAGCCAGTCTTGTGTGCTCTTCGCTCTATGAGCTGGTGCCGAATCTTGTTGGAATACCCAGTGCCTGTTATTGAACATGGTATGAAAAACAGGTTCCACAAGGTTCGTCAGGACTGTATTTTGATACACAACTGCATTAGTTTTTACACCTTTCTCACAAAAATGTACCTCAGTTAAGCCCCAATAAGAAACTCCCAACCATACCATGAGCGAGGATGGAATATGACCTCGTTGGACACGCGGAATACGGTTGCTCGCTTTTTCACTACTGTGTGCGTACACCTTATCATTTGGTTTGTTGTAGCGCTCTTCTACGGTAAAATTTTTTTCATCTGAAAAAAGAATTTCCCGATATTTTTTTCCCGCGTACCGCTTCAACAAAGCGCGGCATCTCTTCAGTATCAGGTCCATTAGACGTCGGATATTATTAAGAAGTCGGGTCAACATATAGGCTACATATTATCACGCTATTACCTACGGGGAACGAACAGTGAACCTTTATTTCTAACTAACTCCACGCGCACGAAGTCGCGTGCGGCCGCTAGTAAATAATAAAGCACGTCTGTTTTCTTTCCAGCGGGCAGCAGCGGTGACTCACACTCAGCTGACATGGTCCGCGCCTGCGCGTTATCCGGTCTGCCTTCCTCCCTCCCCTCCACCCCTGGTTCTACCTCCCCTCCCCCCACAGCTCCCCCTTTACCTAGGGCCCACTTCTTACAGTTACTGGCGGCGTTACACGACTTGACTCAACACGAAGCGGCGCTGTATGAAGCTGTCGTGTTAGCCGGTGAGTTCCCTCCGATTCCGTCGGCCTAGGCACGTCTTATAATAATAATTGTTTATTCAAGTGTAAACAAAATAATAATAAATAAAATAAAAGAACAGTTAAAATAAAACAGGTAGTATAATATTACCTACCTCTTAGAGTACCTCGACGACGAAATCACCCGCGCCAACGCGCCTCCGACTCCTCCCACACAGGCCACAAACACCAACACTACACAGCTAGCATACTTGCACACTAGCTTAGCATTAGGCAGACACCGTACCCGTAGGATAAGAGTGCGAAGACTTGGGCGTTTTTCCCCGCCCCCCCACGACAACGGCTAACTAGAGCCGAGGTCCGAGTCTCAGAGACGCCCTCTAGTTCAGCCGACCCCCTCAGGTTCGAATGGTCTAGAGGCTCCAGACGGAGAGGAAACCCCCCGTGGGGAGATGCCATCCGCCTGGAATATCTCTAGAGGCACTCGCCAATTCTCGGCTTTAGGTCCCCTTCCCGTCCCCAAACTAATCTGCGACCAACAGCATACACACTCAAAACAAAACACGGTGAGTGTGTGAAAGAAAGTGAATGTACCCATTTCTGGGGTACAGGCCTTCCCTATGGATGGAATAGGGATCCTACCTAGAGCCTACTTCTTACAGCTACGGCAGTGTTACAAGACTTGACTCTAAACGAAGCGGCGCTTTATGAAGCTATCGTGTTGGCTGGTGAGTTAAAAGCTAACGGCCTCAACCAGAAAACTCAACTTTTAAGTTACATTAAAGTCGATGCTGTCACCTTCTTTGCGATAAAAAATTTTAAAACAAAAAATAAAACCGACTTCAAAATCGAAAATGAACTAAAAATTAAAAAATGTTTTTTATAATTAGGGATGTTTCGGATTTTTTTGTTTTTTTTTTATTTCATCCATTTTAGTAAAAATTACATCGTCCAAGTAAACAATAAGACAATTGACGGAGAAATCGGTGAACATGCATAAAAAAACATCGTGCGTGCCTTTGAAATTTAAAGGTTTCACTCGAATTCCCCGGATTCCACCATCAGACCTCCTTCCAAGATCGAAGAAGATCGGATTCCTGGCTTTGTTCCAATGGGACGACCTCGGAAATGCACTCTTTCGAATAAAAAAAGAATTTTGTAAATCGGTCCACAATTGAGGTAGTAATTAGTGAACAAACATTTAAAAAAAACAATCGAACACAGAACCTTCTCCCTTTTTGAAGTCAGTTAAAAAATAGAATGAAACTGTCATCTATAAAATTCAGAGCTTCACTAATATCATGAAATGTTCCAAGGAGTGCAATTATAAATTTGTATGCGTTTTCCATAGGGACACTACTGTTGCAACTTGGCGAGCTAAACCAACGCCCTCTATTTGACCGAGAGATTTCACAAGACAGCCTCTACATGGCAGCAGCAGCCAAACAACCGCAATTGCCAGAAGTAAGATATAAATTCAAATTAATTAAAACCCTAAAAAAGAAAATTCCGTAAAATTTTAAGTTTCCTGTTCTTTGTACCAGATGGACCCTAACGGGAATCCGACCGTAGATCAAGACAAACCTCAACCGTCGACCCCGACGAAGGATATTGAACCCTCCACCGAATGCTTATGGTCTATAACTCTCGAGCAGTTCCTGGCGACCATGCTGGCTCAAGGTCCTGTAGAAGAGTTTTTCAACAAGAAGGTATTTATTATTTTATTTATCATTATTTATTTTTCAAAACTGACTTTGCTTCGATTCTCCGAATGATGGTAGCATCATTGCACAAAATACTCGTACTTTTTTCACCATTAGAGACCTACAAATAAGAAATTGCTGATATTAACTTAAACCCTTGTTATCATTTTACCATAACAATAAAAAATATCTAGGCTTTAGTAAAATAACTTCTTTCTTCTAAATAATATTTTTTTTTATCTGTTCAAGGTCACATTATTGCCTCAATTGGAAGCGCTGAGGCATAGAGATAGGCTGCAATCTATATCCTAGCTGATGGACTTCGTTGGACTTCAAAAGGTAATGGTTTGTGATAACTAGGTAGGATGCTGTAGGGGAATTTGCTGTTTGGTCCGATTTCTGAGTTTGCAAAGCACAAAACAGTCGTCAATTTAGCTGGCACCTACGTAAGTTCTTCAACTAAGTTAAGACGTGACCGTTTTTGAAATAGGTTATTAGACGGTATTAAACATAAAATACCAATTTACGTCTGTATTTATCATGAATATTGGCAGCAATTGACGTTTGTGAGACGCCTTAATGCCAAGAGAATCGTTTTCGCGGCAAATTTGATAACAGTTTTTTTTATTTTCCTTTTTGTTACTGAATAACTCAACAATATGATAAATATCTTTACGGAGTCTTTTTAAACGTTAGTAAATAACGTAAAACAGTTGAAAGTAATTCGTCAAATACCTTAAGTTTACAAAATGGATGTCGGTCGCCTCGCCCCTTTCCTATTGGACCAATGAAAAATGACGAGAGAAATTGGCTGCCGGTTGTTTTCAATTCTAGACTCGCGGATTGGTAGCAAGAAACCTTAATTCTATTATTAATTGAATTTGTGCAACGGAATGTAATTAGTAGACAAAACAAAAGGGCGATTGGTGGAGAGATGCCCCATTTCTCCACCAAAGAATTGGTCATACATTGGAGAATCGTCTTTACAGCACAGAACTTTGTTTATCATACAGTATTTTTATTACTGAACGGATATTTGAAAGGGATCTGAGCGTTCAAAACAAACAGGCAAATCGAGAAAAGTACTGTCAAAGCTTTTATCCAATAAGAATATCGTTTTAATTTCAACTTGTTGCAGGCACTGTAAATATCAATTTGACTGTACTTGAGTTTAAAAAACGAAAATCAAATATTACCTTTATTTCTTAATAGCTTTAGGTGGTAAGAAATCCATATAATAAAATGATACCAAATATATAATATTTATTGTGCAATATTCCACTGAATGTTACGAACAATCCAAATAATTATAATGTGTACAAAATAACACTTTCTGTGGTCTCGGATGAAAGAATTAGGCAATATTAATCATTATATTTTCCTTTAAAAAAAAAATATTATAATTATCAAAAATGCATAATGTAAAGAATATTTGTATTAAACATTACATAAATCTATTATGGTTTGCTAAAATAAAAATCAATAAGAAATTATTAAATTAACATAATTATTATTACCATAAAATCAAAATCTATGCAGGTTCTGGTCATAATTAAAAAACATAAGATTAGTACCTAAGGATAGATAAATATTGTGTTGAATACTTGTACCTTCTAAATATACATTTAAACAATTTTGTACTCATGCATGATTGTATAATACTAAATCTGAATAAGCATTTCAATATTTGCAGTAGTAACCATTAATAATTTATGACTATTATTTTATATTTGCAATAAATTTTGTACAATCAAAAGCAAGTCAAGTAATAGGGGTGATGACGGTGTACAGTAAACGAAATTCTATTTAGTCCGTCAGTTAGATGATCAAAAAATAATGGACACATATTTTTTCTTTGGGCGATCAACCAAAAAATGACAAAGTTATAGCGCGTCAAAGTTTGGGAGTAGGGGCTCGTGACGTCACTCTTTAGTGAATATTCGCTTAAAAGTGTACTCAAATGTTACGTCATGCGACTTTTCAAATCAATATATCTCTGCAATGTTTATATTATGTGAAAAAAGAAAAAATACGTGTCTAATACTTTTTGATAATGTACCTGATAAACCCAACCCTAATTATCCCAACTGACTTTTGTATGTAGCTTGATATAAATAAGATCTACTTTCGATGGAGATTTAATACTCTGTGGCAGCAGTAATACTAACCCCCTTATTAATAAACGAAGAATAAGCTTGGTTTAGTTACTCCATGTTTTGTCTCTGTTCATTGAATTACAAATGGCATTTGACTGATAGCAACAAAATTCGGTTTAACTAGGTGTTGGGGATGGGAGGTTCAGTAACGATGTAAAAAGCCAAAATGCAGCAAATAAACCTTTATTAAATTAATAAATCACTTTTAAAGTAATTTTAGCCTAGCACGTGTTTTTTTGGGATCGCAAAGTAGTACGGTGTCACTTCCAGAGCGGCTCGCGGCAGACTGCTTGGAGCCCATGCAACGACTTATAACGGTTATCCGCGGGATCGCTGATTGTATAGTAGTATAGTGACATCGCACTACCTTACATTTTTAATAAAAAATATAATATAATTGAGCGCGTCGCTAACACTAGGCTTAGCTTATTCTTCGTTTATTAATAAGTGAGTATGTGATTGTACGGTGAATTATAAATGCGACCCAAAAGCAGCGATGAAAGAGAGATGAAATTCTACACAACTAATAAATAGAGCTGCCTTATTCAAACAACTAAGTCTTGTTTTAATTCGCGATGAGGCCACAGAGCAATAATATTATGCAATGTAGCGTAAAATTGACCTCTATTGGTTTTAATACAACTTCTATCACGATAACTTTTAAAATTGAAATATCTCTATAAACTTCAAAAGCCGAATTCAAAAACTTTGGGCACTTTTTATATCTACATTTCAATGTGAAAGTTTACTATCCAATTGGGGTTCGAAATATACCATTATAGAATTGCTACAACTAGTAAACTGACTAATGAAATAAAACTTTAAAAAACTTGACGGTGTGATTTCCATCTGATTGTTAATGAAATGCGATATTCATCAAATAATTAACTTATATGGTAATAATGTGTAGACAACGTCAACATTCCACAAACAAAAGTGTGTGACTAATAAATAATTATAAGACTTAAATGCATAGCCATACTAGTTTAATAAGTAGGTTTATCTATTGAAAAGGTGATTTGTGTATTTGTATATGTATGTAACTTAGTTATTCTAGTATAGTACAAAGTATGTTTCTAATTTGTATGATATACGATGTTTTGTTTTAAGCATTTATTTTGAATAAAGTGTATGAGTTGTGTTCTAATTAGATTAAAAAAAAACGTGCATATATCTCTTTTGGTTACCTTTATATTTATTATGTTTTATATATTATGGTTATTTATTACATGGTACCGAAATATTGTATTAAAGAAAGTTATAAAATAATAAGAAAATTGTTTACTGCACTTATGACTGGTTTAAGCCCAAAATAAAAAAAATCTGTGTTAAAAAAAAACAAGTTTACTATTTTTTTTGTAATACGTTGTATGCTTTTGTATATTGTAAATAAGTTATTGCATTTTAATCTTAATCTTCATATTCTAAACTTTAATTTTAATCAAATTATGTAATAAATATGTAAATCAACAAAAAAAAATAAGAGTGCCTCAGGCTGGCGTTACTTTCGATTATTTTTTTATGTATAAAACTAGCTGTGTGTACATTTATATTTAGAGAAACAAAGCTTCGTGTACGTAACCGATGGTGCTTCGCAATGAAATGTATAAAGAAATATGGAAAGATCTCGAATGAGAATTATTTTATTTTTTTATTAGTCACCGTGTGTTGCAACAACGCTATATTAATGTAGATACCTAACTCTTACTATATTTACTGCTATGCGTTGTCCTATCATATAAACATGTAGATTTTAAAATAAAACGTGAAAATGCACATAATTGTATTTAAATTGTAACCATCGATAATCTCTATTTCACACACGATGCTTGGACACTATACAAACTTTATTAATGCTTGACTGAGAGCCAATGAAAAATATACCTAGATTGCGTGAACTGATATCTTTTCCGCGCGCATAGTAAATAGGTAGTTATTTATGATATCAGTGCGGTAATTTGGTTGTTACAAACGAGTAGACGAAGGCTTACCATAATCACGAGTTTGTAAATACCAATTCCTCGCGAATGTCATGCAACATTTATCAACACATTTGCGAGAAAACAGTATACTTTATCTAGGTAATGAAACAAAATGTGCGGGTGCTGAATATAAGAAGTACATCTTCCGTCTCTTTTTCTTTTTTGTATTAAAGTGAGACAAAGGTATAGATTAAAAGCTCGATAAAATAAAAATAAAAATGAGCGAGCCTTACAGTAGTCGCGTATGATGTGTAACATTTGAAACCTCACCTTATATTAGTCAAAAAAGAAATAAAACCTACTACAAAAGGAATAAGCCATTTAAACATTATGTTTTAAAATCAAATCAAATAGCGCTTTCGCGACTTCCTGTTGCGCACTTCCGTCCCATTTCACGAAATCACTCCCACAAATTGCAGGAAAGCGAGAATAAAGATGTTACACATCAAAAAGCCGTAAAGGATAGCACGGCGCCATGTATGGGAACGTGCGGTAAAATGTTATACCGCACGCTTCGTTGTATGGCCCGTAATTTTGAACTATGTATACAACCTCCGTAAATGCAATTTATGAGCAAATGTGTTGAAAAATATATTAACCATAGATTTAAATCTTATATTTATGATTATTGTATTGTGGATAATAAAAGTGTTAGAAATCCAGTCTGACCGCCGATTAAACGTTTCGTTACGTTCTCCGTATTTTATTTGTTATATCTACACCCATGCTTTAAAACCGCTGCTTTAAAAGTAGATTCAAGAATTCATTCACAAACCAAGCAAGAGTAAAAAGTAGAGCTTTGCTTTAAACTACCTTGTTTGTAGAAGTTGAATTATGTACCGCGTAAAGCATACGTTGTGCGCGAATGGCCTTGAAATTCCACCGTTTATCACCATCAAGTTGCGAGTCAGTGGTGCGAGACCACTGCTATAAGTCCCCTGCAATTTGAGAATACATATTCTCAAGCATACTATTTTTTTTTCATTATTGATACTGATATCGCTAAACAGTGAATTTTAATAGGTATACATTTTATATGCGAAGTCGACCGATAATGATTTAGCGCAAAAAATTAATCAATTTAAATCACTATTTACGGATGAATAGGCTATTTAATAGTATGAAAAATGAAGTACCAATTGTTGGCATCTATAATTCATTATATTTTTATTTTTTAAGTATTTAACTGCTAGATGTTAAAATCTAAAGAAAAATTTACAAAAAAAAAACTACACGGACCAGGCAGCAGACGAGACCTGCCGCGTGGAATTTTTGCAAAACAACTGACTCCTTCGCAGACGACCGGCACACATGCTCAGTTTTACCTTCACAGTTAAACTGCACAGGTAGAAAATATCAAAATTCATATTTTTTCGAGTTGCTTACAGGCGTGGAAACCTGCGCATTTTAAAAAGGACTTTTAATTTTACCGGTTTGAAAAACATACGAATCATTTTTAATGACTATGGGTGTAGTAACATTCAGCCAAAGACTGATCCAAGTTGTTTATATAACATAAAATCTAATTTATTTTGTAAAGGTCGATAAAATAAATCATTTTTGTTATAACACTGTGGTATTAATATCCACAATTATATTATCATTTTCACTACATGCAAATGTGCTAAGACAATTATTATAGATGGTGGGTGACATCATAAAGTCTATTGCCATACATTTTTCGCCAAACACATTCATAAACACAGCATAAGATACACAAAAAATCTAAAATATGGTTATAATGTAAACATAACAAAAATAATGAAGCTACTGAAGATATGGTTGTATAACCTAAATCTCTTAGCTTTCTTTGCTTAACGAGAGTTTAAAAATCATCACACAGTTTCTGTCACAGAATGTCACCTTCCTTATTATAACCGGAAATACATAGATAACAAATACGTGATTTTAAGTTACTCTTGTGAATTAAATTTAAAAACAGGCAACTATCTGTTAATCTACATGTTCTATATACCTGAATCTAATACATAATTTCGGTACTTGGCTTGATTTCCCTAGTTTATAACTTATTTGTTTTTTTTATTTAAATACCCATGGGGCCGTTCAAGTATTACGTAAGCAGATTAATTACAATTATTTACCCCCTCCTCCCCCTTGTCAGCAAAAGTAAGCAAAGCTCTTACCTCCCCCTCCCGTGCTTACGTAAACATTGGTATCTTTATGCATTTTTCCTTTTATGTATTCTGTTTTTTTACTGATTCATGAGCTGTCATGAGCTTCATGAGCAGCAGTACTTAAATAGGTTTAGGATAGAGGACTTTAACGCACTGTTATTCATTTAAACAAACTTGATTGACACAGTTGACATTGACACACACACAGACGAATCCATGATGCTGACGTAATCACTATCTCGACCCCCCCCCTCCCGCCCCCTCACCCCACCCCCCCATGTCAATAAAAATAAGCAAAGCAAAGACACCCCTGCCCCCCTAGAGTGTTTACGTAATACTTGAACGGCCCCTATGTACCTATTTGCAAACATGACCTCAAAATCTTTCAGTGTATATGGTTTATAGAAGTTCTCAGGGGTGTCCGTCAATAATATTCATTTGTACAGTAATTTATATAAAATATATAATTTCGAATATAGGAAACAATTTTTCATGATTATAGGTCTTTAGGCCAAACATGTATGGAAGCTGAGCAATCTCCTTTACTACGTATATACAAACGTATGTAGTGTGCGTTATTTCTGATAGTACACGTTGTATAGCCTACTGGCAATTTTTGCTTTATAATTATAACTCATATTATAACATCTGAGCAAATACTCAAAAAAATTCTGAAGTTAAGGTTGTTAAACTTTGTATTTGCCTTATGATTAATTAATTGGAATTTTTGTTTTCAAGATAATACATACGTGCTTAAGATCCAGTTATTGTTGATAACCGTATTTCTATAGTTATAAAAAAAAATGAGTGTGTGCACTCTCTTCGAAACTTCTTTTCTTAAATAATAATCTAACATTAGTCGGTGCATAAGACATAGGGAAATGGAGCAGCGCACGCATCACTCATATATTATATATGACTATACAGGATGTCCCGTAAATAATGGTCCAACCGTTAATCCTAGCTAGTTCACTTGATTGCCTACAACTAATTTGAACCGTTTTTTGAAATTCATTAGGGTTGCCAAAAAAATGATAATATGTATTTTTTTCAATATTTCTGTTTTGAATTGGTTTATTTAATGGCATTGATGCAAATATTAAAAATTTTCAAACCTTTTTTCGCTAAAATGTAGCTAGATAGATTGCCTCTCAACTCGTATATCACATTTGCATAATGACATTGTATTTCTTTCAAAAATATTTAAGTAACTTAACATTTTATTGCATTTTATTTGGATGACCTAAATTGAAAAGCTCCTAATGTAAAAAAAAGTATGACACCAAAGTGTTTCATTATTTTAAAAACATGTGCATTAAGTAAGGTTTCAAAATTGGTATAAAACTTATGGTTAACTAGTATAAGTGCAAACTTAATACAATGAATCCGAAGAAGAGGAGAATATCTAAAAAAACTAAATTAATTAAATTAGTATCTAGTATTACTAGGATTTACGGTTGGACCATTATTTACGAAACAGCTTGTATAATCATTTCACATCATCACTCGTGTATTGTTGCGTGTGACGCTCGTAGCGTTTCAGCCTTCGCCGAGTTACCCTCCAACTTTCATGGTCGTCAAGAAGAGCTGCACACGCACCCCACATATATTTCTAGTCATGTGACGCTCGTGTCGCATTTCCGTTTCATCTTTTCTATAGGATTTTTCCATTTGCACCCCGTCCGAAAAAAATACTTGAAAAAAGAAAAAAAAACAAGGAAACAAAAATGAAAAAAAGATATATATAAAGATAGATAATTGATAAGTAGCCTTTATCTTGATGCATATAATAATATCAAGTGCAATACTTCTAGTTAGGTCAGTCGTATAAAGAATGTTTTATGAACTTTCTATGAGCGGTTTGAAGACATCTCACGCAAATTGGGAAAAGAAAGATCCATGGCTAGTGTGATGTCTTCCTGTACAATATAATTATTCAGAATTAGAGGAGCTCGCTGGCGCGGGTGGTTAGCGCGTTCGGCTGCGATCGTTGAAGTTAGCAACTTTCGTAGTGGTCGGTCATTTAATGGGTGATCCAAAAATCTTCTGTCTTGAGCTCCTCCGTGCTTCGGAAGGCACGTTACACCGTTGGTCCCGGCTGCATCTGCAGTCATTAGCACCCGCCAATCCGCACTGGGCCCGCGTCGTGAGTCATGGCCCAAACTCCCTATTCAATCCATAGCGAAGGCCTGTGCCCAGCAGTGGGGACATTAATAGGCTGATGATGATGATGATGAATTAGTAATGTTGTGATCGTGAAAGCCATTGGACAAGGGGCTTAAAATAATAACGCTAAGGGTTTTTAAGCAACTTTTAAAGTATTCGGGCCAATGATACAACACGATAGTTCATAATGTTTATATTGTTACCGTGCCTTTACTATGTGCACTTAAACACAATCTTGTTTGTCACCACGTAATTTAATATGTACTTGAAACATTTAAAAAGTTGTTAATTGTATTTATTTATCAATAAGGTTAACATCGTATAATATATAAATGAGAATCCATTCTGATTATTGAGTTTCATTTTAAGCAGAAGTAGGCACTTAAGACAGCTTATCTCGGAGGGCAATAATTAATTACAAAGAGGACAGTTAGAGTTGATTGATAAAGCGATCAAAAGACCTATCTACATAATTTAAAAAATGTGGTATGAGTGTCTGTAACAAACGGTTTCACCAATTGCTATGATTTTTTTGTATAATATATTTGGGGAGTCTGAGAAAAGGTTGTAAGATTTTGACATTCAAATCTGTCCGTTCTACCACCCCTATTTTTATGACAGTATAAAGTTCGCTAGGTTAGCTAGTCATACAATAAGTCTAAAAATTGTTAAGGTTCAAAAATCGTTCAAGCATTAATTAGCAATAAAAAGATAATTCAAGCATTACACAGTGCATCTTTATTGGCGGCCTATACCTAGGTCTTTTAGAACATAAGTATTATGGTGAAGGAGATGTGTGATTGACCTGTTATGATGACCTAGTCGAATCACTATTTATACGGCTGATTATAGCCATGCGGCCTAGCAATGAGGCAAAAATCGATCCTTGTAAATTCCGAATTGCAGAGTGGAATTGAAAATTGATTTTCAATAAATAACTATATTTATTTCAAATCAATTTTTACAATCAATGACCATTTCGTGCCAGGGCAAAGGTACCTGAAATAAACTATAACGGTAACAAATGGTATGTTTTCCGTTGTTCACTACTAGTGTGCTCGGAAATATTTTTTTGTAGAGCGCTTTCTTTATCACTTACAAAAGCTAGGATGCAAATCTCTCACACGAGAAAGTGGGCGTCGTTATTTCGATGACTGAATAACAGATAAGTTGGTACTTCGTAGGTATACCCAACCATAAGGGTTTTATTATCATTGTCGTCACCATAGACACCATAAAGTATTTAAAGACTGGCAGAGTAAAGAAAAGAGGTATCATGCCCTTACGACAATCCCACAGGTAGAAAGAGGCGCAACATGATGTACTTTTGTTCCAGAAAGAGGAAAAGAAGAGGCAACAGCATCCTGTCAAATCTTTAGCCTAAAGTCTGTTATGAATATATACAATTCAGTTCGTGTTTAAAGCACATCATGACAAAACGACACTATCACTCCAATCAAACACCGATGCACACACATGCAAAATTAAATTTTTGGAACTCTTGCTATAGGTACTTTGTCTATCTTTACATCATATATCTATGGTCGATACTAGCTTCTTGTTTCGATAACAGAGTACTAATTTCCCCAAAGCTTCGAGTTGTGATATACAATTTAGCAGCGCCTGCTGTGGGGCCTTGGAGCAACGAAGGAGTGGAGGACCCTAAATCTAAGGCCGGCCCACTAATGATTTACACCCCCCTCTAGTTTGTGACCCATCGACTTTTTTTTTGTGGGCCACAGCCCCGCCTGCCCTGTCTTTAAGACCATAGTTTTATTTAATACCATTTAATTCGGCACTGCAATTTAGACAATTAAGACAGTATCCAAATAAAAAGCAATCAGTATACGTTAACATTTTATTGAATAAAATTCTTATACCGGGGTGAATTTCAGCGTCCAGGCGTGTCTAGAATTGACTCGCTCTCTTCTCGGCAAATAAATCTTCGTTTTTCCTGTTACTGTGGTCTCCCACTGTAAAACAAGGAAAAAATACTTTAGGTTTGTAGGTAAGTAACATATTTGAGGAGCTGGCAAACAAAACGTTACAATTACGCATCTGGTCAAACTACATTTTTTTTCAGTCCGGAGATTTCGGGCCCGTTGTATTTGAATATCAAATAATGTTCAATCAAAATCGTTTAAAACAGTGTTAAAAATTGCTCACGGTAGGTATGCTCCTGTAAAATTTAATTTTATGTAGTTATACCGTTTTGTTCGCCAGCTCCTCATTTACATTGTTCAAGGGGTAGCTAGAGAGATAGGGCATAACGGACTTTCTATTCGATTTGGAATACCCGTCTGGTGAAGTAACCTTCGCCTTACAGAAGACTACAATAAAATAACATTACCTTTTGGTTGTGTTGGGTTTATGTTTTTGTTGGTGAGCAAGGGCGTCGCCAAAGGGCGCAGGGGGGGGGGGGGGGCAATTGCCCCACCCTAGAGATCAAATGTAGCTAGCCGCTAAGCGACCAAAGTGCGAGCAATTGACTTCCTCACCTATTATATTGTCCCATTGCCCCTCTCTTAGTCATAAGCTGGCGACGCCCTTGTTGGTGAGTAAGGGTCCGTGGCTGCACGGGTCTATGGTATCGCATTCGTCCATAGGCTATGGTTGCCTCTTACCATCAGGTGAGGCATACTTTTTCATGCCAGTCTTTTACCATTAAAAAATAAGTAGAGACGTGTCTTTTTTTCTAAACATACAACAACTAACGACGTATATTGTTGCCCCCCATTAAAATCACATTTGTGACTATTGGTCATAATGATTACGTTTCCGCTCGTAAATAAGTTTCTTTAAAATGATTTATGTAATTTTGCTCATACGCTTATCTATAACAAGTCAGTGAACTTGTCAAACTGTTACAAAAACGCCAAATCTTTGGTAAACATTCTGAATATTCTGATAGATACAATCGCACGCAACACATATCATCCAATTATCGTCGTTGGATCTATTTTAGGTCCCTTTAACGGATTATTTATAGATAGGTATATAAAAATGTGTTCCTATTTTATCCTACTAGGTAATCCTACTATCTCTTATCTATTAGACAAATCCATCCGTCTGTCTGTCTGTCTGTGGTGCTGTTTCAGCGGCCAAACCGTAAGAGATAGATAAAGAGAATATTTAAGTTATAAGTTAATAGTCTGATAAGACTACAAACCGGATTTGAGTAACGTAGCACTTCCGGTTTTCGAGAAATCACGAATTTCAAACGAAACCACACAAAATCTCCGAAGTTCTCAATTAATTAAATACATTTTTTTTAAATCAGGTTTTGGGGAACATTTGGTTCACTGGTTTGCTAGTAATAATATAAATGTGAAAATTTTTATGTTTGTTACTCAATTAAACAAAAACAGCAGAACGAATTTGGATAAAATTTGGCACATGGTATATGTTTCTTACCCTGATTGAGATATAGATATATCCCAAAAAATATAGGGCACGCGGACGCTAGTTATTTAATAAAAGAAAAAGGGTAGGAGACGACAAAGAAGGTAGTGAGAGGTATATAGACAGAAAAGAAAGTCCATATAGAGAAAAAAAGGATAGTGATTTTAACATAAGATATAAATTAATATTCTATATAACATATTAATATATAAATTATAAGTTGGGTAGCAAATTATCTTTACCTTAATAATATTTCCAAGTAAATTCTATTAAAAAGTAGGCTTAACTTTCACTAATTGTTTACTTAAGGCAAGGCAACAATATCTTCTGAAGTCCCTTTAAAAGATATACCTATGTTTGTATATTGTATATACTTACATGCAAAGGTTCACCGTTGCCCAACAGAACGACCTGCCAGTTGCCTTTCTGCAGATGTTTCGTAATATCGTTAATAACCAACATGCCTTCATCATTAGTTGGCCACTTCAAGAAGAAAGCATAGATTGCAGTCACTATATCAACTTCAGTTGGCTTGGCTGTAGGCTTCTGATAGTTATATCTCTGCTTTTTACATGTGTACCAAACATTGTCATTAAAAGTGTCATTTTGAGACAGCCAAGGAGAAGATTTGTATATCCCTTCACCATTAATTTTTAACCAGTTACCAAGTCCCAGTAATCTTTCAGCGAATATTGGTGCTATGGTTCCCTCTTTAGTTGGACCAATGTTTATGAGGGCATTACCTACAAAATAATAATAAATTGAGTTCATAGCTGTAAGAAAGACGGATTTCCTTGCAAAAAGATATTTTGTCTGAGTACAAATAATAAAAGGGCTATAAAGGTATTTTTCTCTATCAAATCTATGGTAATTAAGCTTATGAAGAACTATTGAATTCTCTGTGAATTATTTTTTATACAATTTGTATTAAATACCTCCACAACTGACTGTTGAAATTACTTCCTTCAGCAATCTTTCAATTGGGATCACTTCCCGCAATGCTATATTCCTCCGGTAGCCCCATGATGTTAAGTCCAATGTTAATGCATTCTCCCATTTGTGATTTTGTAGCTTTCCTAAAACATTAAACTAAATGATATATTGACATCAAAACAACACCTGCAATGTAATTTAAAGTAACATCATGTTACCAGTATATAAAATAGTACCTGTACTACTAATAATAACAATAAAGTTTGGAAGCTACAATGGATTTACCTGGGTTATATCTGTCTTCACAGTTGTAAAAGTCTCCATGTTTACAACTAGTTCCAATTCCCCACCTGTCATTTACCACAACCTCATCTCTCACAGGACTATCATTGTACAGCCAGGCTAGAAGATCTGTTGACTTCCAGTATGTATCATTGGCCTCCCAGTCTCCATCAGACCAAATAACCGATGGCTTGTAATCATTGACAAGCTGTTTTAAGTCAGGCCACAACTTTGAACCAGCATAGTGACGAGTGGTGAAGTTTGCTTTTTTATCTTCCAAATATATTGGATTATACCATTCATACAAAGAGTGGTAGACTCCAAATTTCAGCCCCTTTTGCCTTACAGCATTAGCAAGATCACCAACCAGATCACGATGTGGTCCGGTGTCTACAGAGTTCCACCCAAAAGAGCGTTTTGATGGGAATAATGTAAAACCTTCATGATGTTTGCTTGTCAAAACTACATATCTAAAAATAATAAATTAAAATAATTCAGTTATTTCACCATACAAGGTACTGATAAATAACAGTGTTATCTAATGAAAACAATTTAGTTATCATAACAAAGTCACATAATGGAATTGTAAACAAATTAAACTCACTTAGCACCAGAATTGACAAAAAGGTCGGCAAACTCGCTTGCATTGAAGAACTCTGCTTTGAACATAGGTGCAAAATCTTGATAAGTGAAGCCTGGAGGATAAGTATTATTCATGAATTGGACAATGTTCTTATCCCCTCCTGAAATACAATTTTAAGTTTTAGTACATTTGTTTAGTGAAAAAAAAAATACTGTCTTTTGAATGGTTGTATGAAGAAAATATTTAAAATTAATAAAACATTAAAATTGAGAAGTAAAAGTACCTTTCCAGTAAGCCCAAAACCACTCTGAACGAAATCCTGGGACACAATATAAGCCCCAGTGGATAAAGATTCCGATTTTCGCATCATCATACCATTTCGGCAGCTGCCGTGTATCTAAGTCCTTCCAATTGGGTTGAAATTTCTTCTCAAAGTTTTCAAAGGGTGCGTCGATAATAATGTTGTTGTTTATATTTTCGTCTTCATTGAAACAGTTACTCGGTGAAAAACATACGAATCCAAACATGAAGAGAAAAATAAGTCTCCTCATTTTAACAATTCACGATAGTTTTGTCAGCTGAATAAAATAATGGATTTATTATAGTATTACTTATTTTAAAAATCCCACCATTCACTACCTACAGCAGTTTTTTTTTTTTTTTTTTTTTTTTCGTTTGTCCTTTCGGACAGGCTAAGGTCTGGGACCATACTGCCTCGTCATTAGTTATTTTTCTTCTTTTTATTATTAAAATTCAATATAACTTCCTCAGTTTGATAATTTCCGGTATATTTTCTAGTTTTTTGTTTTACTCTATTATTATGTGCTTTTTTCCGAGCACATTGAACATCTTAAACACCAAACATTTAATTTTTTCTCTTACTAGACAGTCCAATCATGAATTAATTACATCCTATATGAATTTCATATTTATTTAATATCTTTTTTATAGTACACATTTACACAAAAAATAAATCATAGACCAATACCATGCAATACCTTAATCCTAATACAAAACTTAAGAAAAGAAAAAACAAACTTAAAACAACGACATTTGATACGTTTCAAACTTGTTTCAAACCGACGACCTAAACGAAAAAGAATACCTACAAGCAAAATTACGAAAATAAACATTTTTTTCAAACAAATAAAAGGAAAGAGAACATGCGGTACCTATTAAACTTAACTGAGCGTTTTGTGTATGCAGAACATTTAACCTTAAAATCTAATACACAACGATATTACAGAATATTTATATTTCTTCAACAGTGTTTGCAATGAAATTATACAGAGGTACGTATGTACAATTATTTACAAGAAGATCGGTCAAGGAACGCGGGACCAAATCATGTTTGCCATAAATTTGGATTAGCTCATCCAACAACACAAGGCGCTGAATGCCGAAGGATGGGCAGTCAAAGAAAATGTGAGCTAGGGTTTCTTCTTGGGAATTGCAATGAGTACATTGAGCATTATTCACCATTTGCAACCGAAAGAGATGGAAATTAAGCCGACAATGACCAAACCTTAAGCGAAAAATCGTCGTATAGAATTTTCTATTCAAAAAGCTATTTGATTTGCAGAACCATGGCAATTTGTTTACATCAACATAAAGAGGTGTGTACCATAGACCTTTACCTTTAACCTGTACTATACAATTCCAATGGGCTCGCCACTCTTGGTGCATTCTTTCCTTTAGCAGAACAATCAAATCTGTATAAGGTATAGACATCTTCTGAGTATTGGTTTCAGTAGCTAGAGTATTGATAGATTTTGCTAGATAATCTGCATTTTCATTACCTGTTACACCAATGTGAGACGGAACCCACATGAAACTTACAATTATATTATCAACATTGTATAGATCATACCAGACTTCTTTAATAGCATGAATAATGTAATTGGTGTTTGCACTTAATTTATTGTTTTCTAAGTTTTTGAGCACACTCATGCTATCACTAAGTATTAGCCATTTTTTATGTCCTTGATTTTGGTGTTTTATGTGTTTCAGAGCAGCCAAAATTGCTAGAGCTTCTGCAGTGAATACAGAGGAATTTTTGTCTATCTTGTAACCTAAACCAGATTTTATAGAGCTAACGTAAAAAGAAAAAGATGCACTTGAATCATTTTTTGAGCCATCTGTATAAATATGTTTATGATCAACCCAATTTGATAGTTCACCAAACACCTCCTCTTTAGTAGAAAGCTCCTTGTAGATATTTATGTCAATTGATGGAAATTTGCTCTCAAAATGCCCTTCATAGCATGGTAAGATTGAAGGCTTATAAATGTTGGAATTTTCGAGAAACTGAGTGAACTGAGGAAATCCTTGCATGATATACAAAGGCCTACCTGCCAGTGATTGTGATAAATATGAAATATTTTTTAAAAGTTGATTATTGTTTATTGAGAATAGCTTCAAAAGGAATCTTTCCTTTAAGTAACTAAATCTTATTGAAATGGGAGAAAGATTACATTCAATTTGCATAACATTAATGGGAGTGCTTTTGAAAGCACCAGTTATCAAACGCATACTTTTATTTTGAATTTTGTCTAGGATATCTACAATTTTGTTGTCATGAGCAAAACAAAAAAAAGCATACTCAAAATGGCTGCGAATCAAAGACTTATACAGTAACAACAAGATCTTAGGATCAGCTCCCCAATATGTAGAAACTAAAGATTTTAATATGTTTAAAGCTTTGTTAGCCCTAGTTGTTATGTGTTCAATATATTTTTTCCAAGATAAGTTGTGAGTTATTAAAACACCCAAAAACTTTGTGTCTAATGAAACTGGAATAGCAACATTGTTATAGTAAACAGTAGGCATCAAAGATCTATTTTTCCCAAATACAAGCAGTTTTGATTTTAATGGGTTAATATCAAGATTTAAGTATGTGAAATATTGATTAAGATTAAATAAGGCACTATTAATTTTATTTACTAAATTTGTAATTTTATGATCGGAAGCATATACTACCAAGTCATCAGCAAACTGTAAATTTTTGACATGTCCACCCAGAATTAAGTTGAGACGTCGGATATATAATATAAAAACAAGAGGAGATAAAATTCCTCCCTGACAGACACCAACAGAAGCCAACCGTGGGCCATATAGGTAACCATTATTCTTAACAAAAACTTTTCTTTCAGACAAGAACTTTTGAACCCAATGAACAAGTTTTGGTGGTATACCCACTGAAGTTAACTCATTAGAAAGCACATCAACATTGACACTGTTAAAAGCTCCCGCAACATCAAAGAATACAGACACCATAGTTTGATTTTTTACTAGACAATTTTGGATGTCAAGTTGTAATTGGCAGATACTTTCACGAGATGAGCGACCTCTTCTAAATCCAAACTGATTCGAAGGTAAAATGCCATTTTTTTCCACATAGAACTCCAATCTTTGCTTTAGTAGTTGTTCAAAAATTTTTCCTACACATGAAGTTAGTGCAATAGGGCGATAAGAATCTTTATCCAATTTAGGCTTATTAGGCTTTAAAATAGGAACCAAGCAATCTATTTTCCAACAAGGTGGTATGTCATTGTTTTCCCAAAGATGATTTAAAACCTTCAAAAATATCTGCAAACTAGAATCACTAAGAGTTTTCAACATTTTATAAGGGATACCATCCAATCCAAATGCACTTTCTCTTCTGGAGGAGACTGCGTTTTTCAATTCTGTTATTGTAAATGGTTTTATTAAAAAGAGGTTGGTGGAATTTGATTGAGATCTATTGTAGGAACAGTCCTGATGAGTAGGTACATAATCAGGAGTATATTTCTTAAGAAAAGGTAAAACCCAGCTGTCACAGTCTGGATGACTTAAAATAAAAGATTTATTGAATTTACGCATATATTTCCAGATTACAGTAAGAGGGGTACAACGATTGAATGAACTACACAAATCAGCCCAGCTTTTTGATCTTTCAGTTTTAAGGGTGAGTTTTTTTAAAGCTTGCAACCTTTTAAATTCCAAATAGGTTGTTTCTGATGGATTATTTTTAAATGTAATATATGCTTGTTTAGAATTACTCACAGCAACTGAACAATTATTATTCCACCAAGGTAATGAGAGTCTTTTGCCAGTTTTTCTGTTGGTAGAGTTGGATTTTAATTTGGTAGGGGTTAAAGACTCTGTGGCTGAATAAAGAATTTCACAAAATAGTGTATAAGCCTCCAATGGGGTGTATGATTGAACACAAAACTCAGATAAAAGACTTTCAACTTTACATTGATACATTTTCCAATCAACCAGTTTAAAATTTTTGAATATTGGAAAAGTGACCTTATCATCCATGACATTATTGTTATTACAATCTTGTTGGTTGTTGACATTGAGACTAATATTTGTTTTTACAGGTAGATGATAACTGCCGAGAGGATCATCATGAACAGACCATTCACAAGATAAAGCCAAAGAAGGACTAACTATGGTCAAATCTAGAGCATTGGGCCGCCAAGTTAAAGAGCCAACTGTGGTTGGTTGCCCATCATTAAGAAGAATCAAGTTATTTTCATCAATGATATCCAGAATATCTCGACCACGAGGATTTGTGGAATTACAGCCCCAAGAAGAGTGATGACCATTAAAATCACCTGCAAAAATCATCGGACCAGGGATAGATTTTATAAGAGAATCTAATTTGCTTTTACTAAAGGCAGGATTAGTATTTGGAGGACTGTAAAAGCTAACAATTGATATATCTTTATTTCTTATTGTAATACGAATACAAATATTTTGCAAAGTATTATCAAAATTTGTATTGATTTTAGTATAAACAATGTTATTGCGAATTAATATTGCAACTCCATTATGTATATTATCAGAATCATTTCTTTCTATGTTGTAACCTTTTATTTTGAATTGTTGATTCGGTCTTAGCCAAGTTTCTGATATTAATGCTAAATGAATGTTGTGTTCATAAAGAAAATTTGTAAATATGAGCCTACTGCTTACTAAACTCTGAGCATTCCATTGTACAATATTTAAGTTAGCCATTTTTATTTTTGGAAGGTATTTTTCTGAATGTATTATGTAAATTTTCTTTTATAGTATTACTATTTATAGGTACATTCTTATTAGATACTATATTCATTATTGTTTCTACTAATAAATTCATAAATAAGTCTGATTTTGATAAATTATTTAAATGTGTTTCTATCGATTTTTCGGCAAGTTTGGGAAATGATTTTTCATTAAACAGTTCTGAATACTGCACAGCTCTACTTTTAATTTTGTTGTCTTCGATCTGTTGCTTTTTAATTGGACAAGAGGATGAGATGGCTACGTGATTACCTCCACAGTTAGTGCACTTTGCATTTTCTATATCAACAGTACAAGATTTATAATTATGATTTGTCGAACAAATTGAACAGACTTCATTATTGCGACAAAACTTAGCAATGTGACCGAAACGCATGCAACGTAGGCACTGCTTAACAGGTGGAACGTATGGACTGACCTCGTGTCTCCAATGGTCTAGATATACGTATTCTGGCAACTGAGTAGAGGCAAACGTTACTGCGACTGTTTGCGTGGGCTGGTACGAGACTGCACCAGCATCCCCCCGCACACGCCGCATGAACCGCCGGACTTGTATAATGTTTTTGGAGCTACCTATCAAAGAGAAAATGTTTTTATT